AACAATAGGATATATACATAGTATGTTTTGACAAACAGCAGATTAACATTAACAACAACATGTAATTGAATAACAACAACTGGCACAAAATTATGAGAGGCCAGTGGGAGACTAAAAACAACAGATGAGACTGTATGGAAGCCAATAAACAAGGGGGATTAGGTTAGGTCGTAATAACAAGCTGATTGGGTGCTTTATACAGTCTATAGTTTGATTAATTCTTCATAGGCCGATGGTATGTAGTATCCTTGGTCTCTATTGATCAAAGGTTTGTAGCGGCTTCCAAGAGTTTTCCTTTTGTGAAGTCCTGATTCTTGGTTGACAGGATTTCAAATTTGTCGAACTTGATTTGATAGGTATAGGGAATTTCTGTTGGTGGTCGGAGAGAGCTGACTTGCTGTCTCCTTTGGCTGTTTATGTTCTTTATTGCGGATATCAACGGGACGGGAGGTTCTACCTATATAGGAGTCACGACATTCACAATTAATTTTGTAGATCACTCCTTTGGGGGGTTGCTTTTTGGAGGGCAATTTACGGCCATTGGCTTGGAGGATGGTCCTGAGGGATGGGGAGCCAGTGAAGATGGTGTCGATGCCTGCTTGATGCTTAAATCAAATTCTACATCCATTTACGTTAACATTTTTATAAAGTCGACATTACTATGAAATCAAAGTTTTATATCAAACTCAGCATTTTTATCAAAGTGAATATATTTTCATCAGAAACCAAAGTATTCATCAAAGTCTACATAATTTTACAACAAAATCGACATAAGATTATCAAGTAAAAAAAATTTCATCTTTGTTGAACAGTCTATACTTATACTATCAAGTGCGCATGAGGGTGGCGCAGCAGAGGTAACGAACAAGTCATGAATTCTGGGATATCATCCGGGTACTCACTGGAGAAAAACAATAACAAAAGCAACAACCAGTCCACGGAAATTGCTCTGAATCAGAGGCCCTTTAATGGTGCGGTCCCAGTGGCGACCCCGGGAGCTCGACCGACTCGACCTCGCAAACTACTCGACCTGTCTCGACCTGGGAGGTATCTCGACCTCACAACGACCTCAAAACCTCATAATTACCTCGTAAGGACCTTAGATCAATTTTAGTTCGACTTCAGTCGACCTATCTCGACTCAGGTCGGCCAAGTTGAGAAGACCTATGCTCGACCAGCTAGACCTGTATATCGACCTAATTTCGAATTAATTTCGTCTTAAGTCGACCGCCCCGACCTCTACGCGACCTGTGTTCAACCGGAGCGACTGGTTCTCGACGGAAATTCCATTTTTTCTGACGAGTAGACCCTTGGTTTCCAAATTGTATAAATTACAGGGTGCATTTTCACCAGGTACCCATTCAATTACAGGACTGCAAAGTAGTAACATCACCATCAGGAACCTTGACGTAAACCTGGTGAGCCCCGAGAAGCGAAGACTGCTTACCATTTGGGTGCAGATAGCCTGGCACCTGCTTGAACTGGTGGATGACCTGGAGAATGCCAACCCTCCTCCAAAGCCAAAGCCTCAGCCGAAAGCACACCAATCCCATCCTTGACGCCTTCAAAGCTGAGTATCGGTCAGATGAGTGGGATCAGAGCAGATGGAATACTGTAGCCCGTGCTTCAAGGAAAGGTGGCAATTTCCATATTGCACCGGTGCGTTTGATGGCAAGCACATACGTATCAAGAAGCCTCCCAAAAGCGGGTCCCTCTTCTACTACTACAAGAACTTCTTCCCTATCGTCTTGCTGGCACTCGCTGATGGTCTTCAACCATTCACGAGATCGGATGGAGGGCGATGACCTTGTATTCCCCGTATGGTGCGCCATACTTCATCATCGGCGACGATGCCTTTCCACTCCGCCCCTGGATGATGAAGTCTTTTCCATGCGTCAGATGGACCCCGATCAGCAGATCTTCAACTGCAGGTAATTATTCTTTTCCATAAATACCTGAATCAAATTATAACTTAGTATCTTTGGGTGTATGCAATATTATATCAAAGGTTTTGAATTTTGAATGCACTTGACTTAAAAATGTTTAATTTGTGCCTTTTGCAGACTGTCTCGGGCCAGACGAGTGGTGGAGAATACCTTCGGGATTCTGGCTATGAGGTTCCAGATCCTGCTCGGCTCCCTAAATAGCACTGCAGACAGAGCTGAACAGATAACCCTGGCCTGCGTCACTTTACACAACATGCTGAGAACGAGGAACCGGAACAGTCAGATGAACCTCACAGACCAGGGGAATGAGGACTGTTCACGTTCCTGCACACAGCTGCTTGATGGGGATAACCGGGGTGCGAGGAACGTTACCCCACTAGATGGCGCCAGCCAAAGAAACTATTTGAAGAACTATTTCATGGGCCCAGGAGCTGTTCATTGGCAAGAGAAGATGATATCCAAATGACTTTAAAGTGTACTCTATTATTTAGGACTACTTCATTTACAAAGGAACTCTTGTTTGTTTTTTTAGATGATGTGCTACCACTGGCTGCCGTTTGGCTTTTATGACGCAATTGGGAAGATGGCGACCATTTATGCGGTTGGCGCGGACTCGATTAGGTCGAGCTGAGGTCGAGATAGGTTGACTTCAGGTCGAGTCGGTCGACTCCAGGTTGAGTCCAAGTGGAGTCCAGTTAGAGTTGGTCGACTCAAGGTCGAGTCGAGGCCGAGTACAGATCGACTCTTAGACGAACACGGATCGGCATGTCAGGCCAGCTCGACCTTCAACTCGACCTAAGGTCGACCTTTTTTCGACCTATTCTCGACCCCATCTCGAACCAAAGGTCGAGGAGGAAGTCGGGGAAAATTTTTGACATGTCAAAACATTTTCAAAAACTTGGTAGACCTGATTCGATCTGACTCGACCTGACTCGACCTGACTCGACCTAACTCGTTCTGAAACTCGACCAACTCGACCTTCAGGTCGAGAAGGTCGAGTAGCGTATAGGGTCGGCACTGGGACCGCACCATTAGTAGTCTGCTAATTTGATGCTAGGTCTTGCCGATGTAGGGTAGGGTGATTCTCATTTGTTGTTTTCAGTCTCCCGATGGCCTCTCATAATTCGGTGCCAGTTGTTATTCAATTACATGTTGTTGTTAATCTGCTGTTTGTCAAAACATACTATGTATATATACCTCTCATCATCTGGTTGTATTCACTTTTAGCTTGATAACGATGTAAGGATCTACATCGAAACGTCGCTCTATGCAATAAATAAGAAGTTGTCATCCATAAAGTTGTATGTTTCATTTTTGAGTCACCAACTTCTAGAATGCCGATCAAACAATGAACAGAGCTTATAGGCATGAGATAAGACGAGACTCGTTTTTAAACGGATTAGGCAATAAGGTGCGCTCAGTGCACCCTAGACAGTCAACAGTAATCACGATGGGGTCACTTGTTGATATCACGTGGACAAGCCATCTGTACTGGAGCTTGTTCAGTCCCACGCATACCCCCTCTCGGATTCACAACAGCAAGGCAACGTTGTCTCATCAGCGTAGACGTTCATTATAAGTTGTAGCATTGTGATGAGGGGTGTACGGGATTTTATGCATCCACATGACTTAGATGAAATCTTGAGCCGTCAGTAGGCTAATATAAACAGAAAACGTACGCGCACATAGTCCAAGCTGACGTAATCGCCGTCGTGCCGTCTTGGGACTGATGATACCCCGTCTTCCATTAATGGTAGTGTCTGTTCTGGACGTTGCCTTGAACCTGTTCCATAAATGAATGAAGACGATGTGACGATCTCGTGCCTGGGGTGACACAGGTAACCCTGGGTGTGGTCTGAAAATTAAACCATGTGGCCACTTGACCTGTAGACAAGCCAGTCTCAAAAAATGAAATAGCTTTCTCTCACAACAGCTGATAAACGATGGCATTATGTCAACAACTTAGTGCTATTCAAAATTTTGATGTGGTTTGGTGCACAGTTGGATGTGTTGTGTCAATGTGCTGTGGAACCGCTGTTTGTAAGCATTTTCACACGTTTTGCAGGTGAAAAGGTGATTTTCAGCACATGATGGTTCACGTGATCCACAGGCAAATGAAAGAAATAGCACATGCTTCCCAGTGTGCATGTTCTTTATCTGTCATAGTATACTTCAAGCATAGCTTGTGTTCAAAACATGTTTTGCAAATTCCATGGCCTATGGTAATAGGGTGACGTGTTTCTAAAGTAGTTCAGTATATCTTTGGAGACGTTATCGTGAGCAGAACAACACATGATTTGCCGCTTTCCGGACCTCTACGTGTGATGTCACGTCAAGACAAAATTCACCGCTACATTACAGCTTGGGCTCTTATTAAGTCGAGACCAATTATAGGCAGAACAGTTGAAGAGTACAACATCTGGCCCTGACATCAGGAAATAGGCACCAAACCTGCAGCATATGGTCCCTCTTAAGTCAAGACTTGGCATACCAGCGGTATATATTGGCAACCTTGAACCACATTATTGATAACAGTTCTTCTTCATATGAAAAGAATTCATTTGCCCCAGCGACCACCAATAATGCTCCCATGAGCCTCTTCTTGGCCTCTGACCCACCAACTCTAAACTGCACTAGTTGCCTTCCCTTTGCAGCATGAACCTCCCAAGACTAACCCTTGTCCACTGCTGATGCAAGCTACATTCTTTTCTTCCATTATATTTCTCTTCAGGAAACTGGCAATGCAATCTACAAAGAATACAGTAAAACACTAGTCCCTTGCCAAGGGCTCCATTCCTTCATTGAAGACAGTGTATCTTATGGCTTTGGCATCTATTTTCGAGGTATTTCATCTTCATTTATCTGCTGTTTCATGTGCATCGCTTTCTCAAATTCATCGCACAGCAGTGAAACAGGAGTGGTTGTCTCAGTGAAAATCTGGGCTCTGTTCCCAACACAAATACAATGTGTGAAGATCATACTGGTTGCTCCAGCTACGACAGCGATGAAACACCCACGTCAATGTCAAAACGAAATGAAAAGAGAAATCAAACAGTATTTTACATATTTTATTTGCAAATTGCAACTTATATCCTAAAATTGAAATACTCACTGATTAAGGATTAATAATCTGAATCACAATTTACAAAAGTCTGAGTATTGTCTTGACAAGGAACCAGCAAAACAAAGAACGTAAAAAGTAAATCATGAAAAATAACGTCTCTCTTTCAGGCACACATCCTTCATTCAAGTCAGCAGGCTCCAGGCTATTTGCAGCGGAAGCTGTCAGTATCATGCAAATTATCTTTGTACAAGTAACATATTGACTCATTTGTGCGGTCACAGTACAGAGATCATCAACAATTTTCCTTCCCTAAATCTGGCCTTGATAGATAGCTTGACACCCAGAGGAACAATACTGTCTATCCGAGTACTAGAAAAGGGCATTCTCCCTGTTTAATATGTATACAATTTATAATGCCATAGAGTAGCAAAGAAACTAATTACATATAATACATTCTTTGTGAGTGTTTTCCTAAACAAGTACATGATTGAAAACGAATTTCCAGCAAAATGCGAAGCATGTCATTAAAATCTAAGACATGAATGATTGGTTTCACATTATATGTACATGTTCAAAAGTAAATAGACTATATACATGAGATTTCAGTATTCAGATTTCGTCAACATCGATTCTAATTTGATAAATGTTCAGGGAGAGTTCTCAGTAAAAACAGCTCACAAATTCAAAGGCTCTCGAGCATATACAGTCATCATACAATCTTTTTCAGAGACTACACATACACAAGGCAAAAGTCCATGTATATTTGACATCAAGAAGAAATTACACTTTAGCCCAAACAAATTTTCTCAAGCACTCTAAATATGTGACACATAACAACTGGATTGGAGTAGTGGTTAGTTGGTGGTGGCAGCGGCCTTCTCCCCATCAGGTGTGTTCTTCACCTTGTAGTCATTTAAAGCAGCCTTGATAGCATCTTCAGCCAACACTAAAATAACAACATATTTCAGTCAGTAAAAGAGTTGGATGTCATCTATCTAGAGTTCAACAGGCTGTATTTTAACCTCCTGCTATTTTATCACAAAATCTTTTCAGTATGTCAGAACATTTACAATATGAAATCAAATATTGTCATGTAATAATTGCTGATTCAGTCTGAGTGACACTACAGTATCAAATTCAGCATAACAATCAGAACAAGTATGGAAAAGTAGATAACCTACTGGAGCAGTGCAGCTTGACTGGTGGAAGAGACAGTTCCTTAGCTATGTCTGTGTTCTTAATCTTCAATGCTTGATCCAGCTGGAAAAAAACCACATCATGTGATGAGTATAGAAAGGTTGGAATGCCAGAACATGTTCAAATTACAACCAGCTGTCATAAATTAAAGGACCTGACAACATAATATGGAAATAGACTGGTTTATTTGTCATATTTTCATGTTCTTACAATAATATTTTTAGCAAACTCTTGTCCTTTATAACGCCAGTATACTGACGACATGGACCAAAGAGGACCACTTTCTTGTTTCACTTCAGTTGGCAACTTACAGTTTTCCCTTTGACCCATTCTGTAGCAAGAGAGCTTGAAGCTATTGCTGATCCACATCCGAAAGTTTTAAATTTTGCTTCAACAATCTTGCCATCATCATCAACCTTGATCTGCAAACACAGAACATAATATCACAGATTTTCATTTGGTCTTTTGAAGTTGATGCTGTAAGACCAAGAGTGTGATGCCCAATGTCAACAGTAAGCATGCAAGTTTCCAAGACGATACACAATGTGACACTTAAAACTTGACACTTGTTGTTGAACCAAAATTCCTAATATAAGTGAATGACTAACAGCAATATGACGTATACTAACATGTTTTAGATATGTGCGGTGAGAATGTCTAAATTGACGACTCTTGTATCTTGGTACAAAGATTCATGATGTATGTATAGTATGATGCATATTTTGTATACCTTGGACACCTGCTCCTGCTCCATTTGTACTGGAGGTAAATGCATATTGTAAATATGGTAAAGGTGATCATAGTTAACTGTTAACAAGGTTTAGGAAGAACACTTCACATTACCTGCAGTTTCATTACATCCCCACATGCTGGGGCTCCAACTAGGCCAGTTCCAACCTTCTTGTCAGCCTTATCCAAAGAACCAACATTTCTCGGATTTTCATAGTGGTCGATCACCTTCAAAGAAACAGTGCCCTTGTCATTTTCAAAACAATGAAATATTTTATCACATACTCTTCATTTTTGGCCGGTACCATTGTTACAGACAGCTATACAGACAAAGAGTCCATTGTGAAATTGTCATCATTAGACGTAATTGTCAGTGCACATACACATCAAAGTTCCTCAGTGTCCTGTTTAATAATGAAAGCCATCTCTTGTAAACACAGTATGAAACATGACCAAGATAGATTTCAGCTATGAATGACTAATTTGTGGTATGATTATTAGGGTCTATGACAAATGCCACCCGGACAAAAACCACCTAGGACAAATGCCACCCAGACAAAAGCCACCTGGATAAATGCCACCCAAATAAAAATAAAAACCACCAACACAATATTATGTTTCCCAGATGTACTTGCATGATAATTCATTTTCATTTACATACTTTCATTATTGCTTTCATTCTTATCTTTTTTCATTTTTCATTCACACTTTTATTAATATTGCTTTCATACTCCTGCGATGAAACATATTCAACTTGGTTGTGCACATTGGAAGTGAAATGGTCAGTTTGTTAGTTATTTGCTTTATTTGGGAAATTTGAATGGGAGGCAAAAGTACCAAAATTAAAAAGGTAAAAAATATGAAATAGGTAAAGAGTAATAGAGATTTGGAATTTATTAGAATTGTAGTGTAATAATTGGTTATTGTTATTATTATTGTATTTTTTTGCAACCGACGTTTAAAAACATTTATTATGTTAATAATGATAAACACACAAAAGGTTAAAAAATGAAGTTGATAAAAAGAGAGAATTCTTTTGAATTAATCTGGGATTTGCTAGAATGTGCATTTAACAGTTAACATTGTTGAGGTACTGTTTTTATGTTTATTGTTATTGTTTAAAAACATATTTATTAAGTGAATAATGATGAACATATAAAAGGTTAAAAGATGAAGTTGATAAAAAGAGAGAACTCATTTGAAAAGTTAAAAGAACATATACATATTTATAACAATTTTTAAAATGGTAAAAAGTGGAATTATTATGTTATTGTTTTTGTTGCTAGATTGTTTGATATAATTTTGTATGAATGAGATATTTAGTGAGAGGTTTAATTAATTTGGGGTTTGTTAGAATGTGCTTGAGATCAGAAGGGTTAGCATTGTTGAGGTACTGTTTGAAAGCATTGGTAAATGGGGTTCTTTGTTTATTATATTTTGAGCAGTAAAAGATAGTGTGGGCTATTGGTTCAGGAATTTGGCAAGTGATACATTTGCCCTTTGGATGAAGGTTGATTTTGTGTAGATAGTGATTAACATTGCAATTTGCTAGTCTTAGTCTGGTTATGGCAACATCAATTTGGCGTGTTTGGTGATAATTTTTACAGTTTGTATTTAGTGTTTGTTGAATTTGGTAGAGTGGATAATTTTTTTTTGAGTGGAGTCCAAGTTTGGCAGCTTGGTCTGCCATTTCGTTGCCACGGACTCATGTGACGGTATGACGGTACATCGATATGTGACGGGACCCAGATAAAATGTATTTGATTATTTTTATTTTGGTGGTATAGTATTCTTCTGTATATCATATAACATCTCCTCTTACTGCTACTCCAATGGGCTAAGTAGTTTCCTTAACCAAAGGATTTATTCTTTTTATAAATACACCGGTTAATGCCATTTAATACAACATTCAGACTGACTTATAGTGAACCCAAGCTCACAACCCTCCCGAAGACTTCCCATGTGCTTAGTTAGCCTTACTTTCAAAACAATGCTATTATAACAGGCTTCTCACCAAATTCAAGGTCAAACTATTTCTTTGGAAAGGTCACATGCAACCAAAAATCAAACATAATTAAAACACAATTATCACTTATTCATGACATATAATATACATTGCTGGTTATGAAAAACATATAAACAAAATTATAAGCCGTACAATCGCGAAATCAAAAGTGCAATATTGTGTACTTGGGTTTACTTCCCCAAAAGCAGCAGCGGGATACCGAACCCAGTCAGAGCAGGTGGGTGTGCACTCAAGTGTAACGGCTGGTTCATTTGCAGATGCCCTCACGGCTCATTGTGTGTGTATAATATAGAGATGTTGGGTTTTGTAAATACATGCTCATTTTTTGTGCATAACATTTTGCAATCAACAGACATCATAACATGTCATGTGTATAAGTATCACACCTGCCTGTCTGTGTAATTACATAATGTGACAGAGACCGAACTTCGGGCCATTAATCAATGCATTTTGTTTATGGTGTATAGCCTAATTGGTGTTAAGTTCAAATTGCATGTGGTCAGTGATTGAAGTTGTGTAATGAATATGGTCATTAGCAGACAGGCAGGCAGACACATAGGTGTCAATAAAACAGACATTGAGTTTTGTCTGTGACAACGACATATCTATATCACAGTTAGAAATTCTGTCAGCGTTAAATAATGACATTGCTTTTTAAGTATCGAACTGAGAAAGTGACTCGGTAAGAAGAGCGTGTGGTGAAATAGACAAATGAAATTATATAAACAGTTAATCTACTGTCATAACATATATAAAAGCTCGCACCTGTGAAATATCAACAAAACATTAGAAAAATAGCTCACACCAAAGCCTTCACTGAGTATTCACCGGACAACCCACTTCCAAGCTGCGCGAACCTATTTCACTGCGCATGCGTGCTATGAAGCGCAGCCCAGCTGTTGAAACCCGTTTTTCCCGGGAAATATAGTCGGGGAAAATTAGTAAATCGTTTGAACTCCGATTTAGCGTTTTTTTTTCATCATCGTGTTATTTTTCAACTTTATAAGTTGAATTTGCATTTTGATGATTTGTTTGGTAAGTCAATACCGAAGGTATCAGAATCTGCAAAGTTGTGTTTTACATTGCATGTGACCTTTAAATCAAATTTGTCATCCATTTATGTTAACATTTTTTAAAAATCAACATTACTATGAAATCAACATTACTATGAAATCAAAATTTTACATCAAAATCAACTTTTTTTTATCAAAGTGAATATTTCCTTCAAGAAATCAAATTATTCATCAAAGTCTACATAATTTTACAACAAAATCAACATTAAAGTCAATAAGGCTGGTAATTGTCCTCTCTGTAATGGTAAAATAACTGGGTGGCTTTTGTCCTAGGTGGCATTTTGTCCAGGTGGCATTTGTCCGGGTGGATTTTGTCCTGCTCCCGATTAATAACAGCTTTTCTAACAACATTCCAGCAGTACACCAAAAAGGTCACATTCATTTATAGGTCACATGCAACCAAAAAATCAAACATAATCAAAACACAATTATCACTTATTCATGACATATAATATACATTGCTGATTATGAAAAAACATATAAACAAAATTATAAGCGTACAATCGCAAATCAAAAGTGCAATATTTTGTACTCGGGTTTACTTCCCAAGAAACGAAGCAGCCGGGATACCGAACCCAGTCAGAGTGGGTGGGTGTGCACTCAAGTGTAATGGCTGGTTCATTTGCAGATGCCCTCACGGCTCATTGTGTGTGTATATATAGAGATGTTGGGTTTTGTAAATACATGCTCATTTTTTGTGTATAACATTTTGCAATCAACAGACATCATAGCATGTCATGTGTATAAGTATCACACCTGCCTGTCTGTGTAATTACATAATGTGACAGAGACCGAAATCGGGCCATAAATCAATGCGTTTTGTTTATGATGTATAGCCTGATAGGTGTTAAGTTCAAATTGCATGTGGTCAGTGATCGAAGTTGTGTATTGAATAGTGTCATTAGCAGAGAGGCAGGCAGACATATAGATGTCAATAAAACAGACATTGAGTTTGTCTGTGACGACGACATACCTATATCACAGTTAGAAATTCTGTCAATGCTAAATAAGGACATTGCTTTTAAGTATCGAACTAATAAATTGACTGCTTTAAGAAGAGCGTGTGGTGAAATAACAAATGAAATTATATAAACAGTTAAATCGGTAATCTACTGTCATAACATATAAAAAGCTCGCGCCTGTGAAATATCAACAAAAAATTAGAAAAATAGCTCACACCAAAGCCTTCACCGAGTATTCACCGGACAACCCGCTTCCAAGCTGCGCGAACCTATTTCACTGCGCATGAGCTATGAGCACAGCCCAGCTGTTGAAATCACTTTTTCCCCCAAGCGCTGGCGGAAAATTAGTGAATCGTTTGAACTCCGATTTCGCGCAGTTTTTTTCATCGCGTTATTTTTCAACTTTAGACGCTGAATTTGCATTTTTGATGATTTGTTTCGGTAAGTCCACACCGAAAGGTATCAGAATCTGCAAAGTTGTGTTTTACGTTGCATGTGACCTTTAAGAGATATTGCAATACATATTGCAATTTATTGACTTCCAGGCAATGGTTTACATGTAAATAAATGATATAGAGCCTTAAGGTGGAATGTTTAATTGAAGTCTTGAAACAAAGTTTTGCGAACATAATGATAAAGGTAATAGTATGTAGTGGTAAGACGATTCATCGATACGCATCGATGCATCGATCCATGGGCCACCGATACAGTGAATGGATACAAAGTTTTACATTGCAGTATATCCCGATACGATACTTCAAATGGGCCATGATACATCGATGTTTTACTTTGAATATTGCTGAATCACGATATCTGTCAAGAAAGACTTACTTTTGTTTGATGACTAAAATATATGCATACTTATTTTCCCTTCATAAGTTTCTCGGAAATCCTTGCGTCAGGAACTGTGTCAAACATAGCGGTTGCATTTTATTAACATTCACAAAGTCTGTGTGTAAACTTAATTATCTCATTTCCGAATGAACATTGAAAAACGCTGGTGGAATTTGGCGAAATACTTTTAAATGGTTTTGTTTTGATCTTAAGGTGTTTTATAGTTGATGTTAGAATTAAAGATTTTAGTATCGTGATACATATCATATCGCCACCCTTATATCAGGATTTGTATCGTATCGCAGCTTCAGTGCACAATACTTTGGTAATATATCATCGTGACTAAAAGTTTAGTATCATGATGTATCGTATCGCAGGTTGTATGCCAATACCAGCACTAATCATGCTAATAGTATGGCATGATTTCCATGGTCAGTGTTGTTTGCTTCAACAGAATGCACTTCAATGCAGTATGTATTATTGTTACTGTATGTCAGTGATTCATTCAGATTCAACTACAATATAAACATATGTTAACATGAACTATTGCAAAATGAAACAAAAACTTGATTTAGGTGAACTACTTGAGCTTAAACTCTCATGTGACCTCCAATAACTAAGACCCTTGACTAGAATGTCATTATACAGTCCTACAAAATTTATAAGAGGCCTTTATGATAAATTGATAACGTCACTCAGAGCCAGAGGCTCTACTAGTAAGTCCAAATAAACAATTGGTCCATTTGAAGCCACTTAATTCCTCCAAAAGGTCACATATGAAACCATTCAAACCCACAAAACTTTAAGCATTTGGTGGAATATTTGGCACTTTTGGAGCCACTTGTCAAGCTACTTCCACTTGTAAAATGCTACATGAAACCAACAGAAATAAAAGTATATTTGGCACTTTTAGAGCACATTTTGTTACTATAGAAATCAAGGGCAGATAAAACAACGGAAATTACTCTGCATGGCCCAATATATTGCAGAATCTGAACCATATGGCGATAATCGTATCGTGAGATACTGTACCGGTATATACCGGTAATATTGCACAGCCCTAGTGTTTACAAACTTTAATTACTTTTTGATTTCCAATGGCGACCTGCAAGAATCTAGTTTGACAATTCCATGCCAAAACACATGCATTCTTCCGTGAATCATTACTCAAATACCAAGGAGCACAATCTGAGTTTTGATTTTCTCATCCCTCCAATATCAGCCATTACATCATGTCAAAAGATAACCTGTAACCATGATACTATTAACATATTACTTTAGGAGATCTTTAGCATTGAAGCATGGTACTAGTGACCAGTGGATGCTTGACTGTAAAAACAGTGCGGGAAAGTGGCACGACTTTGCTGCTAGTCTACAGGATGATTAGTTTAGCCAGGTAAGGTATACCTTGGTAGGAACACGACGTTTAGCTGGCTGAACTACAGCCCCAGTACAGGGTGATGAAATGCTCTATTCTATATAGATCAACTGGTCTTTTCATAACACCACTGTTGAGGTGCCAGTTACGTCGCAGCTACTTGCTTTTACTTAGCATAGCTGTCAGTGTCACATTAAACTACATCTGAATGGTAACCGAATTTAGCCGAGTGATCATGACGTTTTTTTGTTTTTCAATGAAGTAGAACATGTGGGTTACACAACGACTTTTTTTTGCTCATATATTACGACTATAATCACGTGCATGTTAAATCTGTAAAATGTGCAAGAGTTCAAACTGTTATTGAAATCCGTTCTTACATTCTTATGATAAAGTGCAACCGGGGTGGCATCAAACACAGACTTCAACGAATTCCCCAAACGAGACGTTACTCTGAACAGCGCCATGTTGGTTGTTTACGGAATAACTCATACATTCATCCGCAAAGGTTAGTGATAAAGAACATGAATAATGAGAATATTATATCATGTTAAACATCGTAGAATAAAGCATTATATTTATTGATTCAAACATTTTGAACCAAAACCCTTCTTTATTACTGCTTATTCGAGTTATATTTAGGTACTATTTTTAATGCGTTACGTGTTCCGAAAAGGTAGTAATGCGGTGCTTATTAAAAGTTGAAATGCGTTAAGTTACGGAAATGATCTAACAAAAACTAACTTGCTTGGTATTATTTCTGAAGATATTGATTTGTTTATTTACATAAAAACACAAGTATGACATCATCATAGTCAAATGAATGAATATTGCCGTATTAAGATGTAGCTTACAATACTGAGCACTCATTGTACGTGATTAATATATTTCACATTTTAATAAAATCATGACAAATAACAACAAATCGAGTGTCAAGCACGTGTTTCTTGTCATTATAGGAGGGGATTTTTTTGTTTGTCGTTATCGGATGTGGACTACACAAAACTGACGACACCAAAACAACCCAGGGTGCACGTTTCTCTGTCTTTAAGCAGATGACAAGTGTGCCAGGTTGTGCTTTCGATCGCATACCTGTGCTAACTACGATGCAGGAAGTTGTTTGACAGCCACACTTAGCCTTCAGGGAACATACGGCGCATTATATGCAGCGAATGAACATGGTGTAATCTTATCTACATAACTTGCATCATGATTACCGTGAATGTGAAATTTCACAGCAATTGTGCAGTTCTTGTTGAAATTAACCCCGACAGCAGCTTGCATGAAATCAAAAGAGAAATATCAAAGAAGGTCAATTTGCCACTGGAAGAAGTCAAGATTATATTTGGGGGGAAAATTGCTGACGGACGATTGTGTGTTTCAAGTGAGCATCCTTACTTTAATTGTCTGAACAACATGTCTTCACTTTTCGTAGGTGTGACATGGATGAGTGAGTACTTCATCCATGTGCAGGGGCAGTGGGGTAGCCTAGTGGTTAAAGCGTTTGCCTGTCATGCTGAAGACCCGGGTTTGATACCCCAAATATTGAAGCCTAGTTCTGGTGTCATCCGCCGTGATAATGCAGGAATATTGCTCAGGTCGTGCTTTTAAATTGTGCTCAGAGAATCCCAATCCAATTTGAAAGACTGCTGTCATGGTATTCCCTCCTCCATTTAAATAATACCAACTGAGTCATGGGATCAGAATACATGGGGTCAGGGCTCTGGAGGATTTCCTGCAATATACAGAGAACAGGCTTGCTATTATTTTTGGAGGCAGCTTAGGAGGGGAAAGGATGGAATCAAAGAGGGATATTGAGGAAGAGGTGATACCTCAAAACCACAAGTACCATGCTTCTTGTCTGAAGCGACTAACAGGATTGAGTGGTCAGGCTCGCTGGCTTGGTTGATGCGTGTCATCGTATCCTTATTGTAAGGACAGATGCTCATGCTGTCAGTGACTGGATTTTATGGCCAAAACTCAGTTGTTTGCAGACCACCATCACATAACTGATGTATTACTGAGTTTTAACAACAAACAAATAAACAAATAGATAATGTGTAACTTCCTAATTTTATGATCCACCAAAGACTGAAATGTCATGTTGATATGATAAAAACTACTACAAAGTCATATGTTAACATAAGATTTTAGTTAGAAATGTTTTATCATTCAGGATTTGGATTTTGGTGATCAAAGCACTCTCCATATCTTCAGACAGATATCAGGGAGTGAAAAAACTCTGACATCAGAAGGTAAGATATATTTGCACTGTTGAGAGTTAACCGCAGTCAGTTAACCAAGCGGTTATTTGATCAAGGTTTCAGCCACTTGAGGTTTCACAAGAACAGTTTGCTTATGTCTACACAGACTAAGGACTGCTTCAGGATCCAGTGTAGTTAACCAGGCTTGCCTCTGAGACCTTTATCCAGTTAGGTTACTGAAGTGAGTTTTGCCATTGTGTAAACTTAGGGACCATTCATAATTTATGGCTAGGGTGGGGTGATGATTTTTATGGAGAAGCATGTACAGTGTGAATGACCCCCCCTAAAATTTATGTACAAAGTAAGTGAACCCCCTGCATGTCATGTACAAAATCAATGACACCCCCTCCCCTTCCCATAATTTTTTAAGCATAATTTTTGAATAATATTTAGGTACAAAATTGCTGCCCCCCCCACCCCCTCCACACACACCCTAGTAGATGTGTACAAAATTGATGACCCCGCCTACCTCCCCAGAACAAAATGGGTGACCCCCTTAAAATCATGATCATCATCATTTTTATTTACATCTGTGTAATATTTTCTATATTTTACACAATAGAAATACATTGTTTTATCAAACAGAAGGGTAATGTAGTGTTTTATCTCACACCATGATAATATAATGGTTTATCTTGCAGCAAGCGAGGAAAGAGAGCTCAAGAACCAGTACTATGTGTACTGTAAGGAATGTAGATCAATACAGCCAGGCAAGCTTAGGGTCAAATGTGCTACATGCCAGGATGGGGCCTTTGTTCTCAGCAGGGTCAGTATGAAATATGTATTTTTGACAACAACTAACTTAGTGGCATTGTTTCTCTTACCTCTTGTGTAAGGAATCCAGGTTAGAACTGGTCCTCACCAACCCAAGCTGGTCATAAAGGGCAACTAAATGGGTGTCAGTGGCAAATATATTGCTCATAATATCAATCACTGTTCCGTCTCGTCCTCCCTCAGTCTTTGCTTATATATGAAGCTGTCATACTGCTACCTATTAAATAACAAACAAACAATCTAGTTGTCATGGTTACATGCTGATAAAAGTGTAGGTACAGTACAACATTAGGCTTTAACATATTGTTTGACAATCCCATCAGTTACTTGTCTTAGAGCTGAAAATCCTAAACTGTGTATTGTCAGGACCCCGAGGGCTGGAGCGATGTGTTGCAGTCAAGGAGCATGGGTGGGGAGTGTCGGAATGATGGCTGTGAAGGGACAACTGCGGTAAGTGATTTCTGGAAAGTTCCTTTCAGACTTACCACCACATGACATCACACACACCAGACTTTAGGTTGCTCTGCCCAGAGAAGCTGAGGCCATAAAATAAAAATTGGAAGGTGCAGACCTGAAAATGAATTTTCATTTTCTTAAAAGCTGACCTTTCTCATCTGTGTTGGTGGGATCAGCATAAATTACTGTAAGGTTTTTGTTCATTTAGGTATTTATGTGATGTGAAGGATTGGCTGGTCAGGTTACCAGAGACACAAGTATTTGAAGAGTCCCTGTGACTGAGCATATTCTAAGGGATGTTTCTGATAGTCAGTTGGTTATTACACAGCTGAATGGACCATGTCAAGGAAGATAGCTTCAGTTGTGTGTTCCAGCAGCTTCTGTTGGTTACGGGGGCATCATGTCTGAGTTTATGATATCATTTCAGGAGTTTGTGTTCAAATGTGGCAAGTCCCACGCTGATGGCATATCAGCTGTCGTTCTACGACATGTCCGACCAAACAGACGGGAGGTTGAGTGCATTACCTGTGCAGATGTGAGGTAACTGGATCATGGTCTGGGTGGTGATTTAAGTGGTCTGCCTTTTTCGGAATGTCTTAAAAGCTGTGTTTGCAAATTGATTGAAGTATACTACTCAAAAGGGGTAAAAAAGCATGTAATTCATTCATATCACTATAGTAGCATAGTGGTTAATGTGTTCGCTCATTATGCCAAAGATCCAGGTTCGATTCCCCACATGGGTAAGATGTGTGAAGCCCATTTCTGGTGTCCCCCCACCATGATATTACTGTAATATTGCTAAAAGCGGCGGCGTAAAACCAAAAATCACTCACTCATGTTATGCCATGACTGATAAACTATAGCAATATGAAAGGATCAGATTATCTTTGACTTGTTTTGAGTACCGTAGTATATCTCAAACGTGTTACTGGTGAGGCAGGTCAGGAGCTGTTCAGTATTACTGCTATGTTCTAACATTAATTAAATTGTGATGGTTGGGAGGGTTAGGTCTCCCAACATCAAATCTTAAATAATTATTCAAAATATACTGGAATGAGAAATCAGTCTGAAAAACATTCCCAAGCATAGCAGAACTGATGATGTAATCATGGCATTATTTGACAAATGGCGAGGGTACACATATGGAGTTCCAAGGTTGGAATTGCCCCCTTCGACCTATACTGGTGGTTGGAGGCTGGTTGTTGATCCAACTCAAGGACTTTGTTGATGACATTCATTGACAGCATAGATCGTTGCTTTCAATATCCACAGCTGGGTTATGTGGTCCAGACTGGATTATTTACAGGCAACTGTATTACAGCTGGGATATTGCTAAGTGAAGTGTCCAACAGTTTTCCTTTGTATGATTATGATGTTTAAAACAGAAATACTTCTGCAGATCTCCTGTGCTGGTGTTCCCCTGTGAGTCAGGACACGTGATGTGCATCGAATGCTTCAAAATATATGGAATCACCCAGTTGAGTGAACGCAGGTTCATTAAGCACCCAGAGCATGGGTACACCCTGCCTTGCCCAGGTTAGTAAAACATTCAGGGCTAAATACACTCTACCATGGCCAGGTTAGTTAAACAGTAGACACAAGGTACACCCAGCCTTGCCCTGTCAGTAAAACATTCAGGGCTAAATACACCCTACCATGGCCAGGTTAGTTAAACAGTAGACACAAGGTACACCCAGCCTTGCCCTGTTAGTAAAACATTCAGGGCTAAATACACCCTACCTTGGCCAGGTTAGTTAAACAGTAGAGACAAGGTACACCCAGCCTTGCCCTGTCAGTAAAACATTCAGGGCTAAATACACCCTACCATGGCCAGGTTAGTTTAACAGTAGACACAAGGTACACCCTGCCTTGCCCTGTTAGTAAAACATTCAGGGCTAAATACACTCTACCATGGCCAGGTTAGTTTAACAGTAGACACAAGGTACACCCAGCCTTGCCCTGTAGACACAAGGTACACCCTGCCTTGCCCTGTTAGTAAAACATTCAGGGCTAAATACACTCTACCATGGCCAGGTTAGTAAATCAGGCAAGACAAGATACACCCAGCCTTGCCCTGTAGAGACAAGGTACACCCAGCCTTGCTCTGTAGAGGCAAGGTACAGGTCAGATAAACATGCATGTTGAGATATACCCTGCCACTCCTGGTCAGTGAATCACCCAGGGCACTGTAACTTCAGTACATTAGATATATGGGCAGCATTTTTATTTTTTGTGTTTCTCATCGACCGACTGACCCTTCTAAAAATTTTTTGCTGACCTTCCCCAAATTCTTCATCTTTTATTTTTCATTCCAACACCGCCGACTCGAACCTAAAACATACTGCCTTGTCATATAAATGTTTAAGTAATAAGAATTTCAATAAATGAGAATCAAGAACATTATTCAGATAATTTTGGCTTTATTAAGTTGGGGTTTTTTACCGACCGACTGACCCATGTTCAGAATTCGACTGACCCATGGTGACTTACGTGAAACACATTAAAAAGAAATGATGCCCTCTTCTTGACCAAATACGATCCTCCCAACCACAGTAACCAGGTGTTGTATCAGACCTGGTATGTTTCAGCTGGCTGTCCCAGCTCGGAGATCCAGGAGAGCCACCATTTCCACCTACTGGGAGATGAGCAGGTGAGAGGGGTTTGTCTTACCTGGGTGAGAGGTTCATGTTGCCTGGGTGAAAGGGGTGTTCGTGTTACCTGGGTTAGCGGTTTGTGTTACCTGGGTGAGGGGTTTGTGTTACCCTGGCAAGAGGGGTTCATGTTACCTGGGTGAGGGGTTCATGTTACCCAGGTGAGAGGGGTTCATGTTTCCTGGGTGAGGGGTTCGTGGTTACCCAGGTGAGAGGGGTTCATGTTACCTGGGTGAGGGGTTCATATTACCTGGGTGAGAGGGGTTCATGTTAACTGGGTAGGAGGGATTCATGTTACCTGTGTGAGAGGGGTTCATTTTCAATTGATATCAAGAATGAGATTTTGGGATCGTGTTCTAACCCAGACGCCTTACAGGGAAACAGGGAATGTAGTGGGTCAGTTTCTGACATGGTTTACACTGCTGTATACAATTAGTTATATGTGGCCCCAGCAGAAAGGAAGTGTTTAAAATATTCATTTCACCATTATCTACTTATAAAAATGTATCAAAATGTTGCAGTATGAACGGTTCAACACGTTCGCTACAGAAGAGTATGTACTACAAGATGGTGGCGTGCTGTGTCCAGGACCAGGATGTGGGATGGGCTTCGTCCTTGACACAGCGGGGAGGAAAGTCACCTGTGTTGCCAAGGACTGCATGGTAAACATGTCATGTCCTAATTGATGATGATGTTTTTAGGTCTACTGCTTTCCTTGTTGCAGTAACAAGTTGTGCAAAATGTCGAACAGCAGTGGTATTTACCAGGTGTTGTCAGACCTTTAATCAAACAGCAGGCAAATTGTTACAATGTCATGGACAGTGCCCCAGTTCAGGAACTATGTCCCTGACCGTTTATCATCTTTCCACTTGACATAGGTACAGTGTTTGAGTCCCATTTATCATACCCTTTGCCATACTATTGCTGGAATGTATCTACAACTCACTCACTCACTACTCACTCACTCACTCACTCACTCACTCACTCACTCACTCACTCACTCACTCACTCACTCACTCTCACTCTCTCTCTCTCTCTATCTCACTCACTCACTCTATGTCTCTCTCTCTCACCCACTCACTCACTCACTCTCATGTTACAGATGACATTTTGTCGTGACTGCAAGAATGAGTACCATGACGGGCCTTGTGATGTCAACCCTCTCCTCACACTCTCACCTCTGGTAAGTAACAATGAGAATAACGCCAGTGACAGGACATTTTTAAGAACATCCGACCCCTTTCTTTAAAGTGGTTGTGTTTTAGCCCTGCTAACTTTTATACTCAGCACTGATATACTGTTATCTTACAGAAACAACAGCACTGATACACTGTTATCTTACAGAAACAACACTGATACACTGTTATCTTACAGAAACAACAACACTGATACACTGTTATCTTACAGAAACAACACTGATACACTGTTATCTTACAGAAACAACAACACTGATACACTGTTATCTTACAGAAACAACAGCACTGATACACTGTTATCTTACAGAAACAACAGCACTGATACACTGTTATCTTACAGAACAACAGCACTGATACAACTGTTATCAACACTGATACACTGTTATCTTACAGAAACAACAACACACTGATACATACATCTTACAGAAACAACAGCATCTTACAGAAACAACAGCACTGATACACTGTTATCTTACAGAAACAACAGCACTGATACACTGTTATCTTACAGAAACAACAGCACTGATACACTGTTATCTTACAGAAACAACAGCGCCTGATACACTGTTATCTTACAGAAACAACACTGATGCACTGGAACAACAGCACTGATACACTGTTATCTTACAGAAACAACAGCACTGATACACTGTTAGGACTGGGAGACAGATGATACTGTGATATCTTGAAACAACAGCACTGATACACTGTTATCTTACAGAAACAACAGCACTGATACACTGTTATCTTACAGAAACAACAACACTGATACACTGTTATCTTACAGAAACAACAGCACTGATACACTGTTATCTTACAGAAACAACAACACTGATACACTGTTATCTTACAGAAACAACAGCACTGATACACTGTTATCTTACAGAAACAACAGCACTGATACACTGTTATCTTACAGAAACAACACTGATACACTGTTATCTTACAGATACACTGTTATCTTACAGAAACAACAGCACTGATACACTGTTATCTTACAGAAACAACAGCACTGATACACTGTTATCTTACAGAAACAACAGCACTGATACACTGTTATCTTACAGAAACAACACTGATACACTGTTATCTTACAGAAACAACAGCACTGATACACTGTTATCTTACAGAAACAACAACACTGATACACTGTTATCTTACAGAAACAACAACACTGATACACTGTTATCTTACAGAAACAACAGCACTGATACACTGTTATCTTACAGAAACAACAACACTGATACACTGTTATCTTACAGAAACAACAACACTGATACACTGTTATCTTACAGAAACAACAACACTGATACACTGTTATCTTACAGAAACAACAACACTGATACACTGTTATCTTACAGAAACAACAGCACTGATACACTGTTATCTTACAGAAACAACAACACTGATACTAATGGACGTTAAGGTTGTGTAAGCATATCTAGAGAGTAAGAACAGATTGGAGTTAGAGGTAGATACATGCAAAGAGATGGATTATCAGGACTGATCTGAAAGAAGCCAAGGAGGGAGACTGCCTGATGATACATCTTGACAGCAAGGTTGTTATATGATACACAGTACATGATATCTTGCCATTTGTATTGGGACTTCCTACTGTAGTAGTAGAAGTGAGTGAGTGAGTGAGTTTAGTTTTACACCGCACTCAGCAATATTCCAGCTATATGGCGGCGATCTGTAAATAATCGAGTCTGGACCAGACAATCCAGTGATCAACAACATGAGCAGCGATCTGCGCAATTGGGAACGGATCCCAGATAGCATTCAGACGTTGGGCCAACATCTGAATGCTATCTGGGATGACATGTGTCAACCAAGTCAGCGAGCCTGACCACCTGATCCCGTTAGTTGCCTCTTACGACAAGCATGGGTTACTGAAGATCTATATTCTAGCCCGGATCTTCATGGGTCCAGTAGAAGTGACTTTGGTGTGGAGGATTGTTTCAGTGTTTGGTGACTGTCTCTCCAGGACTACTTGGTGGACCCACTCCAGGCTGACGGTCTCGGTGGGAGGACCAGTCTCGAACGCTGATAGACCGCACCACCAAGCCCTGTCCAAAGTGTGGCTCCAGGACTGAGAGAAACGGTCAGTCACGGTCTCAGAAGTCTACATCAGTATGTTTAGAAATTCAAGTCAAATGTTAGTCAGTCCATACTTGCCACCACAATGGCAAGAGACATATGTAGTAAGGGGAAGCATCTTTAATGATCTTATGTAAGTCGAATACCTATAACATAAGTACACAGAAAATAATCGTCATCTTCTCATGCCTTTTTAAATTCTGGGTCAGAATTGGTGGTGGTATAATTCTTTATCTGTAAGAGAGACATTGTATCCAAAGAGTATTGCTCATGCTATCGACCACTAAATCACACAGACCCTAAACCTTTCAGGTTTTTTGTGTAGTTCTGGTGTTGCTGAGTGTGGGAGTAGGTCAGAAGTCACCTCTCTCCCTGCTATTGTCTTTCACAAACATGGCCTGTTACACTCTGTTACACTGTTACTCTCTGTGACGCTCTGTGAAACTCCGTCACACTGTGTTATGCTCTGTTACAGGTGGTTGTATGCACATGCTGTGTCCACGGTGCGGGGAAGACTGGTGCTGGGTGTGCAACAAGGTGTGGGATCGGGACTGCCAAGGCCAGCACTGGTTTGGATAGTGTGCATATCCTTCCAGATAGTGATTACAATAATAATATACAGGATATACAATTCGGGAAGAAACCTCCTATATTTTCATACACTCTGAACCTCCACCATTCATATGTATAAATGATATTGATGTCATGTTGATATATGTGTGAAATATTCCAGAGACCTGCTGAAATGGTATTTGATGGCTATGTTGTATGTGATGTCAAGAGTGAGATGCTATGCTGTTGCCATTGGAAACTCACAAAACATGATATTCACGGCTAGATTTAAGCATTTAGAACTTGCACTGGTGCAGCCTGAAACTGCAAAATGCAACCTCATACTTATACCGGTACCAACTGGCACCCACTGCATGTTTTTATTTTTGCTGCTCAAAGAACACAGACTTCAGTTTGAAAACAGAATGGCAAGGAAATGACTTGGAGCAGTGACTCTGATGGCTGCATGGACAGTAAGACCATGACCGTTAGTGTTCATATGATGGAATTTTATTAAGTTAGATAAAGTGACCTCATCAGACTCTTACTAATTTTGTCTCAGCACCAGATGCAAACTGTTTTTGTCTGGTGCTACAAGGTTAATACCAGTTGGAAGTAGGTTTCCTGTTTTTAAATCAAGCCCTGATATCTGTTTCAGTTTCTACTATCAGCATGGTGATCTCACTCTGTACACAAAAATAGACAGTATTCTTCAGGAAGTTAACATGGGAAAGTATTTTTAGATGTCTTTTACATATAGAAATATATGGTAAGTGATGCTCAGGTTTATTCATGGGCCATGTTTCACAAAGCAATATTGGAGTTACGACCATCATAAGCAAATGTTAAAGTACAGTAGAACATGCTTATAGCGAACACGGATATAGCGTACAGACGGATATAGCGAACAAATTTAAAAGTCCTGTCAACAGTCCTTTATAATATCATTAAAATTATACGTGAATAACGAACTCGTGAGTAGCAAATTAACGGCTATAGCGAACTGATTTACTACCCCCCAAGACCCAATTAACGACGTGATTAGTGAACTCACTCAGTGTCAGCTCAGCCACTTAGCGGTACAGTATACATCAATCTTGTTGGCGGTGAATCAACATTGTTTGATGGTCATTAATTAATTAACAAAACAAACATATCGTGTTTAACCCATTCAACTTACGCCAGGCGAATAATCGGCCACAGCGTTATGAAAAGCGAAGTTTTTCGTTGGCCGAGGGCGGTATCCATTGCCGTAGTATGATTGGCTGCCTTAGGTCACATGTCTGATTTTGACCAATCACGATCCTTATAGCAGACTGTGGCGAAAAGCGTCATTAGAAACCAATCTTTATCAATAAAATCGCTTTTTACAACTGTGAAAATACTCTCGGCAAGGGTACAGTGATATTGTTGATGTTCCAGAACTGTCGAGCGATACCAGACACCACCACGATTAAGCCTCGCATGTTATTTATTCATCTGAAGCGAAAACGGAGGTATTTCCGTTGTTGTGTCATGTTAGCGAGCGGAAAGCCTGATTACATAAAAATGAAAATATAAAAGAAAAAGGCACGGGCATGTTATGACATGTCACAAATGGAAAAAAAAATCGCTACAGTTTTTGCTTCTTTCGTGGTTTATCTGGACATTATAAATGTGAGCTTGCATTTTCATTAAAAAATAAATTTATTTAAGTTGTAGTTGTATTATTTCAATTTTATTATAAAAATAAACTTCATATTTATCAACATGATATAGGTAATGTCTGTGAATGTCTACATCTCTACAATCCAAGATGGCGGTCAATGTGAATAACGAACAACGGATATAGCGAACTAAATTTCTTGGTCCCTTGGAGTTCGTTATATCCGTGTTCTACTGTATAGGACTTACGATCAACCTCACCTCACTGGAGAATAGACCTACCGTTACTTGTATATATAGCCAGTGTATGAAATAAGTCAAAAATCCAGCCAGATATCAGGGCTGGTAACTTCTGAATGTTACCAGCCCAAAATGGATTTAACCAGACCAGACACCAAGATATGGTGAATTTGCTCAGATGTATGGAACATCTAAAAGTTTGACCAGACCATCGGGATGGCTAGCTGTAAATTTAGACCGTCCGTCAGAAATCTAGTCCATCTCGGGCTGTCGGATGGGCCTTATTTCATACACTGATATAGCCCAGAGTCATATGTTTCGATTGAGAAAGTCTGAAATATGAATGCTATGACATTGAAACTAAAATATTAACACATGACATTAATTGGTATTGATTGCAGTTATCTAAAGCAGTTGTTTATGATCCATTCTACCAGTAGTTCAGTGTTGTGATTACAGTCATAGCAACAATTGCTTCTGCGACCTCACCACTGAAAGCTATCTGATTGGTTGGAACAGGTCAATATTCTGGTTATAAACTTTCAGTTGAATTTAAAGGCTGTCACCATACAGAATTGAGACCTCTTGTTTTGATATGGAACAAAGAGCTTTACTGAGGGTGTGAGTATGTTTTTATGCCACTTTTAGCAATATTCCAGCAGTATCATGGTGGGGAACACCAAAAATGGGCTTCACATATTGTACCCATCTGGTGAATCGAACCCGAATCTCCGGCATCACATGCCAATGCTTTAACCACTAGGCTACCCCATTGCTCCTAAGAGCTTCACTATTGATGGTCAAGAGGTTTCTTGAGAAGTTTGGTTATGAGGAGGCTACATGTCTGGATTTCAGTGATTACTGGTCAGTTTCGGACAGCTGCCGGACAGTTCTTTTGGCTTGATGGTAATCTAGGGTCTGCTAATAAGGGCAGTGGACAGTTTTTAAATTCACAATAATTCAATCAAAACCAAGAGAAAAATCTTTTTGTATTTGAATATGCTGGGTAATTTGTTTGCATTTGATTAACAACAGTTTGCCTACATGTAGTTAATTAGATTATGTAATGTCCAGCTTGAAAAAGTTACATCTCTTTGGATTTCTTTCCTGAATGAGTGAGTTGAGCTGCTGTGTTGGCCTGATGAAGCTTTGTTAGTTAAGGAGGTGATAGACCTTCACCACTCAGAAACCACAGAAACACCAACTGAAGCTTCCTCTGCTAAGAGATCGCATTTGTTTAGACCACTGTGACTCCATGCTCTCCCCATCTCTCTAGCAATCCTATCATTTGTTTTCTGGATGAAAAATATGTGAAACAAAAATGATGATGAAAGTGTTTACCCCTTAAACCAATTGTAAGGTGGGTCTTCCTTAAGGAGTTAGCATCACAAACATTTCACACTCTTTGGATGTCAGTCCAGCAACAGGGATGCTGGTGTCATCTAGTCAAAAGGCTCCTTGAACAGACACAATATTCTCAATGTTTCTTCACTAAATATAGCATGCAATAGACATGCTGAATACCACGGAAACGAAAGAGTGGTAAATAGTGTGCAGCTTCTCCGTTCAGAGAAAAAATCTATGTTTTGAAGCATAAATACCAGCCCCACTAAAGATGTTTAAAATGGTTGGTTCCTAGCATCAGCAATATTTTAGAGGTATCTACATTTTCACCTCAGTAGTCAAGCTTGCTTACTATATTGGCATGTAAGGATATGATTGCAGTATGATTTGATATAAGATAGTTATAAATGGCATCAAGCTTTTCAATTTCATGAGAATGACAATCATAAAATTGACTGAAACTGTTTTGAATGTCAATTGAGCAGCTTTCACAGAGCACTCTTTTGTTTTGTGAAAAATGTCTATATTTTCACTCTGGCAAGTTGATCTCTTCCTCTGAATCAGTTGAAAACTGATCTAAATATTTTCTCATTTTGATGGTTAGTTAACTTTGAACTACAGTTCTGAATTTGAGTCAAGTAGGATATGGATTGTGGCTAATATGTGAGATTTTGAATTGAATTTAAACCTAACGTACACTTGAACAATACAGGGGTTGAAATTTGGGTGAAGGTATGTCTCCAGTGTTTTTTTTATTGTAACATGGCTCCTTTAGCCAGGGCTTCAATTGTTGTTAACTATTATGTGAGAAACATGATTGTGTGATGCTATGCTGTGGTTTATGATTTTTATTATAAGCTGTTGTTGATTTTATACAAGATGTTCTTTGATTAAGATGAAATAAACAGTATTAATGTTTTTATTTGTATTTTCAGTTTGTCACACATCAGATGTGTGTGTAAAGGTTCAGTGCACATGCTTTTAGTCTTGTGTGTAGGTGTACTGACCAAACACCTCTCTCTCTTGTGTTGAAGTGTATGCACTTCTTATTTTTGCCATGTTAATACTATCGATGTTCTAACCACAGGAACTCAAATTTCCATCTACCTTGCTTGATGTGAATTCCTAACATTCTTATCAAATCAGTGACGTACCCACTTTGGGATGACAGGAAAAATTGGAAAACCGGTTTGTATTTAAGAAAAGGAAAAGGAAAAATGTACTCACATAAAATGAGGTTAACTGATGAAATGATAGTATAGGAGAAAATGTGTCCATAAAATATTTTCAGGCATGTAGAAAAATTTCAGGTGTGTCCACAATATTGTGCAAAACATGCACAACTTATTGATGGTATACTGTTAATTAACTTGCGAAATGGTCACCCTTGGTGTTACCCATCTATCTGTTCGAATAGCTTGCCCAAACTGGGCCACGTTTGTGCGTGCGTTATTCCATACACTCTCTGCCCAAGAACCTGTATATATCTGGGTTAGATTTGGTCTTCATCAACCCATGCTTGTTGTAAAAGGCGACTAACAGGATCGGGTGGTCAGGCTCACTGACTTGGTTGACACATGTCATTGTATCCCAATTGCATAGGTCGATGCTCATGCTGTTGATCACTGGATTGTCTGGCCAGACTCGATTATTTACAGACCACTGGAATATTGCTGAGGGCTGCGTTAAACAACAACTCAAGCAACCAACAAACTGCCGTAGAAAATCCCACAGATGTTCTATGGGATATGACAGGGCTTAACAGTCCAGTCCAATATACAGTGGAATCTGTCTATTACGGACTGGCCTGGGACCGACTCATTTGTCGGATTGTAAAGCGGTCCGGATTAGACAACTTTTGTCCGTTACTGTAGACACTGCTACGAGTTGCTGTGTATTACCGTAGATAAGCCGAATTTTGAGGACCCCAAAAAAATAACAGAAAACGACTTTGTCGGTAAAGACGTTAAATTTGAAATTAAATTTTACTAGACAGGATTATTTACCTTTTCAGTTCTAATTTGTTTTTGCTAGGCATTGTCTTATATGCAGTGATTAAGATTACCGTGTGTATTTGTCTCGTACATAGAGCCGGAAATAGCAATCAGCTGTGCACATGTTCCCCCACGACCTACCGGTGATTTAGAGAAATATATTCTAGCATTGCATCATTTCAATTGCAGATTTTGCTCTATAAATGTAAAATATTTATGATCAGTAAAATGTTTATTAGAACATACCTCTGTTTTACATCCAAGACAGAAACTGCCAGTTGTCTTGTGGTCTGAGTTGGCCGCGATTAGGACCCCAACAGAAGTAATGGAGATGTTTATTCAACGGACTGTTATTTTAGTCAGCTAAGTCCGAATTATAAAGCGTTGTCCTCATAGCAAGTTGATTGTTGGGACTGTTATTTTAGTCCGTAATCCATAATTGAGAGAGTCTAGATTATAAAGCAAACTTTAATGATAAATTAAGTACAATTTTTCCGGAACTCAGAGAGCAGTCCGGATTATGGAGAAAACCGGATTACACAGAGTCAGGATTTGACAGATTCCACTGTAGATATGCCTGTCAATGGTGTTGCCTCACCCACTCCCATCTTTCTTGCTTATGGTAAGCAGTCAGGTTTCACACCTTTCACTCAAAGGACAAATTTCCCCAGATATAATCAAACAAGCCTCTTCAACATGAGCAAAGCACCACCTGAAAACCTGATGAAACTCCAGAGTACACAGACTTCTATAATACACTTCAACAAAAATACATCAAGACTCATACAGTGCAATGCAACACATTCTCTTGAAATTGTGCAAACAATGCTCATGCTTAACGTGAGAGGACAGCATAAGCCTTTTTCTAATTTGACGAGCACAAGTAGTGTTGCCAAACCAAGAAACATACCGGTACTCTGGGCAAAAGCAGGAATTAAACAACAAACAATTAAACAATCCAGTGATCAACAGCATGAGCATCGATCTTCGCAACTGGGATATCAAGATGTATCAACATGAGACAGTGAGCCTGACCACCGATCCCGTTAGTCGCCTCTTACAACAAGCATGGGTTACTGAAGATAAATTCCAACCCAGATCTTCAAGGGTTAGGATTTAAACCCACAATCATGGGTTCCTTTGGGCCCAAGGGATGCAGCTCTGCACAGCAAACTGCACCACATTAGACTCTTGGGACATCCAGACCCTCCCAGCAAACTGGCACATGAGACTGCAGATCCTCCCAGCAAACTTCGACATGAGACTCTAGATCCTCCCAGCAAACTGTGGCACATTCTTGGGAATTGGCAAAAAAGGAAGTTGACTATTACTGGGAAGATAACTGTAATTAAAACCTTGGCTGTATCTACTTTAGTACACATTTTTACATCACTCCCTAATCCTCCTAAATGTTTCATGGATGATATTGAGAAAATGTTTTTCACTTTTATCTGGAGTGGTAAACCTGATAAGATTAAGAGGAGGAATATGAAAAAGGATTACAGGGAAGGAGGAAGTAGGATGATTCAGGGCTCCAGATAAGGGCCGTATCGGCGTATGTACGGATTTTGAAAACGTAGAAGATACGCACAACGGCAATGGTGTATGGTTTATCATTTACAGACGTATTTTTCTGAAACATTATTGTTTTATTGTTTTTTGACCTTTTTACTTAAGCGTAGCAATGTTGTGGTGCATATATGAAACGAAACACTAGGTTACTGATACTCCATTAAATTCCATTCAGTACTCTAAATGTACTCTTAAGGTTTTCCAGTACTCCTGTATTGAAAAAATATGGAGTACGTACTCCTGATGTTGAAAACTTATCTGGAGCCCTGATGATTGATTTAAAATCTTTTATTGCTGCATTGAAACTAGCCACTATTAAGAGGTATTTTAAGAATGATGCTAATAACCCTTGCAATGTTCCTATTCGTCAACTTGCTCAGATGGGCTCAAACATTGATCAATTCTGCACTGTGGACAACCCATATTGGAAAGATGTTCTTCTATCATGGAAGACTGACTGACTGACTGACTGAGTTTGGACGCCGCTTTTAGCAATATTCCAGCAACATCACGGCATGGGGGACACCAGAAATGGGACACATTGTGCCCATGTGGGGATTGAACCCGGGAAAGATAGCGCTTTAACCATTAGGCTACCCCACCGCCCCTATCATGGAAGAGATACAGAAGCCTATTCATAACTGATGAGAATGATCTGTCTAAAATAGTCTCTGAGCCCCTCTGGTTTAATCACCAGTTTGTTGATTCATCCTTTTTTTTTAAAAGTTGGTTTGAGTATGGAATCACTGAAGTTAAAGACCTCTGTAAATCCGTCGGTCTACTTTCTTTTAATGAGTTCAAGAACAGATATCCAGTTAGAGGAACATTTCTAGACTACAATAAACTTTTGAAAAATATCCCTGTCTCATGGAGACATACTGTCAATAATTCTATTAATGAGACTCAAAATCTGGGTATTAATGACATAGTGTATGAACTTATTATACCTTCAAAAGGTTGTAGAAGGTTCTATGACAAATTGATTAAAATATGTCAGCTACCTGATGTGTGTAACAAGTGGGAAAGTATGACTCAGATTACATTGCCTTGGAGTATTGTTTTTACAAACTATAGAAAGTGTACTCGTGAAGTTTAAATAATTGGATTTTCAATTTAGATTCATCCACAAGATTATATATACTAAAAAAGAATTGTTGAAAATGAAATTGATTGACAAAAATATTTGTACATTTTGCAAATCAGAACCAGAAGATATTATCCATGTTTTTGTATCGTGTGAACGTGTACAGATGTTCTGGAGTGAACTAAGGATTTTTAATATAAACACTTTTAGCATTGACATTAGTACTCTCAGATTTCACAATCCTGTTGGGACTTATCACTGGCTATGATTTTATTAACAAACTGTGCCACATTAGACTCCAGACCCTCCCAGCAAACTGTGCCACATTAGACTCCAGACCCTCCCAGCAAACTGTGCCACATTAGACTCCAGACCCTCCCAGCAAACTGTGCCACAGACCCACAGATTAGACCTCCCAGCCTGTGACTCCCACACCCTCCCAGCAAACTGTGCCACATGAGACTCCAGACCCTCCCAGCCTGTGACCCTCCCAGCACATGAGACTCCAGACCCTGAGACACCAGACTCCAGACCCTCCCAGCAAACTGTGGCACATGAGACTCCAGACCCTCCCAGCAAACTGTGCCACATGAGACTCCAGACTCTCCCTGGAGAGGAACAAATGAAACAACAAGAGTGATTATAATTCAACATTTTAATAGTATTGCAGGTATGGAGGAACCAAGATGTCTGAGAAGTCACGTGATGAATGGCAAGAAATCAGTGAGATAAAGCATACAGTATATACTGCTCAACTGAAGACTACTAATTACTTGGCAGTCAGTGGAGGAAGGATTCAGTATCTTTTAACCCTTTCATGAGTTGAGTAGTGCCCTCATAAAGGAGTTACAGAAGAGAGTGAGTGAGTATGGTTTTATGCCGCTTTAGCAATATTCCAGCAATATCACGGCAGGGGACACCAGAAATGGGTTCACACAATGTACTCATGTGGGAAATCGAACCCAGGTCTTTTGTGTGACAAGCGGACGCTTTAACCACTGGGCTACCCCACTGTCCCTAGTTATAGAAGAAATGAATGGCATAATAATAACAACAAAAATACCTGTTTTATATGAAAGTAAATATTTTGTACCTAGTACTTCAAGCAATATTTTATAAGTCTTTGAAACATATTCAACTAATCCAGTTTGTAAGACAGCCTGAAAAGTGTTTACCCTGTGAATGAATGCTAGCATCCATCTTTCAATCATAGAAAATAATAAAACAGTATTTCATGCTATTCTAAGAAGCAAGTCAAAATTCATAATGCACTAACAATCTCTACCTCTTATTGACACTTGAAACTTTCACCCCTTTGTGAAACTCATTCAAACACCAATCAGATGAGGATAACGGCAAGTCTTGTGAAGTGTTGGAAACAGATAGTACGTGCCATGAGATGGTTGTACTTGCTTTAGAGATATCTAAGCCAAGGGTTTGTGGTTGAAATAAACATAATTAATTAATTTCTTCATAAGTGTCATATGTAGACTGAAATTAACAGGGATTTATGAACACGGTGCTTGTAATGCTAGTAGATTTACTCCCATACCTATCTAAAATTACTTTATAAAAAAGCTAATGTAGTCCACATTCATAACAAGTGGAAGTAGAATGGTGTGTAGACAAAGCAACAGAAAACTGATCCAGCCTAATGTTACAAATAAAATACAGGTGAATAATCATAATATATTACCAGAGTTATCTGAGTGTGAGTTAATATTGCTTAACACTGCTGTATCGACTATATTGCAATTATTTGTGGCAAGTCCCGAGTGTGAGAGGCCTGGTGGATCATCCCAATGCCATGAAGTCCTGCATAGCGGCAGGGCTAATCTGATTGGCTGTTCGGTAATAAACACTGATTAAACAGAAAAATGATTAAAGTGAGGTGTGACGCAAAATATGTACAACACTTCTGAAATGACAAAACATAAAATTATAGTACACCATTTGATCACAAGTAGACAATACTTATAACTAAAAAAAACTAAACTAAATAAATAATCTGAAAACAAAGCAGCCACTTAATAAATTGAACTTGACTAGTCAGTAATCAGCATCTGTGTACAAGAAAACATGGAGTATACGTAAAATAATCCCATTGTTTAACATCAATACAGGTAAAAACCATATAAATTCAAAGTGCTAAATTGCCATGATGCTGTCATCCAGGAACCTGATTACCTGATGTGTAAAAAACCCACTGTACTACTCACTGTTGATAGGGATATATTGTTACCTTTCCATGACACAGCTGATTATCCCTATCAAAAATTTAGTAGTATAAACCAGATCTCTTTAGCTTAAGTCGGGAATTGTAGCATGTGTCCAGCAACAGTTCCTTTAAGTCAAAACATATTTTCAAGCTAACAGTTCCTTTGTAGCATCAAGATATTTTGAATGCAACGCAATGCTTTGGCACTCTTTGCATGTTAAGTCCATAACCTCTCATTCGATCTAGCATGCTGCATATATCCATGCAAAAATCAAGATAAAATCTTTCAACAATACATGAAATTTTAAAGTGACAAATATATCCCAGGGTGCTGTTGTACAAAACCACCTTAGTGCTACAATAGTGTCACCTTAGTGCTACAACAGTGTACGTCTGTGTTCAAGTATGGGAACTAGGATCACCTTAGTGCTACGACTGTCGTACGTCTGTGTTCAAGTATGGGAACTAGGATCACCTTAGTGCTACGACTGTCGTACGTCTGTGTTCAAGTATGGGAACTAGGATCACCTTAGTGCTACGACAGTCGTACGTCTGTGTTCAAGTATGGGAACTAGGATCACCTTAGTGCTCGACTGACTGTAAAATGCGTCTGTGTTCAAGTATGGGAACTAGGATCACCTTAGTGCCACGACTGTGGAAATGCGTCTGTGTTCAAGTATGGGAACTAGGATCACCTTAGTGCTCACGACTGTCGTGCGTCTGTGTTCAAGTAACGACTGTCGTAGGTCTGTGTTCAAGCATGGGAACTAGGATCACCTTAGTGCTCACGACAGTCGTACGTCTGTGTTCAAGTATGGGAACTAGGATCACCTTAGTGCTACGACAGTGGAAATGACGCCTGTGTTCAAGTATGGGAACTAGGATCACCTTAGTGCTACGACAGTCGTACGTCTGTGTTCAAGTATGGGAACTAGGATCACCTTAGTGCTACGACTGTCGTGCGTCTGTGTTCAAGTTTGGGAACTAGGATCACCTTAGTGCTACGACTGTCGTATGCGTCTGTGTTCAAGTATGGGAACTAGGATCACCTTAGTGCTACGACTGTCGAAACGTCTGTGTTCAAGTATGGGAACTAGGATCACCTTAGTGCTACGACTGTCGTACGTCTGTGTTCAAGTATGGGAACTAGGATCACCTTAGTGCTACGACTGTCGTACGTCTGTGTTCAAGTATGGGAACTAGGATCACCTTAGTGCTACGACTGTCGTACGTCTGTGTTCAAGTATGGGAACTAGGATCACCGTCGCACGTCTGTGTTCAAGTATGGGAACTAGGATCACCTTAGTGCTACGACTGTCGTACGTCTGTGTTCAAGTATGGGAACTAGGATCACCTTAGTGCTACGACTGTCGTACGTCTGTGTTCAAGTATGGGAACTAGGATCACCTTAGTGCTACGACTGTCGTACGTCTGTGTTCAAGTATGGGAACTAGGATCACCTTAGTGCTACGACAGTCGTACGTCTGTGTTCAAGTATGGGAACTAGGATCACCTTAGTGCTACGACAGTCGTACGTCTGTGTTCAAGTATGGGAACTAGGATCACCTTAGTGCTACGACAGTCGTACGTCTGTGTTCAAGCATGGGAACTAGGATCACCTTAGTGTTCAAGTACGCCTGTGTTCAAGTATGGGAACTAGGATCACCTTAGTGCTACGACTGTCGTACGTCTGTGTTCAAGTATGGGAACTAGGATCACCTTAGTGCTACGACAGTCGTACGTCTGTGTTCAAGTATGGGAACTAGGATCACCTTAGCACTAAGATCGCTTTGTACAACGGCATCCTGGTGTGAAAATAACATAAAGGAACAACACATTCTCTAAAATCTGAATAGCGCTTTGAGCATGCAGCTTGTGGATGGATACAGCGCTTTGAGCATGCAGCTTGTGGATGGATACAGCGCTTTGAGCATGCAGCTTGTGGATGGATACAGCGCTTTGAGCATGCAGCTTGTGGATGGATACAGCGCTTTGAGCATGCAGCTTGTGGATGGATACAGCGCTTTGAGCATGCAGCTTGTGGATGGATACAGCGCTTTATAAATACTCAGTATTATTATCATTATTAAAACTTCTGTACACTAAAAACAGGCAACAGCAAACATCTTATACAGATGATGGGCAAGGTAGGAAACCCAGTCAATCTGCATCAAAGGATTTCATTGCAATAAACTGTACAAATGAATATGAAACAGTGAAACAAACACTTTGCAGCATGTAATCTGACATTGTATAGTATACCTTCATGACTGCTGCAGGCATGTTTTGTATACAACATGCTGTGCTAGATACCTGCTACACAACTCTGGAGGTATGGACCCTGACATTGGGAGGTAGTGCAGCACACTGAGGTAAGTCCTGACTCAATGCCTACTGATCTCATGTAAAGGAGATGGAGTTGAAGAACAGGGTGCCTATTCTCGAAAGTGTCCCAGCTAAGACATATCCTAACAAGTTAGGACAGGAGTTAGGACATCCTACCGTTAGGAGAAGACCCATTCTCGAAACAATCCTATCCCTGTCCTAACTTGAGCTTCCGATCCTAGCTAGGATAGTGAGCTCTTCAGTAGGTGAGATAGAAAAATAAGAGTTGGGGATTCCCCTAAATATTACCCATGATTCATTCCATATAAAAACACATTTATAAGGGCAACTACAATCTCGCTACAAGATAAATGGTAAGACTAGAAATCGAAGTGAAAAGCTTGAAAGTGGTGAAATTCAGCTTTTGGTGGACTTAGTAGATCTAGAAGAAATTATAATTAATTATAGTTATAATCAAAATACACATCTTGTATCCAGAAAAATAGAGTGAATTAGTACTTGCATAGATTTAAAATATTTAATGAGATTTTATAATATCGATTTATTCGAATTACCATACTTGCAGAAAATAGTATTGTTATATGTTAATATATTCGATATTTTCATCACATTATAGTAGCTTTGAAGTTTTTGAAAATTCATTTATTTGACAAGGAGATAATATTTTTACTGCCAAGAAAGCAATAAGATATGTGCAAAACATATTTACATTTTATTTGTTTTGTTTTTAATGAAAATCATTACTTGAATTCTCATTATGCCTCACCTAACAAACTGAAAATTCACCTAGGAAATAAACAGGAGTTACTCCCCCTATCAAGTTGGCCTTGACATTGACATTTCACAGCAATGTGACAGAAAAGAGCAATGTTGTGATAAAGGCCGACAATAGGTAAGAACTGAACAAATCTCCTTTGCAGATCTAAAGAATATGTGCATTGCAACAAGTGTGTCTATTCATTACCGATAAATCAATAATATAAACACAAAACACTCATCAAAACTCTGTGCTGTTGTAAAGTCAAATGTAATTTAGGCGACTTATTTTGTTTGACAACATCAAAATAGGTGAACAAACAAGAACCACACCATGTTGCCTTCCACTAAGATAGACTTAGGACAAGTCAGAACCTACTTTTCGAGAATAAGGTAGGACACCTATCCTAGACCCTAGGATAAAAGTCAGGATATCCTAGCGTTAGGGTCGTTTCAAGAATAGGGGCCTGTGTTCTAGTTATATCATGGTGTCCGCTTAATGTGAGAAGAGAGTCTGAAGTCACATTTTTTAAACCCATGAGCACAAGTACGGTGCTGTCAAACCTTTAAACATAATGAGGGCAATCCAAAATCAAACCCATGATCATCAATTCCTGGGCAACCCAAGGGAGGCCACTCTTGCACGGGGCCTTGGATAACTGGGCCACACTATGCCCGATACCCTTGAATAATCTGTATTACAGAACTGAAGCGACCAATCAATCCTAGGGTGATTATTAAACAGTAAGAACAATGTAACACAGACTCTCTTGAGACTTCTATTACACATACTCCTTGAAAAAGATAAATGTTACTACCTGCTTATCAGTCATCCAACTTGTAACATGTGCTGAATAAAACCCACTTTATAATTAGAGAGAGTCCACAGCCTACCTGTAAGGCCAGACAAGAGTGAGTGAGTTGGGCTTAAGGCTGCACTGAACAGTACTTCACTTATTTCATGGGTTGTCGACTAACATTGGGAGGAAAGGGGAGATGGCATGAGGAAACAACCTGATCAGTGCATGTCTGTGATTAAACCCACCATCACAGGCATCCGGCATGCCAAATATATCCGAGTCAACAGTACAAGTTGTGACAAGTAGTGCCTGAACCACAAGGCTCCTCCACCAAAATGAGAGTGACAGGTAAACATACATCCCATCAAAAGTTTACACTCACTAGTGTAAATATAGACACTTATTTCAGGCAACTGTTCTAAACTAAAAATATTCCATACTGTTTAAAGGTACTGTTTACATTTGAACAGATTCTAAAACAAATTCGTAACATTGAAATGATTATTGTCATGAGTTCAATAAATGATAAAAATTAGTAAAAACTGACGATTTCTTAACAAAACTTTACACCAAAACGCAGCTGTTCACATGCATGATATTTGCACATACTTTTCAGCAATTTGATTCATGATCCTCGTCCAATTCATCTGCATAAGGTTTCAAGTTAGTTCCCCCAAGTTAGTGGAGAAATCAATCTTAAATGTAACCACATATATATACATAGCATATAGTGAGTGTTTTAAGTGAGTCCAAACTATTGGTGGGAAGTATAGAAGACACCATTTGGTTTGCTTGTTCCGAGCACACTCACTACAAAATATTTGTTTGTTTGTGCCCAAAATATGTCTAAAGCTCTTCTGATTGGAATGTTATGAATAGAGGTATATCTGGTCCTGCAGTATAGAATTTCAAACAGAAACATTTCTGAATTGTAAATTATTCTCTCTAACAATTAGATCCAAATGTTCTTAAGCAAAGTTTCTCAGACAAGCAGTATCCAACTTAACTGTAACACCTTAATGCTCCATTTAAAATACATGAGTTCAGTACTGAATCACAAAATGGAAACTGTCAGGAATCCCCACTACGTGTGTTTTCACTTTTCTTTGTGGAGGGTAAGGCCAAATATAAAAAAAATGTTGTGATTCCGATTACACCTCTTTAAAATTTAGGGTAGGTAGGATTTTTTCATATCTTTTTTGCGTGTGTATGTGTGGCTGCTTGTACTAGCCCAGACTTAAGCTGGTTTTATAGTGCTAGCCCACTGAGATACCAAGCCGCAGTGACGCATGAATACCCACTCAGACACATTATACTGACTCCAAGCCGACCAGTCCTTGTTGTACCCATTAATGCCGAGCGCCAGGCAGGGACCAACAAGTACCATATTTTAACATCTTTTGGTATGACGCGGTCGGGGATCGAACCCGCAACCTTCCGCTCTAACCACTACACCACGGAGGCGGTCTCTTGTACAATGGAAGGAAAATCATGGAGACATGCTGGATCAACCCAATGACATTAGTGCTTTCAGATTATTTTGCACAATATCAGAAGTCATTCAAAAATTGAATGAAAACTGAACATGGTTCATTTCAATATGTGCACCAAGAAATGCATTGGTAAGAACAAAATGCGTCATAAAAGGGGATTTTAATGATCTTTAACACAACATATTTATTAATCAATGTTATTCTCAACAGCAGCCTTTCTTGTATGTAATAATATGGCCACAAGCAATTGATGAAAACAATCTCATTTATTGTAAAAAATTAATAAAATTTCATGCCAGAAAATTTCAAACCAGTTTGACAAGTCAACATCTACAGGGCCAACCAAGGTCATTATTGTACCCACTTGTTTTAAAGAACCACAAACTAAACATATCCTTCACTTGGAGAACAATCAATAATATTAAATGTTAACTTCATACATCTTTATCTTAACATGAAATGGGACAAATTATGCATCAAGAATTATGCTTTCATGCAAAAGTTGAAGTAGAAAGTGTTTTAATAAATTTCACATGGGGCAGAGCTATGAAACCTGCAGCTTAAGCTGCAATAATTTTACTTCACAAACATATACTTGCCGACTAAACATGCTGAAGTCGACTACTTCAGAACACACCAGGGCTCCCCGTTCCACAAAACAATCATAGTGCTAAGATTACTTAACTCCCACACTTTAACACAGACTTACGACAGTCGTAGCGCTACAATCAAGGAACAGGGCCCAGCACTGTATTGCTGCTCAGTATTTGTGATTACCTGAGAACTGACAGATTATTAATCAGGGTGACATAATTCCTGCCCTGATAATGGACTCTTGTGGACAACAAACAAATACATGACGGACACATAGAAAGATAGATTCAGACTTCACAACCATGCAAATCCAATTTTGAGAAGTTTTGTTCTACATGTGACCACCTGACTAGCACTTATATATTACTGCACTGTCCGCGAATATCATGTACCTCCAGATGATATGTTCAGTAACACTGTCGTGGCATAACATGTACCTCTGGGTGATAAGTTCCGTAACATCGTCTGAGTTCTGTAACACTGGCTGATCAGTTCTGTAACACTGTCCAGGAATAGCATATACCTCCAGCTGATACGTTCAGTAACACTGTCGTGGAATAACATATACCTCTGGGTGATAATGTAACACTGTATGAATTCTGTAACACTGGCTGATAAGTTCCATAACACTGTCCAGGAATAGCATATACCTCCAGTTGATACATTCAGTCATACTGTCGTGGAATAACATGTACCTCTGACTGATAAGTTCCGTAACACTGTCTGAGTTCTGTAACACTGTCCAGGAATAGCATATACCTCCAGTTGATACATTCAGTAATACTGTCGTGGAATAACATATACCTCTGGGTGATAAGTTCCGTAACATCATCTGAGTTCTGTAACACTGGCTGATCAGTTCTGTAACACTGTCCAGGAATAGCATATACCTCCAGCTGATATGTTCAGTAACACTGTCGTGGAGATAACATGTACCTCCAGCTGTCAAGTACTACATTAATTGCATTTTGAGTCAGGGAATTTCAGAATTGTTAATTGAGTAACTTTACCAAATAATAGTCAGAAATACTGTTTGATAAGCATGATATATACAGTCACAGGCTACTATTCAATAACAGTGACAGACTACTACTCAGCCACAGTCACAGGCTACTGTTCAGCCACAGTCACAGGCTACTGTTCAGCCACAGTCACAGGCTACTACTCAGCCACAGTCACAGGCTACTAATCAGCCACAGTCACAGGCTACTAATCAGCCACAGTCACAGGCTACTACTCAGCCACTGTCACAGGCTACTATTCAGCCACAGTCACAGGCTACTACTCAGCCACTGTCACAGGCTACTACTCAGCCACAGTCACAGGCTACTATTCAGCCACAGTCACTGGCTACTATTAGCTACAGTCACAGGCTACTATTTAGCCACAGTCACAGGCTACTACTCAGCCACAGTCTACTACTCAGTCACAGTCACGGGCTACTATTCAACCAAAGTCACAGGCTTGTACCCAGTCAGAGGCTGCAACAGAATCAACATATTCCAAGAGAGAAGTACATTAATCATACACATTTTACAAGAAATCAGTTTATTTCTCTGAATGCACATGCATGAGACCTGTGATGGCTGACTAGTCCATCCAAAACTTACTAATCTCAGCATAATCTAGGATCAATGATAATGAATCTTAGATGATAGTTGACATCCAATCAATAGGAATAGGTGGTCCCTGTGCTAAAGATTAAGATGGCTGAAAAGTTTGATATGAAAATATAAAACACATTTCTTTGCACATAAATTGAGTAGAGACTTGTCACAAACAGGAAGTTATTCCATGGCTTTCATTAGTCTAAAACAACTATTCAATTCTGTGATTGTTCACTGTCCATCACATCAAGTTCATCAAGTTCCTTTGAAAAAATATAACAATATGACACATATAAGATACAAGGAAGAAACATAGATCCACCATCACGTGGCTGATGCGCCATTCAACAAAGATTCATCAGAGTTCACCCTGATCATCTCCTCCACAATGTAACGAATGTCTTGAGCATCCCCCAATTCCACATCGGGCACTATAATCCTCAGAAGCCTGTGCACATTGTCCTGTAAAGCCTTCAGCTCCTCCATAGCCTGTGTCACCTCTGTACATTTAGTAGAATACATCTTTTTCAGTTCCTCATATCTCTGCTTTGTTTCAGATTCACACAATCCATCTTTGTCCTTCTCTTTTCGAGGAGCAATCTGTTTTTCTTTTGATTTTGAGTACAGATTACCACTTGCTGCATTTTTCCTCTGTTTTTTGGATTCGCTGTTGGCTTTCCTCAACACATCGATTTCACTGTCCAATTCTTCAAGACTTGGTTTCACATCTTTGCTTTTGTCCTTGACAGCATCGGTCTCCATGCCTTCACTGTTCTGCAGCTGCTCATCGAGTTCGTCTTTGTCTGGTTTAATGTCCTCAGTCCGGAACAACTTGCTAGCTGTCGGTGATGAAGGCATATCATCTTCCTCCATGGTCAGATCAATGAGGTCGGTCACAGGTTTCCGCTTTCCAGCATTACGATTTTTTTGCTGAGGACTTGCATCATCATCATTCTCCACAATACTGATCACCTCTCCATCCTCCGTCTTGAAACACATGTTCTGGTTCTGGTTTTGGTTCCTGTTGTTGCCGCTGAAAGTGACACACAAAATCAAGATACATCACATATGTATACGTTGACAATTTGGAAAAGCAGATGAAGGGGCAAGAAGCTGCCCTGAAATACTGTTACAAACAATAGCAAGTGAGTGAGTGAGTGAGTTTTCAAGCAAGTGATATCTCGCTGATTTTGATTAAATAGGGTTAGTTAGAATGTTAGTTCCCTGGTTCTTGTTTAATGTTTCTGAATAATCACTGTAAGCAATTTTGATAGCATAAAAACATAGGTTGAATCACACATTATCTTCAGAAAATAATTTGCACATTTACTTAATTCCAAAAGATATACATGGCCATACATGGCCAAAAAGGATAGTGTAGCTTGCATCAAACTGAAGAATTCAGATATACTTGAATCTCCCCCACACAGACAGAGTTACCATGGTAACTGACCTTGTGGATGACACAGGGGAATTACCAGCCAAATTTTCTGCTTTCTCCAGAAGGGTCTGCAAACAAACAACAACAGTGAGTGAGTGAGTTTAGTTTTACGCCGCACTCAGCAATATTCCAGCTATATGGCGGCGGTCTGTAAATTATCAAGTCTGGACCAGACAATCCAGTGATCAACAGCACATGCATCGACCTGTGCAAATGGGAACCGATGACATGTGTTAATCAAGTCAGCGAGCCTGACCACCCGATCCTGTTAGTCCCCTCTTACGACAAGCATGGGTTACTGAAGGTTCATTCTAATTCAGAGCTTCAGAGGTCAAACAACTACATGATTTCATCATAACAGATATAAAACTGGTACTTTTAGAGGCAGTGTTCATGATGAATACAAAGCGGTTGTTGTGGTTGTTGGTTGTTGTTTACCACCACACTCAGCAATATTTCAGCTATATGGTGGCAGACTAAATAATCGAGTCTGGACCAGACAATCAAGTGATCAACAGCATATGCATCGATCTACGCAATTTGGGATACATGACATTTGAAAGCAAGTCTTTGAGTCTGAGCACCTAATCCTGTTAGTGGTGTTTGATCTGAGTTGAGCTGAGTCCTTGTTGTACCAATCAATGCCAAGAGCCAGGCAGGGACCAACAAGTATCATATTTTCACGTCTTTTGGTATGACGCTGTCTGGGATCGCACCCAAGACCTTCCTCTCTCTGGGCGGACTCACCACAGAGGCAGTGTAAGTGAGTGCGAGAGGGAGGGGATGGAGTGGGGATGGAGTGAGGGATGGAGTGAAGGAGTGAGTGAGTGAGTGAGGGAGGGAGTGAAGGAGGGGAGGAGGGATGGAGTGAGGGAAGGAGTGAGGGAGGGAGGGATGGAGTGGGGGATGGAGTGAGGGAGGGAGTGAAGGAGGGAGGGAGGGAGTGAGGGAGGGAGGGATGTTGCTGACAAACCCAGAGTGAATGTTGTTTCGAACACAAGATCATGAGATACTACTGGAAAAGTGTCAGTATCAATATAAAGGACCATGAAGGAAAGGACCCGTATGAAGGTACTGACATTGTTCTGCATGTTGACAACACGGAGGTTCTCGGCGGCCTTCAGAAGCTCCCCCTTCTGCTGCTCCTGATGTTTCTTTTGCTCTTGGAGCTGCAGGATCAGCCGCTTCTGCAGCGCCTCGCGCTTCTTCGACTCAATCAGAGCCTTCTCCAAGTTCACCACATCCTTCCGCATCTGATTCTTGGAACTTGACACCTGAAACAGGTTGAAAACATATGGCATGTAGAATGCTGGGAAGGACAGTGTTAGTCCTCTAATGAATCTGGATCACATACAGATGAATACTGTTCCAATACAAATGTATGAATGTTTTTAGTTCATTTGTGAAAGAATGAGTTTTCTGAACTGCATTTAGCATAACTGATGTTTCACACTGCAGTGAACATAACACTTTGATGGAACTCTTTTCAAACAAGAGTTACCTCCCTGCAAAATATCTGTCAGAAGTGTCATCTGCTAACAAATAGACAGTACTTGAATTTCTGTTTACGTTTCTCATTGACAAGGCAAAATAATGACAGATGGTAATTTTAGTAAAATCTGAATATTTTTTAAATTTGTATACTTATCCTGCACTACTTACTTCCTGCACTTATTGCTTACGGCTCGAAAGGCGTGGCTTGCCAGATGATGTTAAAAGACGTAGAACTGCAATGACTTCCTGGTCTTGCCTGCTACTCGTCTGCGCATGCGTCACCGGAAGGTGACGTCAGCCACCTCAAATTATTGCCAGAAATCCCACAGATGGCAAATAAAGCGGGGAGGTAGCTGATAGCGCAGGGTGGGCCCTTATCATAAGTAGTGCAGGATAAGTATACAAATATAAAAAAATATTTAGATTTTACTAAATTTTTAACTAATCCTGCACTATGTACTTCCTGCACTTTTATCCGACAGGCTGGAAGGTGGGCATGTCATCTGAGGGATCGCCTCGCTTATGTAATAGCAGCCAGCTCAATCCGTAAATCCCATGCTCGGGAAGCGTTGGTAATGCGCCTATAACAGAGAGTGATGATCAGGTAGTGGTAATTCGCAGATAAGACCGAGTCTTAAATGAAAAGAAACCACTAATTTTAAAGCTTGCGAAGCTTAAGGAATGCAGTAAAAAGCATGGACTTGAAATACAAGGATAACTCCTTAACTGACATACCTAGTTGTTTCTGAAGAAAAACAATTCATTCCCCACATGGTGGTCCGTGGGAAGAAAACACAAGGCAGGAGGGTCACTTTCTTCGGGGATTGGTGAGTTGCTGAGCAACCACCAATGGTCCGAAGCTGTGGACATTGTTAGCGTCCTTGACAGCCATGTCACGCAAATAATGACAGGCAAAAACTGTGTCCGACCGCCAAAAACAACCTTGCATAATGGATGACACAGTACAATTACTGTGAAGTGCCATAGTCAAAGCAAGTGCTCGAATCTCGTGTGGATGAGATGACGTAGGAGGGTCCAGCCCAGCCGCTTTATATGCCTGAAGAATGGTCGTTCTTAACCATAAGGCAATTGTGTTTTTGCTGAAATCTGACTGTGACGACCGGGATAGGGGAAGAAATAACCGTTTCCTTGTACCACGGACGCCTTTGGTGCGATCAATGTAACTTTTGAGCGCACGAATCGGGCATAAAAGCAACTCAGCATCGTATTCAGTGCCAACAATATATGATAATGGAATGGAAAACTGTCGATCAGGTTGACCTGGTAGTTGGTTTTTAGCGATGAAATCCCAACACAGACCCAAATGCACAGAACCATGACGACGACGTTCAAACTTGACCCTAGTCACGTCAAAGGGCGTGAACCTCACTCACTCTAGCCGCAGTCGCTAAAGACAAAAGAAAAGCTGTCTTCCTGGATAAATCAGCGAGGGAAGCGTTCTCAAGAGGTTCATAAGGTGCACCACGGAGATGGTCTAACACAGCGTTGAGATTCCATGCCGGCGGAAGAAACTTCAATTTCTGGTCTTCAAGTCTGAACAAATGAAGCATGGCCTGTAATTCTGGGATTTTGGAAAAACTTTCTATCAGTGGGAACCGCTAAAACTGAGCTAATTTCCGCTAAATACGTGGCAATGGTGCCTCCCTTCAGACGCCTGGACATTCGGAGATAAATAGGAAGTCTGCTATGAACTGAAGAGACACTTTCAGCAGATCCTGCTTCCTGGAAACACAAAATCGTTCAAACGACTGCCAGTTGTCTTCATACAAGTGTTTAGTAGAAGTTATGTGCGCCGTCGCAATGGCTTTGGCTGCTCTGGCCGAAAACCCCTTAGCACTCAGTGCTTTCTGCAAATGGTCCATGCGTGCAGATTAAACCGATCTGAAGCAGGATGCGGGAGACGGCTGTGAGGGTGCACGAGAACGTTCCTCCATGTGGGTAGAGGGAAGGGATCTCCTACCACTAGACTTTTTAGAACGGGAAACCAGTTCCTGACCGGCCACCAAGGCGCGACCAAAATCAGTTGCAGGCAAGTTGTCTCCTTGACTTTTGCGAGAACTTTGGGTAGTAGAACTGGTGGCGGAAACGCATACGCGTGAAGCCCCTCCCACGATAGGCTGAGAGCATCCACCGCCCAACCGCTGGATCTGGGACTGGGGACACATACACTGGCAGTTGATGGTTTTGGCTGGTGGCAAACAGATCTGTGTTTGGAGAACCCAGTGTGTGACTTAGGAGAGTGAAGGCCTCCTTGTGTAGCATCCATTCCGTGGGAGCAACTCTGTCGGGTCTCGAGAGAGCGTCTGCTAGTATATTGCGGTACCCCGGAATATGCCGAACACTCAACAGAATGTGGAGATCGTCGACCAGTTGAAAGAGCCGAAAAGTCTGATCGAGAAGAAACTGTGAGCGTGTCGACCCTTGCTTCTGGATGTACCATACCACCATGGTGTTGTCTGTGGCCACCAGAAGACAATTTCCTCGTAGTCGATGCGCCCAGTGATGAATAGCGAAGATCACAGCCTCCAACTCCAGACTGTTGATATGCCAGCTTTGGTGTTGACCCGAGCAAAGAGCCGGCAGCCGTCTGGTCGTGTAAGTGAGCGCCCCAACCCTGCATGGAGGGGTCCACGAACAGTTGGTAATCCGGAGGCCGCTTTGTCAAAGAGACTCCTCCTAAGACGTTCAATGGGCGAGTCCACCAAAGAAGATAGCGATGTAACTGAGGTGGAAGACAAAACCATTGATGAACGTCTGCCCGACGAATGTATGGTTGAAGAAAGCGCTGCAGAGGACGAAGTTGAATATGCCCTCTGCTGGTAAGATCCTGCGCTGATGTCAACAATCCCAGGAGTGCCTGCCACTCTCGGAGAAAAGGTTCGGAGAGCGCACGTGGAATCAGAGAATCTTGTCCCACCTGTGCAGAGGAATCTGAACTAGGTTCTTGTCCGTCTGGAAATGGCCACCGATGAATGTCAGAGTGTGAGACGGGACAAGCTCCGATTTGTCCAAGTTGACCAGCCAACCTAGTTGGCGCAACAGACAAAGGGTGAAATCCCGTTGTTGTATAAGAAGCAAACGGTCTAACAGGTGCATAAGGCAATCGTCCAGGAACGGGTCGAAATTGATGCCCCTCAAATGAAGATACCGGGAAATAGGAATTGTGATACGCGTGAACAACCACAGGGGGCGTTGAAATTCCAAATGGGAGGACAGCCCATTGGAAATGTTGATTGTTGAAAATAAAGCGCAGGTACTTCCTGTCGCTGGGGCGTATTGGAACATGGAGGTATGCATCCTGCAGGTCCAGGCTGATGAGGAAGTCGTTGACGCATACCATAGATTTGAGGTATTCGAGGGACGTCATTTGGAAGTGTGGAGGACGCTCCAGGAAAGTCTTGTTGAAATAGGACAGATTGTGAATCATCCTCATTTTCATGGACCCTTTCTTCGGCACTAAGAATATTGGAGAATAAAACCCTGGTGTTGTGACGGGATACGGGAGTAATTTGACGGCTCTTTTTTTTCCAACAGAATCGCTATGTTCTCCGCTAAGAGGTCGTGTTGAATCTGGGAGTGATTGTGCCGGAGCGGGAACAGCGTCAGAGGTGGATCGGAGAGGAGGGCGAGCCGAAATCCCTGCCTCAATATATCGATGACATATGGATCCTCTAGGATGGACCAATTTTCCCAAAAGAACCCTATTCTCCCACCTACCGGTGCAGGTTAAACTGGGACGACATGTCTCCCTTCGTACATGTCCCTCACTTCACTTGCCCCTACACCCGTCGCCCTGGGCGGGAGCACGGCAACGTTGATATCCTCCCCTGTCTGATCTAGGCTTGGCACCAAGTCCCCTGCCACGAGACGGTGCTGTGTTTCTGGCACGCCAAACAGACAGTCGCCGAGGCTGGTAGGTGTTGGTTGGCATGGAGGAAGGACGTTGTCCCTTTTGAAAAGCTTTCAAGGCAGTCTCCCTTTGGCAAATTCACACACCTCCTGATATATGTCATGAATGGCGTTGTTAATCAGTGTCGACGATGACCAGGGTTGGTGGAATAATTTCCGTTGAAACTCCGAATCCCATGAAGAAAAGGAGAGGAAGAAATGCCGACGAATTACGCACAAGTTGGCAAGCACTGACCGAAGGTGCTCACGCAGGTCAGTGAGCACTTTGCCCTGCCATAGCATCATAGTTGTGAGATGATCCAGTCGATCAGGATTTACTTCCTTAAGATCCTGAGTAATGGCATCAGTCGCTGATGCCAATGCCGATATAGGGCGGAGCATACGCTTAAGTTCTAAGTCCAAAGCAGCTACCCTTGTGTCCTGAACTTTATAGGAGGAGACAGAGGAAGAGCCTGTCACACTTTTTATCTCTTCATCCACCTTAGTCACTGTCTCAGCAAAGTCCAAGCCATGAATAGGATAGTCATCACGCCGGACTCTAGGCGCTTTAATAGTTGAGAGACATCCTCACAAAATCTTCATCAAGTGTAGATAGAATCTCCCTGAACGCCTTATGTGTTGGCAACATTAAGGAAGGTGAGTCCCAAATAGTAAGTGACTTTGCAACATCAGGTCCTGGTGAAGGGACTGAGGCTACTAAACGATCAGCAATCCAGTCAAACACGTGATCAAAACCAAGGTGATTAGAGCCCATGTCTTCCTCATAGTCTGGGGCAAAGTCTCTCTCTGAGGACGGTGAACGAAAACGGCAAGGGGGAACGGCTAACATGCAGACGACGCCTTAGAAGAAGACGCCTTGCTCTGAGGTCTCGACCTATGGCCGCCTGCCGAAGACGTGGAAGCAGCAGGAGGCGTTGGCGTAGGCACAGGGGCTGACACAGTAGACAGGATAGGCACCGATGCTGGAGGAGGCAGAGGTGCCGTAATCGTCGGAGGTGGCAAAGGTGGCAAAGGCGCTGGAGGCGCTGTAGGAGGGAGAGGCGCCGATGTTGCTGGTGGCATAAACGGCATAGGCGCTGAGGTACCGGCTTGACCTGATAATAAAGTCAAGAGAGTGCTGAGCGTGGACAAATCAAACTGCTGGTGGTCGTATGGCGTCTGCATCATAGACACCTGAGGCATTGGAAACCCTGTAGATGGTTGATACGCATAATAATACACACAAAGTCAGTTTATTAAGCACACACAAAAAAAATCCCGTAGGATACAAGGACCCACACGTCTAGCGAGGCGTGCGAAACGCAATAATCTGAGGTGGCTGACGTCACCTTCCGGTGATGCATACGCAGACCAGTAGCAGCCGAGACCAGGAAGTAACTGCAGTTCTACGTCTTTTAACATCGTCTGGCAAGCCACGCCTTTCGAGCCGTAAGCAATAAGTGCAGGAAGTAAGTAGTGCAGGATTAGTTAATATTATGGAGTTTATGTCAGCTCTTGCTGTATGTAACTTAATCATCAAAATCTCATCTGACTTGTCAATTGAGGCACCATTTTGTGTCTTTGTTGCATTCATTTGCTTCAAACAATGGTCTCATTTTTCAAAAATATTTCATTGTTAAAGTTGATTTTCTATACAATGATTGTTTATGAAAGTTTCATGAAACTATATTGGACTTTGATTGTGAAAATTTACATGAAAATAGAGCATAATAATAACAATAGGTTTGACACCATTTTGAACAGTATTTCCCTGTGTATCCCTTAATTAGTCTGATGTACATTCCATGATTGCAGAATATTTGAAGAATCACTTCTTGGTGCAGACATCTTGAAGAAAATGTTTGCTCACCTCGGAACAAAAAGCTGTCAGTTATGGGTGGGGGATGTGTAACATATACTACCCATCAAAAGTTTAGACTCACTTAAAGCACTGACTATATGTTATGTATATATATAGTTACATCGAAGATGAATTTCTCCACTAACTAGAGGGGAACCATCTGCAAACCTTATGCAGATGAATTGCACGAGGATCATGCATCAATTTTCTGAAAAGCATGTGCAAATATTGTGCATGTGAAGAGCTGTGTTTTGGTGTAAAGTTTTGTTAAGAATTCGCCAATTTTCACGGAGTTTCATGATTTATTGAACTCTTGAAAATAATTTTTTCAACGTTACGAATTTGTGATACAATACATCAGTTCATGTGTAAACAGTACCTTTAAACATTATGGAATATTTAGCAAAATCTAGTTTAGAACAGTTGACTGAAGTAAGTGGCTACATTTTCACTTGTGAGTCTAAACATTTGATGGGTAGTATATATATGCATCACAGTATCTGAACTATGACCTGTGTTAAGGGGAACATAAATGTTGTCAAATACAATGGCATACTTGAAACAAAATTGTGGCCCATGTTTGTGTTACGTTTTGCCTATAATGACTACGAATTCCAAGACGACCACAGGGCAGATATTGTCAAGATGATGTTTGCTGATGGTATTTTTCACCTGACTGAATGTAGATGCACATGTAATAATGCAAAGTACCAACCTCTCCTTGATTTATACGCTGTAATGTTCGTTGAATTGCCACTTCCCTGTCTCGTAGTTCTCTCTCTTTCTGTATCCGACGTTGGTGCTGAGGAAGAATACCATGCCTTATTATTACAACACTAAAACTGAATATGCAAACCTTACAACACTGCACAGAGCAATATTCCAATTAAGATGGCCGCCACCAGAAATGGGCCTATGAGTAATTAAGCCTAGACTGATAAATAACAGCATCATTAGGGTATGATGAAGCATTTTGAGCCCAATCACTGAGCCTGACCACCTGAAGCACTATGTTTCCTCTTACATCAAGCATAGGTTGTTGCCGATCAATTCTGTCCGAACAGTACGCTGCCAAGGAGCAAACACAAGCCTGCCCCAAAATTTATTCAGGGATTTATCTCAGATTCCAAAGTTAGTAAACCTGGGAATTTTTACTGTCTTTTGTTGTAGATTTGCAGCTGAATATTGGTCTCTGAACAGATTTAAATAAATCTCTCTTATTGTGGAATGTTCTCAGCCCAGGACAAAGTAATAATCCTGGGTGTACAAGATGTACAAGATTTATCTTGGATTTTAAACACTGCTTGCATGGCAGGCAAACAACCTCTTCCTACTTTTGGTCCTGATATAAGCGAAATACAGGTTATTTCTACAGTCATTAGTAGCTATGTTGTATATAACATAAATTGGTAAAATTGGCTGCAGACTTGGGACCAGAAATCATCCTCAAAGCAGGTTGTTTAATATAATAGATCAATTTCTGAATATGTATTGAGTCACAATTAAGACAGGGGAACTATATTCAATATAAATTTTTCTGATTTTCTTTTTAATAGTTGAACAACACAAATATTGTGAACCCTGGATGTGTTCTATCAGCAGCCAGCTATCATGGTTCACTACACAATAAACAAGTTGTCATTAAATCACTACACAATAAACAATAGCTACCTCCTCCATCTTGCACATTTTCCGCTTCTCTTCTCTGAAACAAAGGTAATTATACTCAATACATATCTCCAACATGACTCCCATAAAAGGCACAATCTTAGTCAATTAAAGCACTGGATGGAATAACAACAAAAATATTTGTAACAATTCCTAAAACCACTGAATCATGTTTACACATTTGTCAAGCATTTGTTTGCACCAACTGGTATTGGAAAAGGTAAGGAATGGTAAATGGCTGGGATTTTTGCTACAGTGAGTGAGTATAGTTTTTATGCAACCACTGTAAATTTCTGCCATATCATGGCAGGCGGACCCCAACAATGGCTTTCATACTCTACCATGGTAAAGGGATTAATACCCAAGCCTCTGGTATCACAAGCAAATGCTTTAATCACTTGGCTTCCCCACTGCCTCAAGACTGGTACAGAAAATGTCATGAGGACATTCTGGACCATTCCCGTGACCTTACCAACAAGGATGTTTCTCACTGTCATTGTATATCATTACAGAATCAGAAAACTACACCAGGACATTTCGGATAAAACCCGTCACTGTACGAGAATATGAGCTGACCTGAAACCAAGACTGATACGGTAAAAGGCTGCCAACATGTAACATAGCTGTCCACCACTTACTGCTGCTTCTTGTAAGTTTTCTCGTAAGTCGGCCTGTTTAAAGCTTCGTCCTCATCCTCGGGTTCCTCCTCCACATCACAACGACTGAAACACAGAATACACGTCAACAAACACATTAACCTCGGACATTATTCTGGTTTCTGTTTTGCTCCTGTGCTCTTTAACACTTCACTCAGCAATGTTCCAGCTACATTATGACAGCCAGTAACTAATCTTGTCTGAAACAGACAATCCTGTCACTGATGTTGAGAAACAATCCATGCGGTCAGAGTATTATGACATGTGAACTAGTCACAGAGCCTGACCACAAGATCAATTCAGTCATTTTTTCTGACCAACATAGGTTGTTAAGGACCTACTTATGGGCAAGCCTGTTTTAATTCAACGCTGATAGCCATCAAATGTTTCTGAAATGATACTCTTATTTCCATTTGTCCCTCCATTCTATGGAAAGCTTTCATAACCTTGAAATGAAATGATGAACAATATATACTTCAGTTGGTAATTATCTACAGATTAATGACCAGAGGGCCGAACAACATTCTCATTAATTATATGTGTCTCAAATGATAAAGCGTCAAAAATATATCAGAATAATACCATACATATAGCCCACAAATCTACAACGTACTTATGTGATGCATCAGGGTTCATGTGACAGAACCATCGGTCTGGGAGTCCTGTCTGCCGAACGCCATCAGGAAGACGACGCCACTTCAGACAGTTTTCACACTGGGCCCACAGCCAGTCGGGGAGATTCCTGGGGAAAACATGACACAATGACTACATGGTGAAAGAGATTTGACACTAGTACTACATATCAAAGTAATCTTTAAATAGTGGAGTTGTGTTTTATTGCGACTATTTTTCAGCTGAAATTGTTTTCTTTCTATATTGTTACCAAATCAGAATTATTCCAGCTATATGACAGCTTTCAGTAAATAATTGAATGTGGGCCCCACAATTCAAAGAATGAGCATTGATCTTTGAGATATGAAAACATTCACCAAACAAGTCTGCAAATCTGACAAGCATGAGTTGCATACACAAATTCTGTGGTCTCTCAACCCTGTCAATTGTGTTCACCCTACCCTTCCCTGCCTTAGATGTGTGTTCCCCAACCTTTCTCCCCCTGTCAAGTGTAGTTCACCCTACCCTTCCTCCCTGTCAAGTGTGTTCACCCTACCCTTCCCCCCTGTCAAGTGTGTTCACCCTACCCTTCTCCTCTGTCAAGTGTCCACCCTACCTTTTCCTCCTGTCAAGTGTGTTCACCCTACCCTTCCTCCCTGTCAAGTGTTTTCACCCTACCCTTTCCCTGTCAAGTGTGTCCACCCTACCCTTTCCCCTGTCAAGTGTATTCACCCTACCCCTCCCCACTGTCAAGTGTGATTCACCCTACCCTTCCCCTGTCAAGTGTATTCACCCTACCCTTCCCCCCTGTCAAGTGTATTCGCCCTACCCTCCCCCTGTCTGTCAAGTGTATTCACCCTACCCTTCCCCTATCAAGTGTATTCAGCCCTACCCTTCCCCACTGTCAAGTGTATTCACCCTACCCTTCCCCTATCAAGTGTATTCACCCTACCCTACCCTTCCCCTATCAAGTGTATTCACCCTACCCTTCCCCCTGTCAAGTGTATTCACTCTACCCTTCCCCTGTCAAGTGTATTCACCCTACCCTTCCCCACTGTCAAGTGTATTTAAGCCCTACCTTCCTCCCCTGTCAAGTGTATTCAGCCCTACCCTTCCCCTGTCAAGTGTGTGCCCTATTCCCCACTACCTCTTCCCCCTATCAAGTGTATTCACCCTACCCCTACCCCACCCTTCCCCTATGAAGTGTATTTGCCACTACCCTTCCCTTCCCCCTGTCAAGTGTATTTGCCCTACCCCTTCCCCTGTCAAGTGTGTTCACCCTACCCTTCCCCCTGACAAGTGTGATCACCCTACCTTTCCCCCTGTCAAGTGTGTACACACACCCACCCTTCCCCACTGTCAAGTGTATTCAGCCCCTACCCTTCCCCACTGTCAAGTGTATTCGCCCTACCCTTCCCCGCTGTCAAGTGTGATCACCTTACCCTGCTGGCGCCACCTGAACCCGACTGCCTCCACACTTCTTCTCGTTCCAGTAATCATTCAACTTCTGTGAGATGTTGGTCATGAAGGAGCTGCAGCAGACAATGAGAAAATAAATACCTGGGGAAGTTGGTTACAAATGTTATTACCAATTGTGTCGTTAGAAGAGATGAAAAAAACATATCAAGCAAGGGCTATTCAGTACGTTGTCAACATGTATTGACATATACATGTACTCTGTACAGTAAAATATACACCCATCTATTATTAAATGTCTCAATGTCAAGCAGGGATGTAAATACTCACCATAACCTTCCATAGCCTGACTGCAATACATTGACAACAAGTTACAACATCAATATTAACTGAGTTATCTCCCTTCTTGTTCAAATTAAAATGTGACAAAAATCAGTAGTAATACCAGTACATTCAAACTAAACAAAACCTTTCACTCACTCTAACAGCAGGAACTATTGTCAATTTAGGTAAATATTTGACACACAACAAAGTCCCTCAAGTCAAATCCAGCAACAGTTGAGTGCCACAACATCTGCAAGAGTAGTACTTCTACTTACTTGTACTTCTCATCCTTGTTGAAGTCTTGTTTGTTGTGTATGGGCTGAAGGAAATCCACCTGAACCACGCCCACTACTCCTTCACCCAAATTATTGCGCTAGATAAATGAAATGAAAATTGAAGTGGTTATTTTCTAAAACTTACCCTTAATATTTTCATATCTTACATAAACAAGGATTCTATTAAGCCAACCTAAAATCAAATAATCAAGTCTGTGTCACACAAACAAGTGAATGATATTATACTCAGTTCCAAAAGAAACGTGAATCACGTAAAACTGTGATACAGTGGTGAATAAAGATATTTATGTTTGCAAATAAAAACACACAAAGAAAACAATGTGAGTGAAAACACAAATGATCTTTATCCATAACCAGAAGTGTTTTATGATAATGTCAATCGGACATTGTTAGATTGAGCAGTTAAAGGCATAAGAACGTCAGTTAAGAGGCATAAGAAATGACATTTCAGTATCGAGTATGGCCTCCATTGGCAACCACTTTGGCATCATCAGAACACATAACTAACGAGAATAACTATCAGAGCATTACAAAAACACACCACTACACCCTGATTTATGTCTTACTTCAAACATTTCAAATATTTGCATTTCTTTTGGAATTCAGTACACATGCCTGTGACATTTACTACTCTGACTGTCTGTAATGTACATGTGCAGGCCACATGCAGTGTGCAAAATAACCACTGGCCCGCTAGCCCATGGCAAGTAAAAATTCAGTCAGGAGAGTAAATCTCCACAGTCACTGGCCCGGCTGGGTAGTGAATCTTCATGTTGTCATTTTGTAAATATATCACTCTCTCTGACTTGTTAAGTTATAATACACTTTTAAATCATGCAAGACTATGGCTTATAAAATGGTCATCATATCAGCTAATGATGAAACCAAGGTCATGCTAACAATATCTTATTCTCATCTATTTTTGTAATCTTTTGCTTACTGTCTACATTCAAATTTTAGGCTAGTGAATTATTTTGTGGGCTAGTAACTTTCAGGCATAGCTGGCCTGACTGGCTAGCAAAATGAGGAAACTATCTCGCACACTGACCACATGGTCTGTGAAAGTCAACCAGTCTCCTACCTGTCTCTGATAGCCAACTTTCTCGTAGGCCTTGATCAGCCTGTTCCTGTGGTACATCATAAGTCCATAGTTTTCACTGCGGGCATCTTTAGAGCAGGTGAACCCAAACACTATCTTCAGAGGTCGACCCTGGCCGTGATTTAAGGAATGGGAGAGTGACACAAGTGAACATCTCGCATGAAACCTGGTAACTTCTTTGTTTAAACCAATCAGAAACTTGTCAGTCATGAATGTTAGTCATGATGGTATTTTTCACTAGATGTCAATATCATCAATGTAATGCTTTCATAGAACACATTCTAGTGAAAAAATACATGTAGTCTCACAAGTTAGTTTGTTATTTGATGGCTGCTGGTAAAGTAGAGTATGGACCAAACAATCAGCTGATCTGAAACATGAGCAACTCTCAATGCTGTTGGGGTACAAGGACATACAATCAACCAAGACCCAAGATGTGATCATCCATTTGGTAACCTCTTACGACCAGTATAGGTAGCTAGGGACCTATTCTAACCCAGAATCAACAAAGGGGAGATAATTCAAGCATGAACCTCAAGGAATCCTATTCCTATTCTGTCCTCCATCCTATAGTTTGGCATGAAATGCATGTGGACCCGTTTTTTGTAAATACAATGTATCTCTTCATCCAATGACCCAATCGATCTCAAACTGTGCAAGTGGATGTTTTGTCAGACAACCTAATCACATTGTAAATCACTGATTTTATGCATTTGTATTAACGAATCTGTCTATGTAACTGTCAACAAAATAAACAGCAGAACGCAAACTGCTTGCAGAGGGAGGGAGCCAATGACCTGATACAGCGGCAGTGTTGGGTCATAAAGGTCAACGTTCGTCAATGTAGGTCAGCTATGCACGTGACAGGTATGAAGAGGTGTTCATTTCTAGCAAATAGCCGGCAAATGACATCTCTGATGACCCTGATGTCAAAAGAATCTAACTTTGGATGCCTACCTTTTTGTACAAGGTTTTGTTTCTTGGTTGTTGGTTTATTTTTCACAATTTTTAGCACGATGTTCTTTTTCATGCCAAGAGCAAAAGTTGTACATTTCATGTAATCCGACACGTTATAAATCTTTTTGCTACATTTGCTTTCTTTTTAAAAACTTCAACACATTTCTAATTAAATGTTTAGCATCATCTGAATAAGCTTTCATGATGACAGCTAGAAGTAGTCAATGCAAATTATCCAAACGGTCTATCACTGTGCAGTGCACAGGTAACTATCATGAACTGCACGTGCATTTACCTTTATGACCCAACACTGCCGCTGTTACAGGTCATTGGCTCCCTCCCTCTGCAAGCCGTCTGCGGTCTGCTGTTTATTTTGTTGACAGTTACATAGACAGATTCTTTAATACAAATGCATAAAATCGGTGATTTACAATGTGATTAGGTTGTCTGACAAAACATCCACTTGCACAGTTTGAGATCGATTGGGTCATTGGATGAAGAGATATTTACAAAAAACCGGGTCCACATGCATTTCATGCCAAACTATACATGAGGACAAAACAGAATTGGAAGCTTTATTTGAAATAATTCCATAATAATTCCAGTCATAACAACATTAACACAAGGATACCAGCCATCCCGGCTTGTAGACATCAATTTCTGTGTGCGACAAACTTTTGGAAATAAGTTTGGTTTTAACTTTCTGTCCACGGAGTACAATCTTCATACGAGGTTTCAGGAACAGGATGCTGCAATATTCCTGGAACAAAAAGTACAGAACATGGGAAACATGGTTATCTTTTATATACTTCAATCTGACACAAGTGAAGTGGTCTGTATTCATATTAATAAAAATAAATTCAAGTCCATATTCTTTCCTATTGCTGAAGATATCGATCATACCATATGTTTAATTTACATTGTTAACTAAGATTCTTCTCTTTTTTTTGTTTAATGCCACACACAGCACTATTTCAACTATATAACAGCAATGTGTAATTAATTGGGTCTGGACCAGACAATCCCGTGATCAACAGCTGAGCATCAATCTACGCAAATGGGATACGATAACTTGTGTCAACCAAGTCAGCGAATCTGAACACCCGATCCTGTTAGTTGCCTCTTATTACAAGAATGAGTTGCTGAAGACCAATTCTAACCTGGATTTTCACAGGTGTGTAAACTAACAGGACTGCTAAACAAGCAATACATCCATATAACTGACCCTGAGAGAAGTCTTGAACTCTGGAATGGTTTCCTGCATGGGCCTATACACTGTTGTCATGTCCATGGCTAGCGTCTCTGGATTACGAATGTCTAGTGGGTCACTCTCGAAGTCCAACTCAGGGCTTCCTGATTTGGAACTGCAACATTTACCATTATCAAGTAAAGGAGTAAAGTTCATACATTACAAAACATGCAGGCATGGATAAATCTATTATAAGGACCTATCGTTTTCATTTACAAGATGAGAGCTAGAGACAAAGAAAATTCCTTCAGGATAACCTTTTCAAGTCTACACATTGTCATTCAAGCCTTGCTGGATTTTCAGGTCAGAATATGTTCCACGTGCATGATGTACCTAAATACACATCATAACAGACAACTAATATTGGAACTATCTACACACTGTATGACAGACTGTGCCAAATGGCACCAAGACTCCATTATTTACAGAATGTTGTCATGAAGCTGCAATATTGCTGACTGCAATGTGAAACAAGATCCATTCACTTTAATTATTAATTTCATAAGGACAAATAAAAAAACCATTATCATTCCGATTACACCTCTATAAAATTTAGGGTAGGCAGGTAGGATTTATTTATTTTTACATTTGTTTTTAGGAGTATAGTACAAATTAACAACACATTTATCAATGTGTAATTGTTCATTCAATCAAGTTTGCAGCCATCATGTCAACTTTCTCTATCAGAAATACCAATGTCCGTCGGTGCCAGGAAAAAATCAATGGAATCCGAAATCGTATCTTATTCATAATGCTTAAATAAAATAGGGTCGGCACCAGAATTCAAGGGTCGGTCTGGTAATCGGAACAACATGTTTTTTAGGCCTAATGGAATAGTCTTTACCGTTTCAAGTTAAAGATGAAACTTTTGGTCCCAGTCTTGAGCCTCTCCAGACTAAAGAGTTCCGTGAGAAGACTGGACTCTGTAGTAAATGGTGAGTACTTGAGGATTGCTGCCAGGTTATTTTGGGAGCTGCCACTGTGAATTTTTTTATGTCAACTCGGTCAAGGAAATCAACACATCCTGAACTACAGTGAATATCAAGGCTTAGTGTCAGCGAGTTTAAGATGGGTACAGTGAAGTGTCAGCGAGTTTAAGATGGGTACAATGAAGTGTCAGCGAGTTTAAGAGGGTACAATGAAGTGTCAGCGAGTTTAAGATGGGTACAGTGAAGTGTCAGTGAGTTTAAGATGGGTACAGTGAAGTGTCTGAGAGTTTGATTCAGGATACTCAAGGTGACAAAAGAAGCACTACACAGTACAAAGTGCATAAATATGATCCATGTTAGACTAGGATCAATGGCAGAATGGCACAAATCTCAAAATATGATAGATCCGGTGTTTCCACAAACATGGCATGTAACATTACCATGGTTTTCACAAACATGGCATGTAACATTACCAAGGTTTTCACATACATGGCATGTAATATTACCAAGGTGTCTACATACATGGCATGTAATATTACCATGGTTTTCACAAACATGGCATGTAATATTACCAAGGTTTCACAAACATGGCATGTAATATTACCAAGGTTTCACAAACATGGCATGTAATATTACCAAGGTTTCACAAACATGGCATGTAATATTACCATGGTTTCCACAAACATGGCATGTAATATTACCAAGGTTTCCACAAACATGACATGTAATATTACCAAGGTTTCCACAAACATGACATGTAACAGTACCAAGGTTTCCACAAACATGGCATATAATAATGACAGTGTTTCCACATACACGTCATGTAATTACGTTATGGGAGAAAGGACGTGCATACCCTAAACCCAACAACATGCCTCAAGTCTTACTTATACTGGCATGGATTTGAAAAAATCAACTAGGCAGACTCTTTCTAATAACAGCATTGATATTCAAGTATCTACTGCAAAGTACTTATGACCAAATTTGCCTTTCAGTCAGGTAAACTAAATATGTATACAGTGTTTGCAGTTAGTGAATGAGTGAGTTTAGTTTTATGCCCCTTTTAGCAATATCTTCCACAAATTCAGGTTAAATGTCATCATTAAATGATATCCACGTTTGACATTCACCTCACCAAGCCACAAAACATGTCCACTCAGCATTAACAAAAAGTGTAAAGAAATAGTTTAAATACCACAAGCCAACAATAATTAAAGGATATTGGAAGGTAATTCCCAGGTGATGATTGGCACCATGACTGTCTCACACCCCGTCTTGGACAGGTAAGTCTGGGATAGCATCCCAATGCTGGTGGTGTGTACATGTCGGGTGAAGACGATCGCATCCTGGCCAAGTCGCATTGAACCAGACTTGAAGCCATTTCCATAATGCCCAATTGGTTTATGATTCGATTTCTCATAAACATCTTTCTCACAGAATCCAAAACTGAAATGCATCAATATGATATATAAATCAGACAGTCAATGAACAAACATGCTCCAAGGCACCATATATATTCAGGGGGTTGGTGTGGGCATGATGAGGAGTGAGTGAGTGAGTTTTAGATTTACGCCGCACTCAGCAATATTCCATATATATGGTGGTTGTCTTAAATAATCGGGTCTGGACCAGACAATCCAGTGATCAACAGCATGAGCATCAAGCTGTGCAATTGGGAACCGACGACGTGTCAACCAAGTCAGCGAGCCTGACCACCCGATCCCGTTAGTCGCCTCTTACGACAAGCATAGTCAGCCTTTGTGGCAAGCATATCTTCTTCTTGTGAACAAGTCTTGGATGTGTTATTTGTTCTTTCAGGTAATTATACAACATAATGTAATTTCTACAATTAGGTTATATTGTCAGGATCATATTTACATGTTTATACGTTGTATTCATGTGGAAAGTCTAAAATAAGGTGTAAAATAGTAAGTGATAGATTGGCGGGTTTCACGGACGCCGTCACCGGTTACGACCTTGTCAGTAATTTCTTATTAGATAAAACCAGGAATTACAGTTGCTGTAAGTAGGTTTGATATGTGTAAAGAATATGAAGGATTGTAAGTTTCATTGATTTATTGGTGTTTTTAATAAGCAAAATACTTGCAAGTCCAAAGCAGATAATCTGAATGAGTTATCTCCCAAGCAAACGAGGTATCGTAAAATCCAAGATAGCCCGCGCCCATGATTGTTGAATAGTTATTGCTTACGCTCATCAGTGTTTACACTGATTAGGGTTCTACAAAGGCAAAGAACATTATATTCGGGGTTGAACATCGTAACCGGAAAGTGCTTTGTTTATGCATTTAATAAAATGACTGTCATTATTTGTTAGATTGGATGAATTATGAAACTTTTCAGTCGATGAGATACAAACTTAAATCATGATGTTTTTTTATGAATTATAATGTGTAGTTTCATAACATGTAATGATATTATCTTCAAATATTAATGTTACTGTTTATGAATTAGATTTATAAATCATAACAGTAGTAAATCGTTGACCATGGTGCCTTTGATATATCGTTATTTCTGCAATGACTTAAAGAGTTATAATTACATAATTAGTTATAATGCAATTTAGCATTGCCTTGATGCATATCTATTATTCAAGTAATGATAAATATGTCATAATCACCAGAATTAATCTCTTGTTTAATTACCATTTTATGCCTTTTGTAATTACGTTTACAAAGTTCATGGTTAAGGCTAAGATAAAGCAAGTTGAAGTTGTTCTATTTTATGGTGTAGAATTCTTTGTAACTTTCATTAAGCCATGGATTGCTGAAGCCCTATTCTACCCCGGATCTTCACGGGTCGGCATGATGAGGAATGACAGTGGGGTGGGGTTGTGTGCAAAGATTTTTCCCAGACTGTGTTATAATTATGTGAAAACATGTGGGGTCATGTGACGCAGTTTCCCACCAAAACAGCTAAAGGGAGATAACACTGGGTGAGTGATTTTACGTCCGCTTTTTTGAAGGGAGCTTCAAAAGGGGATTCAAGTGTTCCACTATCATTCGCAAAAAGGAGACAAGCAATTAAGCATGAGTCAGGATAAGGAAACATAACAAATTTGTTCATGTTATTTTTATTAAATCTCAATGAAACGATCGGTTTGCCTCAACATCGCATATACACACTGTCTAGGGATAGTGGTATCATATTTCAGCGTAAAATACATCAGCATAAAGAGTGAAACATACCTCAGCATTTTCAGCAGCTTGTCCTCGTCAAGCCCATTTCCATTGTCAGCAAATGTAATGCACTGAAATCCACCGATCTCTACCTTGTCAATCCACAACTCGGAGGCATTTACATCAGGATCATAGGCGTTATCTAAAACAAGATGAACTTATGTTAACTCATGACTGCTGGTTTGTTTGTTGTTTAACACATATTCCATCTATACAACAGTGCAGGCTAAATGATCAATAATCAAGTCTGGACCAGGCAATCCAGTGAATGACATTGATCAAGACTCAAAGAACATCATTCCTCTTGTCAGCAATTTCCAAAGACACCATCAAGAACCAAGAGCACACAATCAAGTGTAAAGCTACCAATGTCCTGTCCACCATCAACAACGGGCGTCAAAGGAGCCTACAAGACGACATTTACATGAGGAAATACCAGCCAGCCATGAACAGAGTGACCAGGAAATATCTCACAGCTCTTAGGAATTACTGATTTAATCATTCTGTGCTTGGGACTTATTGAATATATTATTCTGTGTTTGGGACTTATTGATTTAATTATTCTGTGCTTGGGACTTATTAATTCAATTATTCACCCAGTCACATTTCCTTGCAGTCATTAAAATCATTCAGGAGAAAGAAAATACTCTGGTTCATCATAAAAAAGATGTTGACATGTTGATTGATTAGGTAGATGGCAACTCTGTAGCAGGACTAGTGTCATTTCCTTGTGGACTATCACTTTTACCATTATAGGTAGACAGCAATTCAGCAGCAGGACATTATTTAGCTCAAGTGAAAATAAAATACAGTCGAACCCTGTTTATCTGTACATTTTGGTTACACTCTGAAATCGTCCGGAGAGCGAGGCACCCGGTTAACTGGATCAAACAAGCAAAATGCATCGACAATGTATATTGAAAATTTATTCATGTATGTATACCAATTAGTCAATAGTCAAAACATATAATCATAACATATAAATGGATACCAATAAACTTTCTTTCAGCACGTTGATTCACGTTATACATTTTACATTGTACATCTTACTTGACTCGATATCACATTATTTCCTTAAAATGTCTGTGATAGATGTCTGCTTCCTTGGTTTTATTTCTTCACGTCTCTTCACCAAGTCCATCAATAAATTCACTGAACCTTCGTTGCCATTACATTCGTAGAAGGTCAACAGACATGACAACTGCTTGTTGTTCATCGTCATCTGACTGGTCATCTGTCGGTGGCTGCAGCGTGTTGATGATTTTTTCGTCGCTGTCACTTCGTAGTAACTTCTGCATCAAATTATGCAGCTCAGCTTAATCCTAATCCTAATTAACATGTGTTTTCGTTACTAATGCAGGGGTGGAAATAACTTTAAAATTGCTACTGTACTCCGGTACAGTGGCACATGTAAAATCACTTGCCCTGATGATTTTTCCACTATACCGGCCTTTTTTGTTGATTTTTTAAATAATTAACATTGGAAAGTCAACTGGACACCGGTACAGTGTGATATACAAATTTGCTTGCCCGATAGAAAACAACGCTGGACTCGGGCGTCGGGCAATGGGTTATTTCCACCCCTGTAATGAGATGTCCTCACACCTGCCACCACTGAAGTGACATGCGTCCCTAGTGTTTTGATGGGTAAGTAATCAATTCACATCAAAGGCTGTCGAATTACAACAATGAAGGCATACAAATGCACATGTGCACAGATCTTTCACCGGATAACTGGATCATTTTTCAATCGAAATCTATGGGAATGGTTTGAAACTTCTCCGTCCGGTCAAGAGGAGTCGGGTTTACAATTACTGAAGGCAATTTCACGGGTCCGAAGGCAGGGTTTCCGGATATACGGGAGTAAACAGGGTTCGACTGTACATAATTTATTGACAGTGCACTGTTACTGTGGCAGATTCAAACTTGTTATAATCATATACATACCTATTAACTCTGCAATGGCACTGAATGGCCATGTATGACTGGTTGAGTTGGCATGGAGGAAATTTGGGCTGACCTGAAAAAGCCAAAATAGATTGAGAAATCTCACATAACATGAACCACTAAAAGGGCAAGTAACCTGAAAAAAACATTAAATGATAATGACTTTCTTACAAATATCAATTGCCTATATATATTTAACCAATGTAACAGGGAGAAAAATTGACAATGATCCGGAAAGGTTTTTAAATCTCCAAGTAAAAGTGCTGCACATGCACACTTTCACATGTTTTGTGTAGGTTTCCAAAACAAACCTATCAGTTAACAGTAGTTTATTGACTGGATGATATTTGTTTGCCATGATAATCAATCTTGTGGTTCTTAGCTGCAATGCTTACTCTGTTTCTTCTATTTCTGAAAATCCCATAAAACAGTTACATAAAATGTTGAATGTGAGAAGTGACCTTTGACCTTCACATTGTGACTAATTTAAAAAAAGGTTAATGTCTGTATGACTGTTTGCACTCCTCATAACAGAATCACAAAATGTTGTGAGACGCTTGAACTTCCTCCTCCTTGTAGCAGTCCATTCTAAGTAGATCTTCAAGGCTCTGACTGGACACAGGGACAGGTCGTGTGTATCATCCGGCCTGAGTCCAAGTCCCATCTAAGTCCCAGGTGGACTGCAGTCTGCTCTCCAGAGTCCAATCTGGTTTGTCTCTAGTTGAGGGCGTGTATCTCTGACATACGAGCAGCTGTAGCTAGGGCAAGGAGGAACAGTGTCTTCTGAGTTAGCAGCTCAAAAGTAGTGTGTCTCAGTGGTTCGTAGTCGTAGATGTTGCAGCACTACGTTTGAGGTACCAGGCTGGAGCTCTAAACTTCTGCTGCTGGTCTTCAAGCTTGAATGACCTCAGTAGGGTGACGAGTTCAGGTACTTTGGTGAGCTTGACTCCCATATTCATGGTGAGTACAGAGTATGTCAAGAGTGTAGATCCCTTCAGGTGTCTTGTAGCTCTCAGATGACACACATACTCTACTACTTGTGATGTGAAGCTTTCACGGCCGAAAACCCCTTGTGTGCAGCAAACTGGTCGAAACTCTTCCACTTATCACAGAAGTTCCAAGTGTAACTGCCTTAGCTGCTCTGGTGGAGTACCCTCTTCTTTTCAGGAAGTGTAATACGTTCCATGTGTGTAGCTGGAGTCCTCTTGGATTGCCGGGAGGTTGCCTTGTGTGAGGGTGGATCAGTAGATTTGGCCAAGGTTCTCCCAGGAGCTGTATTAGGTCTGGAAACCAGGTTCTCGCTGGCCAGTAAGGTGCGACCAATTTCAGTCGTAGGACTTCGGTCTGGGCAAATTTGTTTAGAACTTGTGGTAACAGGATCGGCGACAGGAGCGCATAGGCGTTCGGTCCCTCCCATGGTATGGCTAGAGTGTCAAGAGCCCAGGCTTGAGGATCTGGTACCGGTGAGACTAACATCTCAATCTGGTGACTGAAGCATGTCGCAAACAGATCTATGAGGGGATGGCCTTGGCCTTCGGACATCATGTGGTTGACTAGCCAGCCCAACTGCATCAGTAGATGGATCGTAAACTGCAGTTGACGTCTGAGTTGATCTGCTAGTTGATGCGCCTGGATACAGGAATCGTAGATACTTCCTCAAGGCCGGGTGAATGGGGATGTGCAGGTAGGTGTGTTGCAGATCAATGTTGGCTAAGTTATCGTTGGGTCTGATGATATGTCGCAGTTGTGGTAAATGCAGCATCTTGAACTTGTCCGGTTTCAGCAAGTAGTCTAGGTTGAAACGCTTCATGTTGCAGATGAGGCAAACTTCTCTTTGGAGTTCTTCGGTACCAGGAAAATTGGAGAGTAGAAGCTGGGGGTGAGACTGCATTGATCCAGGATCTCTACAGCGTTCTTTGCGAGCACCAAGTCGATAGCCTCAGTCAACTTGGTGTGTTGTAACTCTGGGTATCTGTGCACCTGCAGATTAACAGTGAGAGGATGTATCGCCTTGAGCTGGACCTCGTACCCTTTGCACAGCACTTGAACGACGTAGTCGTCTTCTAGTAATCTCCTATTCTCCCACTAGTAGTAGCCTAGACATCCACCCACGGTTGGTCGTTGCACAGGAACGGCTGGGTGTGGAACGGACCAGACGTTCCGAACCTGAACTTCACTGACGGGATGACCGGAAGTTGCCAGAGGAGGACCTCTGGCCGGTGTGAGCTCTGGAGTTGTCGGATGAGCAACGGATGACGGATAGTTCTTGTAATCTTCTACTTTCTACTTTTCGCCAGCTTCTAGAGATCATACCCCTCCCTGAGAAGAGACTTAATCTTAGAGAAGGGTGGAGTTGCTGTCTCTGCAAGAGTGGCAGAGACGGGAATAACCCCAGAGGGAGACTAAAAAATATTCAGCAGACAAGGGAATGCTAGCATTCCCGGAGGATGGTAGAGGCGACAACTCACGATCAGATGACTGGGAAACGCCCTTGTCAGCGGCGACCCTGTTGAGACGAGACTTGCTGTGTCTACAAGAGCGGCAGAGACGGAAATAACCCTGGAGGAAGACTAAAAAATCAGCAGACAAGGGAATGCTAGCATTCCCGGAAGATGGCAGAGGCGACAACTCACAATCAGATGACCCTGCTGTGACGCCTAAGTTTTTCCATAGTCTTGCGTAAACAGGATAACAAAAATTAATTAATTGCAAATTCTGATAAATGTGCACAATATTTACAACGTGAGGCAAGAGAACACGATGCGTTAACGCAAGAAGAACACACAGTCGCTGAGATGCGTAACCTGTATTGTTTACATGCCATCATGTAGAAACAGTCACCTGAAATGGAGGGAGAAAACCTCAGAAATTAGCCATAATTTAAGCAAATAAATACATCGTTATGATAATAGAAGGTCCTAATATACAATTCACTGCTTTAATTCAAATTCTGGCCAAAAGTATAAAGGACATAAGCCGTAAAAGGGACCCAGGAAACCACCCAAGCGGACGAAGGAGAGAGTGATGAGAGCATGGCTCAGGTCACATGGGCGGACTTTTGGCGGGAAAGTGGGGCTCCCGATGGGTGAGTGAATTTTGTCTGTTCTTGGGAACAAAGGGATTCAAGTTTCCATGTAACTGTCGAAAGGGAAAGGGAGATAAGCAATATAGCATGAATCAGGATAAGGAAAAATAACTGAAATATTTTGGCATTTTATAAATTTCAATTTTCAAATATTTTACATGACTGTAAAATACTGTTTTATACACAATATGATATACATTGCTCAGGTGAAACAGGGGTTGAAAACTACCATTGCCCTGGTCAAGTGGAATTCTCCGGTTGGTCAAGTAAATGTACACATTAAACTTTACCGTGGTACAGTAGTGCCAAACTGCTGAAATGTTTGGATGAATGTAATTTGAGGATTAAATAAAAATGCAATTGCTACCAACTAACGCCTATGTTGTATTTTCCAAGTGTATTCTTAGAAGGACTTGCATTGCATATTTTCAATCGCCATTTGCAATGTTTAGATTTATTAGCTGTTCTGTTGTTTACAATCGATAAAGATTATTTGCAAAAGAAACCAAATTGTTAATTGATCAAGTGAAATTGATATTTAGTCAAGTGGATTTTTAATGTTTACTGGACCTGTGTCATGTGGAGTTTTGAAAAAAAATTCAACCCCTGTGAAATCTTCAGGATCTGTTACAAGTAAAAAACATAATGGACCTCCAATAGAATAGCTTCGCCCCCAACCCTAAACCTCATCTGGAGGTAAACAAATTCTATAGTCACACCAAATACATTTCCAAATTAATTTACCCATGAAGGTCCGGATTAGAATATTGATCTTCAGTAACCACGCTTGTCGTAAGAGGCGACTAACAGGATTGGGTGGTCAGGCTCGCTGACTTGATTGACACATGTCATCGGTTCCCAATTGTGCAGATGGATGCTCATGCTGTTGATCACTGGATTGTCTTGTCCAGACTCGATTATTCACAGACCGCCGCCATATATCTGGAATATTGCTGAGTGCGGCGTAAAACTAAACTCACTCACTCACGCCAAATTAATTCTTTGATAGCACGTCATTTTATTTTGGTTGATCAATGTGACCATAATATTGACAAAAGCAACCAATGTTGGCGCAGCATTGATTGTGCGCTAGTCGAGATTTCAGAGATTGTCAATGATCAGTGCCCTTTAAAGGACTACCCGGATGATATCCCAGATTTCTGGACTAAGTTTGCGATCTCAGCTGCACCACCCGCAAGAGCAATAGTAGTTTAAGGGCGTAACCTTACATTGATCAACAATGATAAAATACAGTTTCTTCTTGGAATTAATTGGAAAACGTAGTCATCTTTTTACCCATTAATATTTCCATGTTCATCAGTCTAAGTAAACAGTAAACTTAGTCTCAGTATTATTCGTTACACTGCTATACTGAGTCTAACAAACCCTATTAGAATGTTGCGTCAGCTAATCTTTTGAATTGACCAATGAGAACACAGCTTACCAAATCGCGAAAGTTAACATTCGCAAAACTTTTACCTCTAAAAGTTTGAATGCTATTTTCCATGCGATAGCCTCTGAGTGATACACATGGAGGATGCGATTATTTACAACAGTCGCTGAAAATAGCGTTTTTGTCTATATTCCAGGATGTCATCTTGCGAAAATATTAGCTAATTATAACCATGTCATTAGAAATCCCTAAGTGTATATACTGCAGCTCAAATATCTGTGTCTTATGCGGATTTTTGTTTGTTTAGAGACCAGTGTCGGCGACCAGGAAGAGAAAATCCAAAAGAAGTTTGTAAGTCCTGCCGAACCCTAAATAGCATCCTCGATAATCTCCAGGGTATATGTTCCAATAAATCTCCACAAATACCCTGGATGCATCTATGGCTCGGCCCGATAATTCTGTTACCTCCCGTTAGCTGGCTCCGCATTCTCACAGTAGCCAATCAGCTAAGCCGCTGTAACAACCGAGCTTGCCAGTGTCAACAAAGATAGCGGTCGGAGGCGCAGAGTACCTCTGTAAGTGCAACAATTGTGTTGCCAAGTTTAATCGGTTAGATAATTTAAGAAGCGAAAGTGAGTTGTGACTGGTATGCTCAACTTCCCAGCGTAGACACCAGATTGGATAAAGACAGCCAAGGGAGGTAATAAAATCATCGGTCCGAGCCGTAGATGCATACAGGGTTTAGTGGAGATTTATCGCAACGAATTCCCTGGAGATTATCGAGAATGCCTAAATAGTAGCTGTTGTCCGATTGGTTACATCCGCTTGGCCGTCGAGCGTTCGATTGGACTGTCTGACGCGACCTTCTACTATGGTTTGTTAGACTCAGTATAGCAGTGTAACGAATAATACGGAGCCTAAGTTTACTTAGACTGCATCTTCATTATCATGATAACAAATAATATTTTGAAGATTAACTTCATCTGCCTGTAAATAGTGTTAGGATTGAAAGAAAAACGAGGTCAATGTACATCTTTATATTTTTGCCTTATAATCCTTGCACCGAAGAAATTTGAGGAGAAAAAAATTAAAGTGGAATGATTTTGTTGAATGCTACAAAAAGTGAATAAACATAAAATACAAATATCAAAATTAAAACCGACTAGAGTTGTGGCAATAATATCAGGAAATATGCCATAATAATTATATCAGGAATATGCCTTTCATATGCAGCTGACAAAGGGACCTCATGTCATGTATCTTTCAAAGGTCTAATGTGGAAAAATTGTATATAATGTTAAAAACTTGTCCTATATTGTACATCTCAACTTCTAAAATGCCACACAAACAAGTTCGCATATTGCATAACATGTACAAGCGAGTCCGGTAATTCCGTGCGTCCGGTAATTCTGCGCAGCTGCAATAGCGTACTTCCGTATCGAAGGTAAACATCATCTGCTACCACATTTACACTTGAAATCGGGACATTTCTACAAGGGACTGGCTTTTAATCACTAAAGGTAAGTAAATAACAGTAATTGACAGATAAATTGACAGTTTTATAAAAATTTCTTCAGACTTTCAAACCTTTTTCTTCATTATTCATAATTAGATTTAATATGAAACATTCTTCCTTACATTGATGAAGTGATTTTTGAAAATAATCTGGCCCTAATACGCTTCCATACTTCGGATCTCCAGCTGGATGTTATGCGCATCAGTTGCTGCGCAGAATTACCGGACAGCAAGCGATGTTGTCAGAACGCTGGTAAGGTCAACTGTATGGCATAATGCAACGTTAGAATCTTATAGTCGCCAATAAAACATATATTTCTAGGTAAATATGATGCATACCAGCATGTTTATTCACGTAAACCACAAAAAATAAGAGAGACGTTAGTTGCCGTATTGTGATCGATGTGCTTAGGTCCGCGGAAGTACCGGATAGCATTGTAATACATTTACATCATACCTTCATTTATATATATGTTGAGTATTTACTCCAGACATGAGAAATGCTAAATGGGAACCTTTGTCAGGTAATCTGAGTGGTGTTATCACTAATTATACCTGTTAACTGACCATCAAGTGAATGACGACAAATAAACAGATGTAGGTTTATACCACAAAACATGGGTTACAGCAAGGAAGTAAGAATCGCTGTATTGAACGCAATTTTCATTGCCGATAGTAGATAGATTGTTGGCGGGAAACAGGGAACTCTCCGGAACAGTGCCGGTCCAAATTGTCAACAGTCAGTGACAGTATGTTGCCACCAAAGCGTGATAAATTTAACTGGTGCTCTTGCATTTTCTACATGGGACTATGTCATTTCGAACACGTCTTGGGATAGTTCTTCCTAACTACAGAATTATAATATTTAGACGATGTTTATTTCGAACGTCATCATGAACATAGGCTAACGCAACACTGTCACACAGCTGTCTATCATGACAAATAAAGGTAAACAATTAGTTCATTCATACACTGGAACCTCTATACAAAGAAACGAAATAGAAGACTGCAGTTTCCTTCATGCTCAAAGCATTTGACAAATGTATTTGTTTTGGGAGCACATCAACCAGAACTGTAAGTTTTACATGTTTAAAGGCATACATATGTCTTTTGAATAAATCTAGATAATAAAGCACAACCGACCGGGGGATGACTATTGTACAGAACAACAACTTTCACAGAGTTACTCTGACAGTTTGCTCATAAACATCTACTAACCTTACTGAGGGGAATCCCTCCAGTGAGATTCGCCATTTTGTTTGACCCGTGCACCGTACGGGTTCTTTTAGGACCGAGATGGCTCAGAGTAGTTTCTCATGGAAACGTCAATATTTTATTGATAAATAAGACGTAGGCCTTATTTGATTATCATCAACAGTTAATCACATTTTTGCAATGGCTTGAAATGCAATATTCTTTTCAGTCACACATCTGACACATTATTTTGTCCAGTCGGTTCTCATCCAAATAGAAAATAAAGGTGGCGCTGCAGGCGCTCGCGCAAGTTTCGATCAGGAATGCCTCCGAGTGTACGAATGTATGATGCGAAACGGACGTTGTTCAAGGCAGAGGAGTCGCTCAAAAGACATTTACCGTTTCACATGCTAGCAGACAAGAATATGTACAACTAAGGAAATGGATTAAAAGTCTTGACAATAAATGCAACATTGACTTAGAACCATGTGAATTTATAGGTATGGTGAGACTCCGAGACTATTATATGGTCCCTGGTATGGGATAGGTGTAGAACTTAGATATTAAAAGATATCGATGCTACCAGGTATTACAGGGTAGTCTACATTTGATCGGTTGTTCATGCTGATGTTGAGTTTTAGAAAACAATAAGTGAAGACACTACTTACAAACCGTTGATTTTCCTGTACCTATAATACATATGTAGCATCGGATCAAAGTTTTTCAGACATCATAGGTATTCGGAGCAATGCTAAGTCGGGTTATTTCAAGACATTGCAAATCCTTGAATGATGGGTTGTCTTTAGGATAGAATTATGATTTATAAGTGAGTGACGTTTTACAAATGTATGTGTCGATAACAGATGTTCTTTAAGTGCCCATTGTTTATTGAACAAATTGTCTCATGTCTAGCCACGCTAACCACAGGTGTGGGTATCTAGTCCGGTGGGTATCTAGGGCCTTCTTACCCCACCCACTGTCCCAGGGGATAATGAATACATTATGTGAAGGGACAGGCCAGTTTCGATCAGGAATGCCTCCGAGCGTAACGGAATGTATGATGCAAAACGGTTGCCTGTCCCTTCACATAATGTTTTCATTATCGCCTGGCACAGAGTGAGGCAAATCATTCTTTATCCTTATCATCCAGCTGTCAGCGCTGTGGACATGCTTTTGCAGGAGTCACTATGAATACTTTCAGGGTAAAATTTGCTGATCAAGTTCTAAGGCATCATAGAGAATATCAGAGACATAGTGAACTAGGCCTATTCCAGAAATAATACATATATTCTCCCAAGCCACATGGGATGCATGATGACATTTTACATTTGGGTATAAATATAGTGATCTAGTTTGAAACCCATCATTAAAGGGCCACTGATCCAGATCAATTTCCGTGAACTGGTTGTTGCTTATGTTATTGTTATTCTCCAGTGAGTACCCGGATGATATCCCAGCATTCATGACTGGTTCGTTACCTCTGCTGCGCCACCCTCATGCGCAATTGATAGTATAAGTATAGACTGATCAACAAAGATAAATTCTTTTTACTTGATAATCTTATGTTGATTTTGTTGTAAAATTATGTAGACTTTGATGAATAAATTGGTTTCTTATGAAAAAATATTCACTTTGATTAAAATGCTGATTTTGATGTAAAATTTCGATTAATAGTAATGTTGACTTTATAAAAATGTTAACGTAAATGGATGTAGAATTTGATTTAAGAAATAGTTTGACCTTGAATTTGGTGAGAAGCCTGATACAATAGCATTGTTTTGAAAGTAAGGCTAGCTAAGTACATGGGGAGTCTTGGCGAGAGTATTGAGCTTGGGTTCACTACTAGACAATGTGAATGTTGTATTAAATGACAATATTTTGATAACAAATGAAAACATTTTAAGTTTAACCATCTGCCAGTGGTAAAAAATGTTAGGACTGAAATAACTGAAGTCAATGTACGTCTTTATATTTTGTCTTATAATCCTAATTAGTTTATTATCATATTTGTATGCATTTTGAAAGTTAATAAAATGCACACGATCTGCTTATACTTAGTGAATATATAACATCACTGTAATATCTAGACATTTTATAGATTGTCAACGTGTATCATATTTCACACACGCCCTTAGTGCGACCTAGTGTATGTTGTCTGTCTCATTACACTTCACGGCAAAAAAAATGATTCTGTTGAATCCCAATAACAAATAAATAAAAACAAAATGCAAATATTAAAATTAAAACAGACTAAAGTTATAGCAACAATATCAGGCTATTACCTTGTTCGGGGAATGTATCCATCAATATCCACATAGAGGAATGAGGTGCCATTCATCTGCAGCTGACAAAGTATCCTGTTCCATGTCATGTGTCTTTTTAACAGTGTAATATGGGAAAAAGTGATCTATCGTTTCAGGTTTTTCACATTGGTGTATAGTCCCATTGGTCACCCAAGATAGCACACCTGGCAACTAATTGCATGATGTCCGCCATTCTTTAAAAAAGTAATTTAGTCAGCCAATAATGAGCAATCAATCAATGTATTGGCGGTTATTCCTTTAAAGGAAGGACGTTGTTTTTACAAAGAGACTTTACGACAGGGTGTATTCAGTATAGATTAGTAAATCTACATACATAAACACTACCTTTTGACAAATCCGCTGTGCAGGATAAAAGCAATTAATCAATCAGCGTGTTATCGGTTAATCCTTTGATCGATGTTTGTTTTGTAACTCAGCTGATAATTCCTCTTACTGCACTTCCATGCGCATATTACATAAGATGTAATACATTTGCCACATCGGACCTCAATTTATAATGATGAGTATTTACTCCAGACACGAGAAATACCAAATGGGAACCTTTGTCGGGTAATCTGAGTGGTGTTATCATGTAATTACATGTATACCTGTTATAAATTCATTAACTGACCATAAAGTGAATGATGACAAATAACATGTGTAGGTTTACCACCAAACAAGGGTTACAGCAAGAGAGTAGTAATCGCTGTATTGTATGCAAGTTTGATTGCCTGAAAAAAGCCCTATGGGCAGACACTATTTTGAGGATACGAACGGAACTTCATTGTTACATAAGAAATATATATAAGCATAAAAACTGTATATACCTATGAGATTCTTGAGAGGCATTTAGAAGTTGGTGAATATATAAGACGAGTATATGGATGGCAACTTCTTGTTTATTGTATATCACAACGTTTCTGGGCTACTTCTTGCCCCTTCTTCAGGTGATTTTGAAATAAACAAGAAGTTGCCATCCATATACTTGTCTTATATGTATATACCTAGGTACCTAAGTAAAATTTCAGATTTATTTTGCAATGGCAAAGTGGGGTTGTTTAGTTTATGGATTCAAATATATCAAATGTGTGTTTTTTGATATCATAGCATACATAATAGACATCATATTTTTACATCATTAAATATTGAGGTAAAAAACACAGAAATAGGATCAAATTGGATCAGTCACTATACCATCCAAACATTTGAAAATCTGAAAAAGCCTACACTGCTGGGATACTTTATTACAATCAGACAAGAACCGGGGATATTTTCAAATAACGGCATCTGATGGGCTTCCAACCTTCCTAATGTCCCACTGATTAGGTTGAAGAAATTCTGCCAGGGTGGACAGTAGCCCAGTCCCTGTCACGGTCGAGGGAGCAGAGGCTGACCAGTTTGCAGCTTGGCTTCGTAATTAGACTGTTGGCTGGATCAGTGGCCCTTTAAAAGTATTATTGGCCTTGGTTGATATTCTCTTAGAAATCACGTGACATATTTATGTTCATCAGTAAGTGATGATTGAATTATGAAATTGTAAAACCTGACATCAAGAATTCATAATTTACAGAGTTATGCTTTCTGTTGTAAAACTCTTTGTTTTTGCTTAAATGAGGTTGGGGTTTATTTCAAGAGTATAAAATAAACTTATTTAGACATCTTCACAAAACTTGTACAAGTGCTAAACTGGTGGCATCAATTTCCTTGACAAGTTAGATGGGGGAAGTGTCTCTCTTTATTATCTCCAGTATTACTCAAGTTTGACAGGCTTCCAGTCATCTGAGTCATCTACTGTTACTGTTTCTTCATCTCTGTTCCAGAAACTGGGCGAGGGCTGCGGACAAATAAGGCCCTTCATAAAGGGGAGATAATCCTGTCCATTCCAGAAAGTGCACTTATCACAACAAACACAGTGTTCAGGAGTGATGTTGGCGCAATACTTAAAAAGTGAGGCAGTTTTGATTTAATTATATCTCTGAAGATGTTTGATTGAAGAGTTTTGGGGCAATTAATTGTTTCAGTGATTTGACAAGTCTTGAAACAAAAGAGAATATTAATGAGTGAGTACAATGATGTAATATTCTGATAGGAATGGGAAGAAAATATGAAAACACAATTGCACTTACCCTTGCATGCACATACAACTGACAATGATTTCCAGATACTTATACCATAAGAGTTGGGGAACACCAAGAATTTTGTAACAAACTCAGAGTGTTATGTATCAAAGATTGCTCCCCTCTGTAAAATTCAAACTGTTTTATGTGACACTGTGTTTGCTAATCAGCTGTGTTGTGGGATATGTTTATATGGGTGTCCATAACATTAACAAGAAGTCATTGTGGGTTAATGCACTGATTATATGAAGTCGTGTCAAGTTCATAAGCAGACAACATCAACTGTTAAAGGGAGACAACTCTCAATCCATAGGACAGTCCTGGCAAATTTGATGTCAGTCATCTAAGTCAGCTTTCCTCCAGCATTTTGACAACATGTATTCACTCCACAGAATGATTTATTTCCTGACATGGAACCAATCCAAGTACCAATTAGTTATTTCATGTAACCAGAGTCCGACTCTTTCGTGTGCTATTTTAGTTTTGTATTTGTCAAATATATGTTTAATCTGCTAAAACAATTTGATCAGAAAAAAGGTACTAAAAGTAGTTGTTTTTAGTTTTTACATGTGGATAACCAATCTATGCTTAATTCAGCCTGACTGTTCTACATAAGATGCGTTCCTCTTCAGATGTGTTCCACCCCTGAGCCCTCAGAGAGTCCTGTCCGTCTTCCTGGTGTGGGAATGGGAGAAGGGTGCCACCTCATCCTGGTACCCCTACATCCAGACCCTACCACCCACATTTAGCACACCACTGTACTTCACAGGGAAAGAGTTGGAAAGGCTTCCACCAAATGCATATATGAAGTCCATCTCTGAGCAGACAAGAGTTCAAGATATTTTTGCAAATATCAGGGATTTCCTGAGAAAACACTGTCCTGATTTTAACATTTTTACATATGAAAGATTCCGCTGGGCCTGGTGTGTTGTTAATACCCGATCTGTGTATGTGAAGATACTGGAGTCCCCGTACCTGTCACTGACGGAGAGAGAAACAAATGTCGCACTAGCTCCCTACCTCGACTTGCTGAATCATTCTGCAGAAGCCAAGGTCAGAGTTTATTTCAAAAAGTCTATGGATTACCTATGCCAAATAAGAAGATTGAGAGTAAAAACTGCTCAAAAGAAGTTTAAGAAGCATGATGCACAAGCCATCTTAGTCTATTTGCCTTTTGAATAAGAATAGCTTCCAGTTATTCAAATTACTGAGTTGGTCCTGTTTGTTTCTGAGCAACAGATAGAGGCCAGGTTGAACAGGGAAAGCCGCCGATATGAGATTGTCACAGCTGATAAGTACCAGAAATACGACCAGGTCTTTATCAACTACAACCCTTACAGCAATGATGAGCTCTTCATAGAATATGGATTTACTCTCCCAGACAACCCCTTCAACGTGTATGAGTTCACTACAGGTAAATCTAGTTGTACATTGGAACCTCAGCACTACTCTGTGCACCATAAAATGTATGTATGTGGTTGAAGGGAATTTCCTGCTGTAACATGTCTGTGTGGCTGCTGGGGATTCCCTGCTGTAACATGTCTGTGTGGCTGCTGGGGATTCCCTGTTGTAACGTGTGTATGACTACTGGAGATTCCCTGTTGTAACATGTCTGTATAGTTGCTGGGGATTCCCTGTTGTAACATGTCTGTATGGCTGCTGGGGATTCCCTGTTGTAACGTGTGTATGACTACTGGAGATTCCCTGTTGTAACATGTCTGTATGGCTGCTGGGGATTCCTTGTAACGTGTGTATGACTGCTAGGCATTTCCTGCTGTAACATGTTGGCATTGCTGCTGGGGATTTCGTGTTGTAACATGTCTGTATGGCTGCTGGGGATTCCCTGTTGTAACATGTGTGTATGACTGCACATGTCTGTATGGCTGCTGGGGATTCCCTGTTGTAACATGTCTGTATGGCTGCTGGGGATTCCCTGTTGTAACATGTGTATGACTGCTGGGGATTCCCTGCTGTAACATGTTGGCATGGCTGCTGGGGATTCCCTGCTGTAACATGTCTGTATCACTGCTGGGGATTCCCTGTTGTAACATGTCTGTATGGCTGCTGGGGATTCCCTGTTGTAACATGTCTGTATGGCTGCTGGGGATTCCCTGCTGTAACATGTCTGTATGGCTGCTGGGGATTCCCTGTTGTTACGCGGTGTATGACTGCTGGGCATTCCCTGCTGTAATATGTTGGCATGGCTGCTGGGGATTCCCTGTTTATGCGTCTGTATGACTGCTGGGGATTCCCTGTTGTAACATGTCTGTATGGCTGCTGGGGATTCCCTGTTGTAACATGTCTGTATAGCTGCTGGGGATTCCCTGTTGTAACATGTCTGTATGGCTGCTGGGGATTCCCTGTTGTAACTGTGTGTATGACTGCTGGGCATTCCCTGCTGTAACATGTTGGCATGGCTGCTGGGGATTCCCTGTTGTAACATGTGTATGACTGCTGGGGATTCCCTGCTGTAACATGTTGCATGGCTGCTGGGGATTCCTGTTGTAACATGTCTGTATGGCTGCTGGGGATTCCCTACTGTAACATGTCTGCATAGTTGCTGGGGATTCCCTGTTGTAACTTATGTCTGTATGGCTGCTTGGGGATTCCCTGTTGTAACATGTCTGTATGGCTGCTGGGGATTCCCTGCTGTAGCATGTCTATAGTTGCTGGGGATTCCCTGCTGTAGCATGTCTGTATGACTGCTGGGGATTCTCTGCTGTAACATATCTATATAGTTGCTGGGGATTACCTGCTGTAGCATTTCTGTATGGCTGCTGGGGATTTCCTGCTGTAACATGTCTATGGCTGCTGGGGATTCCCTGCTATAACAAGTCTATATAGCTGCTTGGGAGTCTCCACTATAACATGCCTGTGTTGTTGCTGGGGATTCCCTGTTGTAACATGTCTGTATGGCTGCTGGGGATTCCCTGCTGTAACATGTTGGCATGGCTGCTGGGGATTCCCTGTTGTAACATGTCTGTATGGCTGCTGGGGATTCCCTGTTGTAACATGTCTGTATGGCTGCTGGGGATTCCCTGTTGTAACATGTCTGTATGGCTGCTGGGGATTCCCTGTTGTAACATGTCTGTATAGTTGCTGGGGATTCCCTGTTGTAACATGTCTGTATGGCTGCTGGGGATTCCCTGTTGTAACATGTCTGTATAGTTGCTGGGGATTCCCTGCTGTAACATGTCTGCATAGTTGCTGGGGATTCCCTGTTGTAACATGTCTGTATGACTGCTGGGGATTCCCTGCTGTAACATGTTGGCATGGCTGCTGGGGATTCCCTGTTGTAACATGTCTGTATGGCTGCTTGGGATTCCCTGTTGTAACATGTCTGTATAGCTGCTGGGGATTCCCTGTTGTAACATGTCTGTATGGCTGCTGGGGATTCCCTGTTGTAACATGTCTGTATGCTGCTGGGGATTCCCTGCTGTAACATGTCTGTATGGCTGCTGGGGATTCCCTGTTGTAACATGTCTGTATGGCTGCTGGGGATTCCCTGTTGTAACGTGTGTATGACTGCTGGGGATTCCCTGCTGTAACATGTTGGCATGGCTGCTGGGGATTCCCTGTTGTACGCCTGTGTCACTGCTGGGGATTCCCTGTTGTAACCTGTCTGCATGGCTGCTGGGGATTCCCTGTTGTAACATGTCTGTATGGCTGCTGGGGATTCCCTGCTGTAACATGTCTGTATGGCTGCTGGGGATTCCCTGTTGTAACGTGTGTATGACTGCTGGGCATTCCCTGCTGTAACATGTTGGCATGGCTGCTGGGGATTCCCTGTTGTAACGTCTGTATGACTGCTGGGGATTCCCTGTTGTAACATGTCTGTATGGCTGCTGGGGATTCCCTGTTGTAACATGTCTGTATAGCTGCTGGGGATTCCCTGTTGTAACATGTCTGTATGGCTGCTGGGGATTCCCTGTTGTAACGTGTGTATGACTGCTGGGCATTCCCTGCTGTAACATGTTGGCATGGCTGCTGGGGATTCCCTGTTGTAACGTGTGTATGACTGCTGGGGATTCCCTGTTGTAACATGTCTGTATGGCTGCTTGGGGATTCCCTGTTGTAACATGTCTGTATGGCTGCTGGGGATTACCTGCTGTAGCATGTCTATAGTTGCTGGGGATTACCTGCTGTAGCATGTCTGTATGACTGCTGGGGATTCTCTGCTGTAACATATCTATATAGTTGCTGGGGATTACCTGCTGTAGCATTTCTGTATGGCTGCTGGGGATTTCCTGCTGTAACATGTCTATGGCTGCTGAGGATTCCCTGCTATAACATGTCTATATAGTTGCTGGGGAGTCTCCACTATAACATGTCTGTGTAGTTGCTGGGGATTCCCTGCTGTAACATGTCTATGTAGTTGCCGGGGATTCCCTGCTGTAACATGTCTGTGTAGTTGTTGGGGATTCCCCATGTAATATGTGAGTACAGTTGACTGACATTCTCTTCTGTAACATGTGAGTATAGTTGAGGTGTCCCCACTGTAACATGTCCATATGGTTGCTGGGGTTTCCAAACTGTAACCAGGTAATATGTTAGTATGGTTGCTATGTATTTCCTAATGTAAAATGTGACTAGGTCACTGAGTATTCCGCACTGTATCTTGTCTATATTACAGATGGGTCTTCCCCACCCAAACGTCTATGATGTGTATAGTAAATATGAAAGCTGTTTTTATGGCCTCTGTTTTCCCATGGTATTTCAGCATGGAGAGACGTGTGTTTTTCAAAGGATCAGCTGTCATGCTGGTGTCAGTATAACACAAACACAACTGTCAGTGTCACAACATTCTCTTCCCACAGAGGTTATTTGTCATATCTTCCTATGAACCTCTGTTCTAATCGGCCTTTTCATGGTGCGAGTATTCAGGATTCGTGATTGGTTGCAATCAGATTTAGTTGTGCAATCAGTGACGTTGTTTCAAAAGTGATCATTCACAAGGCCTCGGTAATTTCTGTATGCTTCGGGAAAACTAGAACCTATTCCCCTACGCGATGCGTAAACGTTTCTTCTAGACAGGACTCTGTCATGTAATGGCGGATCAATGGCGTCTCCATCGCCCTCGTTGACAACGGACAAGCTAACCATTAAATGTCTTGTGTGTCACATCAACACAAGTCCCCGACAGAGAAGAGGGATATTTGTGGCCCAATATTTGCTTGCATTAGTCAAATTGGATCTAAGTCAATGTAATACGTGACCTGATGGGATAGAAAGAAGGGAGATAATTCGTGTTGCGATGTTTTGTTGCTAGGGGATTTTATGAGAACCGGGAAATGTTGCCGTATTAGGACAGGTTCGTAGGAAGTTATGACAAGTAACCTCTGTGGGAAGAGAATGGTGTCACAACTGTCATCACATTTCTCTACATGCTATTCCAGCTGACCTAGAAATCCTGAGGCACAAGTTTTCTGTGGACAACTGGGACAGGAAGATGGATATCATTGGGGAAATGAAACTCAAAAAGTAAGTTGATATACTTTGGAAACAGGTCATCCTTGTACACTTCTTGTTACTAACCAAGATTGCATCAGTTGTGCTCTTGTCTCAAATACATATTTTTAAACTTATCCTATCTCACAACTTGCACCTCTCTCTCTTGCTTCGACTTTTAGTGGAACGACTGTAAACTTTTTTCCATAGGGCTCCTTGTCCATTCGCCCGTGCACTCCATGCTGCTCTCCTTAATTAGCTTCCTAGTTCCTAATAAAGCTTGCAGCATGCTCCACTAATTGACTACCTGACTATTTGATCATGTCTTTTCTTGTCATACGACTGTGTGGATGTGCTGTATATTAGGGACATTATTTCACTCTAACATCATGGGGAAAACTGATAATCAGTCAAGGAAAAGGAAAGTTTGTGCTCAATGCAAGACAAATTATTCGTCCCTCGACCCTCACTCGTCTTGCAGTGACTGTATTGAACAATGTAACTGGAACAAACGATGTGGCAAGTGTAATTCACTAAAAGATGAGGAATTTAAGGCCTACCTTCGTGTTTGCTCCCGGAGAATCGCCGATAGGGACAGGAAATCAACAGAATCTGATCCCACTCCCGCTAAGCGTATCAAGTTAGATCGACAGAAAATCGTACCTTCACGCAAGAGAGCGACGTCTGTCGTTCAAGAGGATTTTATGGACGCTTCATCAGATTCTTACTTATCTGAGGACGTTGGCACCTATTACGTACGCGTCAGATCACACGCGGGTGGTTGTGATCGACAATTCTTCGTTGCCTGTCCCATTTATACTACCAGGGGACCTTACATAGACACTATCATCATCCAGATCATCGGTACATATCCCCTCGACTGTCTCAGTTTGTTTGGAGCCTGGCCAACCGCGTTCAACAACAGCGTCGCCGGGGGACGTTCATTATGAATCAACACTTCAGGTTTCGTCACCTAATCGCAGATCCAGATTGCCACATCATTCTAGATCACCTTCAAGATCCAGATCACCATCACAAGCCCAATCAAGATCACCGGATCGATCCAGATCACAGTCACGATCCAGAGCCCAACTATGATCCACATCACCTAACCGATCCAGATCACCAAACGGGTCCAGATCACTTCGAATCAGATCACCGGACAGATCCAGATCACCACCGAACAGATCACCGAACCGATCCAGATCACAACATCGAAGTAGATCATCGGACCGATCCAGATCACCTAATGGATCCAGATTACAACTTCGAATCAGATCACCGGACCGATCCAGATCACAACATCAAAGTAGATCACCTAACCAATCCAGATCACCAAATCAAGCCAGATCGCAACTGCAAACCAGATCACCTGTTCAATCCAGATCACCTTATAGATCCAGATCACTTTACAAATCCAGATCATCCTACCAACCCAGGTCACCTATACGATCTAGATCACCTTACAGAGCCATTGATCAATCGGGATCACAGTACAGATCCACATCTCATGGCCGATCCTATTCAGATGGTCGAACCAGAGCTCCAATCAGAACCAGATCACCAACTAGAACTACAGCGACCCGGACTAGTTCTTCATATCATACCAGATCACCTAGCCATACTAGGGAATCCAGATCACCGGCTTACCAACCTACTTCGGTACTTACCACGTCGAGATCTCGATGCAGTTCCTCTGACCGACGTTGGGGTGATCATTGCTCTAATACCACTAATAGGCCTACAGTCTCTTACGATGTTCCGTCTACACGCTCTGAGAACCCTTCGACTCACTCTAGGATCATCGCTGAGTCATGGGAACCTGATAACAATTCCACTCCTACAGCGACTCTGGATCTAAATATGATGATCAGGGCCATAACCTCAGCCTGGAACCAAATACAGCCGTCTACTCCAGCCCATCCGGCTTCGGTAGCTCCTGGCTCTTCATCTGGTCCACCTCCTGAGATTGATCCAGTCCAAGTAGCCATGTCTGCATCTCCCACTCACTCTGAGTTATCTACCCCTGGGGGTAGCTTTGCAGCAGTTGAGACACCTCAGGTACTCCTTTGGATTGTTGAAAAGCTCCAACTTCCCTTGAGTACTTCAGCAGATGACCTGGATCACTCTTATACTCTTAGGAACCGGGATTGGTCTACCATCACCCTACCACCTCGATCTTGTATTCTGAAATTATCCAGTACACTAAATGATGGTTTCAAGAGCCTGAAACGAATTAAGGACGGATTCTCTGCTCCCAGATATAATCCTTTTACCTCTCATGTCCACGGCCTAACAAAAATCTCTACGGCTCAAACAGTTGATGAGGATATTGGAACCCTGTATGGCAAACGAGCTGCTTCGCCCTACCTTATTGAGGACCGAGAGTTGGCGTGAGAAAAGACGTTGCCATCTATTAGTTGCGTGATTGCAGCAGTCGACGCTGTTAACACTGCTCTGGAGCATACTTACCCTGATCAAGGCGCTTGAATCCGAGGATGCATGACTTTAGCTCTGGACCAGTTCCAAATTATCCTGGATCAGTTGTCTCATGTTTTGGGCTACACTCTTGCTGTTCGCCGACGTGGACCCCTTAACATCTCTTCATGGGAGGAGCGACTTAAAACAGAACTGTTTCGCCAGCCTTGGTTTACTGACTCCCTCTTCAATGGTAGCATCCAAGAAGTATCTAATAAAGTTGATAAAGAAACCCACTTTCAAGTCTCGATTGAACTGTTAAAGATACAGAAGTCACAGCTCCAGGACTCATTAAAACAGCATCAAACTGCACAGTTCACCCCTACCAATCTGGATTTACGCAATCTTTTTCAGGGCGATCCATCAACTGGCAGAGGAAACAGAACTGGCCGTGATGGTTCCTCCCGTCGCCCCCCCAGGACCAACTCTGGCCCAGGGACCAGCGCCGGGAAGCAGTGACGGCTTGAGACAATCGCACGATTGGGACCTCCCGCCCCCAGTCGTTCCGGTTTACAACACTCTGGTAGGCAGGAGATTGCAGATCTTCGCCCCGAATTGGACCATCCTCAAAGATCCGTACGTCACCAACCTGCTACTTCACGGCTATCAGCTACCCGTTATTGGCAGTCCACCTCTGACGTCGCATCCGACTCATCGCTCATATCCTGTGGACCAGCTTCAGACTCTGTCTAATAGCGCACCTATTGTGGATTGCAAACTCGCAATAGAGCTCCTAGGTCCATCGCCCGTCACTCCAGGATTCTACTTTCCCATCTTCTTGGTTCCAAAGAAAAATTCCAACAAACTGTGGCTCATCTTCAATATGAAGTTGTTCAATGCCCGATTCCTGCTTCCACCACCTCACTTCAGGATGGTGTCGATCAACCTTCTACGCACCATCCTGAAGAAGGGAGACTTCCTCATCAGCCTAGATCTTCAGGATGTTTACCTTCACGTTCCGATACATCCAGAACACCGGAAGTACCTTCGCTTCGCGTTCAACGGGAATCACTACCAATGGAAAGTCCTACCATTTAGAATTTCCACGGCTCCGTGGCTTTTTACCCGAATTACCAAGCCCGTAACAAGCTTCCTCCACTTTCAAGGGATCACATTCGAAAGCTACATAGACGATTGCATCCAGGCTCAACAGGATCTGATCGTTTTGCTTCGCCAGCTACAGTTCACCACCACGCTGCTCAGACAGTTAGGGTGGCTGTTGAACATCTTGAAATCGGAACTAATACCGACTCAGAAACTCCAATTCATCGGAGCACTGTTCGACACTCGTCAGGGGATGATGTTCGTACCTCACAACAGGTGGATAAGATTCAGCAATGCATTCCTCCAGGACTGTCTCAGGCAAGAACCTTACGACAGTGGCAGGAGCTACTGGGCCTTCTGACGTCAGCTCAAGAAGCCTTAACGTACAGAGGCCAGCTCCAACTTTGGCCGATACAGCAATTTCTACGCCCGTACCTTCAGGCCGACAACCCCAAGGAACTAATTTGCCTTCCAGAACCGCTTCGTCCAGTCCTTCCATGGTGGCTGGACGAACGGAATGTTTGCACCGGAGTCTCTATGATGCCCTTTGCACCGACTCATCACCTATTCGTCGATGCATCCCTCATGGGTTGGGGAGCTCACTTCCTCGTCCACCAAGTGGCCGGGCTGTGGTCATCCGACAAACGGGTACTTCATATAAACGGGCTGGAATTCAAGGCGGTAATTCAAGCCATCTCACATTGGGCAACAGAGCTTCAATCAACCAGTCTGTTGATCCAACAAACAATTTGACAGTGGTTTGGTATATAAATCATCTAGGCTCGACAGGCTCGGCAAATCTGCTACAATGGGCGATCAGGTTCTTCCATCTCATCGACTCACTCAACATCGTAGCCAGAGCCAGACACATTCCTGGGGTAAAAAATGTGATCGCCGATGCCTTGTCCCGATCCAACCAACCGTCACCGACAGGGTGGAAGTTACTACCCCAGATCTTTCAGTCGATTATCTACCCGTTATCACGGCCTCAAATAGATCAGTTCGCCACAAGGTTCAACAACCAACTGCCAAAGTTCATATCACCAATCCCAGACTCCTTGGCATGGGACCTCGACGCATTGGCAATATCATGGGAGGGTCTCAATGCCTACGCGTTCCCCCCTCCAGCTCTGCTACCAAAAGTAATACAGAAACTATTGTCCACCAGCAACATACTACTGCTTTTTGTCGCAACCTTCTGGCCAGCAAGAAGTTGGTTCGTCAACCTAAGAAGCCTTGCAGAGCCAAACCCAGTACCGCTTGCCAACCGGGACGACCTACTTCTTCACCCTCACTCGGAACTGCACCACGGGTAAACCTCCGACCCTCAATCTACACGTTTGGCGCGTCTTCAGAGGTTTCTCATAGCTAAGGGCTACTCTCGCCGAGTAGCCACGGCTATCACTTCAGCACATCGTACTTCGACCCGTTCCTTGTACGACAACAAGTGGAAGAAGTTTGAAGACTATTGCAAGCTTAGGGGAATTGCATCTCCCACTTCCACCTCCGCTCAGGTCGTTGCTGAGTTTCTCCAGCATCTCCGCACTTCAAAGAAACTCAAGGGTACTACGTTAGCTACCTACTTATCCGCTATCAACTCTGTTTTGGCTACCCCCACGGGCATGAAGATTTCCACTGTTCCCCGAGTTGCAGAGTCTACTACGCTCCTATAGACTCTCTGACCACTCCAGGAAGTTCAGACCTCCAGCCTGGGATCTGTCCGTCGTCCTTCGTCATATGATTTCTACAGATTATGAACCTTTAGAAGACAAGGACTTCGAACAAGTGACATTCAAGACATTCTTCCTGGTAGCTTTGGCTACCGCTGCTCGTATATCTGAACTGCATGCGCTTGATGTCAATCAGGTGCGGTTCGAGCGGAAAAAGCATGGCAAGGCTTTACTGGGTCTCAGCTGGGACTTCATTGCGAAAAACCAACTGCCAGGGCAACCAGATGGGATGTTTACCATTTCCCCGTTGTCCCCCATTCTTGGAAGCGCCTCTTCATACCCTTGTCGAATGCTTCAAGAACCGATGTTTCCCGGACCACATTGGCCTTCTGGATGCGTGCCACGATCCTGCGAGCCTACACCTTTGCAGGGTTGCCTCCTCCAGCCGCTTCCAATCCTCTTGAGACTCGTGCACTAGCCTCGACGACCGCTATCATGGAAGGTTGCTTCTGGCGTTCTGATACAGTCTTCTCTTCACATTACCTGCGAGACCTCTCTGTCACGGATGTCCAGGGACTACACCAGTTCGGACCTCTTGTACTGGCTCAGCAGCTTACATCGGCCCAACAACGCAGATGAGGGACGGTTCCGCATTCGCGTGACTACTTCCTTGAATATACTGAATAAAAGTTGAACTGGATCTCAACCTTTTGTTCTCATTATATGGGTTTAAGAACTACTTCACTTGGCCTCCATACCAAGGCATCGGAATACGGCCGCCTAGCATGGCCCTACGGACCTGAGGCACAATCAGTATGACAATGCAGAGGTGTCCGACATGCACCCTTACTGACCTCTACTCCACGGAGCAATTACGTAAGTGAAGTGTGACACTCCCGAATTCCAGTGGATTTCGTTGCGTTCTGCCTCCAAAGTTGCCGGGCACATCCTTTGACTAAGTTTAGGCAAAGGAGTGAGGGTCAATTTGATGCTGCCCCGAACTGAATGTTCCGAGTTGTGTTTCTCATTCACCCGCCTCGGTTGATATCTGGGGGGCCTTCTTGAAGCAGGGGCTGGCCCGATTCTAGTCGCAAGACTTTAATTACGGGGGTACCTTGTAAATCGTGGCGAGGCGAGGCTTACTTGCCGAGTTGCGCCCCTTGTCTTTTACAAGGTTGCGGAGGAACACCACATCGCTCGGGAGCACCCATCTCCCTGGGAGTCGTTGTGCTTAGTAAGTCAAGGGGTTCCGGAGGACCCACTACAAGGAGTTGCATGCATGCGTAACAGGCCTCCCTTGTACATCGCTATCTACGGTTGTCATCAGTCCACACAGCTCCAAGACCAGCTCTTCGCACTGTCCAGACAGAAGGGGAATCTGCGGCCCACCGTCCAACCGTGGGATAAGTGCAAGTCGTGAGATAGGATAAGTTTGAAAATTTGGAAATTTTAATATAAATTGAATATTTATATACTTATCCTATTTCACGCGATGGATACCCGCCCGGCCTTCCCACTACTCAGATTACAATGTTGGCTCCAAGATGAGAATGATCATTCAAGGTAGTCACGTGGGTAATTAGTGGAGCATGCTGCAAGCTTTATTAGGAACTAGGAAGCTAATTAAGGAGAGCAGCATGGAGTGCACGGGCGAATGGACAAGGAGCCCTATGGGAAAAACGTTTACAGTCGTTCCACTAAAAGTCGAAGCAAGAGAGAGAGGTGCAAGTCGTGAGATAGGATAAGTATATAAATATACAATTTATATTAAAATTTCCAAATTTGTATTGAAGGCACCTTTTAACGATTTAGTAATGGCCATGTGTTCATTACAGTGACCTGACCTGCCGCACAGACGGGATGGCATGGAACCTCCACACACTACTCAGAATAACTGCCATGAGCTGTGATGAACTGTGAGTTGTTGCTGTTGGTAAACTTCTCTTGATATGCTTTGTGAAAAATCTACTCCTGGTATCTAGAGAAACTTTGAACTTCCTAAGTCTCTATTGAGAAATGTGATGTACTGGGAGTGGGATTCATCACCAGTTTGTGTTTTGACCTTGCACTCCAATTCAAAATGCATGTTTCCTTCTTTGAAACTGCCAGTCTGAGTTTGAACTTTGACATGTATGTGTCCGCTAACAATGGAGCATATTTTGTTCCAAGTCATTAGGACTATTGTGTTAGTGAGTGAGTAGGTGAGCTACAGTGCAGCAGCAATCTGTAATTACAGAGCCTGTATGTCTGAAGGCAAGGTAAATTTTCTGACTGCATGTCATCATACTCCCACGGTGGGGATGAAGATCATATCATCACTCACTGGTTTGATTCTTCGGATTTCAATTATTTACCAGCAGCTGGGGAAAAGTAGAACATCAAGACAGCAGAGATGAAAAACCCCGACCAGAATGGTGTCAATCATGATTACTAAATTGTGAAGGTTTTCATTTTAGGTTACTTAATTTTCTGTATGTTTTAATTTAGTAACAATTGGAGAGCAGTATATATGGGAGAGGTATCACAAGAAAACGAAGTCAGAACTCTCAACTTTGCCAAGGTTCTTCTTCAAGTGGCTTTGGTCAAGATTAAGAAGTACTTGGTATGTTAATTTGGAACTTATTCTTCTGACCATTTTGATAAAAAATAACCTTGATTATCATTTAGTTATTTATAGCATTTCACAGGGATTGGGATAGAGAACTTTGACAGTGGGCCATTTTCAGGATTATTAGCCATTTTCTGACTTTAGAATGGGCCTCTGCCCTTGTATCAATAGTAAACTTCAAAATTTTAATGGGCCATTTTTTATTATAATGTGCAAAATGGGCCATGGCCCCTGCCTTTCCCAATCCCTGATTTCAGAAACACAGTTGTTTTTTTCTAAACATAAGAAATATGATTAATATCGGTCAATTTTAAGTCACAAGTCTTGGAGATGTAGTCAAGATTGTTACTTGATAGCTTTATGTTTTAGCTCATTCATATTGAAACATGCCTTTGTATCCACTTTCTAGTGTGGTGACATTTAGGACTGTTTGATTGCAGGTGAGTGAAAGAGATTTGCTGTCTGAACATGAAACACTGGCCTTGACCTTGGTTCAGGACAAGAAACACGTTTTGGAGCAGACTCTCAGTGGCCTCCTGAATTAACAACTCCAGAGTCACAGGCAGTTAGTACTTGAAATACACAATGCCATTTTAGAAAGTGGTCAAATGTAACATATGTTATATTTGGGATTACACTTTCTTAGTAAAGTACCGATTCTAGTACTTTTTGGGTTGAGTCCCATTCAGGATTCGAACCAACACCCTCAGAGTCAGGCACCTAATCGCCAGCACACAAAGTCAGACCCAAAAAGTACTAGAATCTGTACTTTACTAAGAAAGTGTAATCCCAAATATAACATACCTTACAGTTAGTAGTTGTTATCAGAATCCTGCTCTGAATGGGTGTCTCAGAATCATCCTCAGAATGGAAGACACCAAAACATTTTATGTCTTGCTTTGAGAGAGTTGTTAGTAGAATCAATGAGCTGAGCTCTGAAAATATTACTTCAGTTATTTCTTTGGGATATATTTTTTTACCACCCACTATGTTGGAAGTTGATTTAATCAACATGTGTTGTACTTCATCCATTCCATACACAGCTTCCTGACAAGCCCTCACAGTCACATGTCCATCTGTCCTTTGGTGGGGTGGATGTGTCGGATTTTATTATGTTGGTGCACTGTTATGTATGTGTGAATGGCTGCTTCTGTGATAAAAAATATTTTAGAACCAAATGTATGCTGTCAGGTTTTGCACAAAAGATAAACCGAAGACCCTTGGTCTGTATCATGCTTGGCATGCTAAGCATGAGATGCAATGTGTTATTGAACCCACAGTGGTTTATATAAGCAGCATGGTATGACAGTCACCGAGTCTGACAACCTGATCTATTTAAAACACTCTTACAATGAACAAGATTACAGTGGACCAATCCTATATCAAAATCTCCGATACTCGAAGTAGTAATTTATGACATGTCATTTGTCCTTCTCGGATATGTTGGTATATTACTTATACCACCTAAAGGTCCATTCCATTACAGTAAACTATGGTTATAACAAACTCAAAGGGACCACAAATTTTAGTATAAACATCAAATGAAATATGCAGGCATGACCAAATACCAATTCATTATCCGTATGTTCATTTCAAATGTGGGGCGGTAGGTTATTCTAGTGGTTAAAGCATTTGCACGTCACGCCAAAGACCCGGGTTCGATTCCTCACGTGGGTACAATGTGTGAAGCCTATGTCTGGTGTCTGGAATATTGCTAAAAGCGGCATAAAACCACACAAACACACACACACTTGTTCCAATGTAGTTTACTGTATTGGTATTGTTCAGCTGTTTCGCCTGCTTCAGTACCCATTGCAAGCCATCCTCATACTGCTTTGATAGTGCTGGCACAATTGCATCACTCACAGAAACACTCAAGATGTATGTACCAATTTCCACTTTTTTAATATTCAAAACAAATCAATATTATGCCTCCACAATTGGTACTTGTAGCTGCTCAGAGAGTACAAAACCAACTCACAGAACATCAGACACACAGATTGGCTGCTTACAAGCAGGGCAGTTCAGGCTGTTACTGACATGATGCTCCAGTTAAATATTGCTTGTCAAACATGATGAACCACATACATCTTAAATTCAGTCGAATACAGTTTTTTCATATAAAAATTACAAATAATGTGCCTCTAAATCTGCTTATGTGATACTTTGAAGTCCAAACATATTGTTAAGAGTTTGTGAAGTTTTAAATGTTCAGAAATATGAAAGAAACTGTCCTTTAAACATGTAGTCCAGCTATGCTCGAAAGCAATGATTGAATATCAGTGTGAAATGTGTAATAAATATTATAAAAGCCTGACTATGCCTTAAGCACTCTGTTTCAACACTCAGCTCAGGCAGCAGGACCTTGTTAGCAGCATGGTGAATAAATTGTAAATATCTAATATAAAATAACAATCTAATAATAAACTTAGATACCACAGTTTGTCTGCCATGCAGTGTACCATGACATACACCATTGATACTTACAACCTGAAGCTTGCTATGAGGAAAATATGGTAACAGAAACAGGAATAACAAGGTCCAGATCCCATACAATAAAAGTGATATTCACAAGATTGCCATTGTGCAAACAGAATCAAATTCCACTGAAAATTAGAGAGAAAAAAGGCATCTTGCTGACAATCAACACTGGCTACACACAGACATTTTGCTGAGCAATCTATGTATAATATATATCCAATCTGAAAACAAATTTAGATTTTCTCACTGAAACAAAATCTGTTTTATTAATGTTATATATTACTTTATACAAAATTATCAACATATACTCTGTGGTAATCACAAATATTCAAATTATATTCCTCTTGTTACACATACTGAAGAATGGATGTTACATTTCCATCAAATAACAAGGGACAAGTATATGAAACTCATCTGAAAGGTGTATCAACATGAAGATTTGGCCATTTGTCTCCTAAGTCTAAATGGTTGAGACTGGATATTGAATTTGTTTGAAAAAACTTGGCTTGTATTTTGTTGATTTTGGGGCATATTTTTGTTATAAAATCTTCAAAATATCTACAAAAAATAATGTTTACAAAACACTTCTCTGTACAGTCCCATAGATGAAGTATGAGTATCTTTGGTTCCATAACAAAGTTCCATGTACTGTTCACTATGACTGACACCTTGTGTTCCTGTAGCAACTACCAGTAAATACATGCCCGGCAATCACGTTTCACAGGAAAACATTTACAATCTAACATCAGGACACATATTCTTAGGGTTCTTGAAATCTGATGATGACATGCTTCACAAAATATTCTGTATGACTATATTATGATGTAATAAACTTTGATTTTGTTAATAAGATGAAAGTTTTGAACAACGCATGTACAATGAATGAACCAGCAGATGCTACACTTCCGCAAACAGTTGAATATCACTTATACATATTGCACTTACCACTACAACAAATACAACACAAATTGGAGCCATCTGTATACAACTACCATTTGTACAACAGTTGACAGGTAAACTCAAAAGTCAGGGAAAAGACCACGAAATGCAGATACAGTCCACTCCATGATGAAATCAAGGGGACATTTCAGTAACACTCCAAGTTGGGTCTCCCCTTACACTGTACCATTGACCACCATGATGGATTAACCTGGAGCGTAATACCGACTTGTTCCTGATCCCAGATGGTGTGGGCTGTATATTTGTGTCTCAGCTTCAGCTGCACTGTCCAAAATCACAGTGCTAATGATCACACACAATAACAACTGGTACAATTACTCTAGCGATGCATTCCCACTAATGACACACTACCCTCGAAGATATGAACAAGAATAAGCTCTTCCTGTTTCTGTGCTGCTGGAACACATGCTGTGGTCAACTCCCCGACTGGAAAGTGTACAATACACTGAGGTACTATCTAATCCCATGGTACTGTACACACTGAATATAAATAGGACTTTGAGAAACATTATATGATTCTAAATAACGCACAAAATTAAATAGGATAAACAAAATGGCACATTTTCCCCTCATTCTCGAACACCATAATAGAGCCTACTGCCATGCCTCACAGTGACAACAGCGTGGTATTATGCAGGCGGAGGTTGATGTCGGAAGGGGTTGAGCAGTAAGTTGGGGTATCACATCTCAGTCTCTTATGACCCCACTGTGCTATGATCAAGATCATATTTATTTAACATCTTACAAACAGACCAAGCTTTAGCATGAAAATATTCATTTCACCTAAGATAATACATAGTCCTTCGTTGGTGAAATATTATTACAGCACTTGGCCATTTTGTTTTGTGCCAACAAGGTGAAGGTCGGTTGGAGAGGCAGATGTGGAAGCACCTCGTTGTATGAGAGCTGTAGTAGAGCTGCCCTTGTCGTGTGCTGTGTGCGACCAGTACATCCATACATGGCAACACATCCCTGAGATGGGCAGTCCTACAGCTTTGGCACAGTCATTTCTTCATCAGACGCTCATCCCACCCCGAGCCATATTTCTTACGAGGGATGGGAGGAGGGTAGACTATGCACTTGTTCTGTGATATATTCCAGAATCACTTCGAATACACAGCATTGTCTCATCTCTAATTCAACCATTATATATATGTATACCTCTGAATCTACGCATCCACATTTTCCAGGGCTAAATATCAAAGCAGCACATAGTAAAAATACCTGTTCAGGTAAACTGTAAAATCCACTAAAGTGGCCACCCACTTTTACACACAAATATAAGATCCACATATCCCAGCTAATACATTCCATAATGAATACTACATATCATCTGTTTACCTGTATATACATGAACATATACATGAACAAATGACTAGCATAAATAACTCGTTCTAACATGTACACCTGTGTATCACAAAAATGGCTTAATACCTCTTTTTGATTTTAATCTCTTAAACACTGGTTCAGAGACGCCAAAAACTAGCCAAACGCAAAATAAGGTGAAAGATCCTCATTAGTGAGTCTTTCAAGCACTCCTGGAACATTCTTATCTCATATCAAATGTCATGGTAGCACATGGTAACAGCAGTGTATGAAATAAGCCAAAAACCCAGCCAGACATCTGGGCTGGTAACTTCAAAAACTTACCAGCCCAGAAGAGATTTAACCAGTCCTTCTTAAGTCCTAAATCGGCAGTGCCAGTGGACACGTTATCTGAATATATTTTTTTCACCTGTCCATCGGGCTGGCTAGCTGTAAAATTAGACCGTCCGGCAGAAATCTAGCCCGTCTCGGGCGGTAGGATGGGCCTTATTTCATACACCGGTAACAGTTTATATATTAGTCCCACTTCCAAAAACACTAGGTGTCGTCAGATGCTCATTTCACGGTAGCACATGGCAACAAAGTTTTATGACAGTCCCAATTCCACAAACAATTGGAATAAGGACATACACATAGATACCGTAAGTCTCATTCTGGCAAATGGTAACAGAGTTGATATAATCGTCCCACTTCCATAAGCACTAGGAATCAGGAGGTGCTCGTATCATGAGTGTCAAGGGTAGCACATGGTAATTGAGTTACAGGATAGTCCCACTTTAACAATTGGAATCCGGTGATGCACATGAAGTTAGTCTCATGGTAGCACATGTTGACAGAGTTGAATTATAGTCCCACTTCCATGAACATTTGGAATCTGGATATACACACTTTCCAGTTGAACACATAAACTTTCAAATGGTCTCAACTGTGGGTCCATGTAATGGCTGAGGACAAGAATGATCACACTATCACATCTTGTAGAGGAGCACATGGATATTCATTTCCAACTAGTCAAGACAACTGTGGTCAACAGACACAATATCTCCGTTTTAGCACAATTTCAAGGTATTACTAGACTGTCAGACTGATAAATAATGTTGAGAGCATCACTGGAAGTGATACAGCAATCTCAGATGAGTCATGGAGAGAGTAGTTCCCTTTGAGAACTTGGGTGAAGAATACTTGCAGAAGGAGTATCAGACCATACATTGTTATTGTTTGGTTTATGGATCTGCCAACTTTACACAAAACAAATTCAGGGAAAACTTCAGATAAAAAAGACCATTAGTTATTGTATGGTAAAAATCGCTTTGACAATAAAATTGAAATAATCATTTCAGATTTTAGATTAATAATATGTTTTTGGACCCAATCCAGCCCTATCAATGAACCAAATTTATCATTACTCTGTACCACAGTCCACCAATAATGAAGAATCCTCCGCAATCCACCCATTTCTGAAGAATCTTCCACAATCCACCCATTTCTGAAGAATCTTCCACAATCCACCCATTTCTGAAGAATCCTCCACAATCCACCCATTTCTGGAGAATCTTCCACAATCCACCCATTTCTGGAGAATCTTCCACAATCCACCCATTTCTGGAGTATCTACAGCAATCCACCAATTTCTGAAGGATCTTCTGCAATCCACCCATTTCTGAAGGATCTTCTGTAATCCACCTATTTCTGAATGATCTTTGACAATCCACCCATTTCTGAAGAATCTTCGACAATCCACCTATTTCTGGAGAATCTTCAACAATCCACCCATTACTGAAGAATCTATTCAAGATTTCGCTAAGCCCAAGAACATATGAAGAGAGCTCAAATCACATATCACTGTTGGGGACAATATCAGAATGGTAGAACCTTTTCCAAGCACTGCCTGAGATGGTCGCCACGGGAGACATCATTCCTGGCCAGGTTTCTGCGAAACAGTATTGGGCAGTCCAGAGAGATGCAGGGCTGAGTCGTGTCCTGCGCTCCCATACACGTGTGGCATACCTGACAAAACACAACTCCACATCTACTGGCAGCATGAACACACATTCCAGTTTCACACAGAACATACAAATATACAACATACAGAAAATAACTGTTGTCTACAGTGAGAATGCTATGACTAATACCACTACAGAGTAATCAATGTGATTGGCCACACCAATGGCACTTAAGTAATAATGTGTTCTGGGATCCAGTCCTATTGGATCATCTGCAGAACAAAGCTTTTACTTTGATAAGGAATGCACTTAGTTTGGTGCTGAAAGAACAGTTCAGATTATTGTTTAACACTGCATGCCATCAGTCATGCTACAAAGTCAGACCACCTATTTGGTCGCCTCTTCCCACTAGTATAGGTTCAATTCTAACCCACAATCCCCACATGGAGAACATATCCATGTTTACATCAGCTTACCTCTGCCAGCCTCTCATAGACAGATTCCCAGCGCCAGATTTTGTCCATCAGTGTGACAGCCACCATCTGTGGGTTCAGCATACACTTGGCACAGATTGGCTGCTTTGTCTGCTCGTCACAGACAGGGCAGTTACTTACAGAGAAGTACTGGGAAATGGTGCCCTGGCAACATAACAACAATGCTCCGTCAAACTGTGATGCTGGGATATTCCTGGACAGGAACATCAGTGAGTTGTGTGTAAGTTTCTCAGTTAGGGACCGAAGATGATTATCATGGAAAAGCACGTACACTGTGAATGAACCCCCCTAAAATTTATGAACTAAGTAAGTAACCCCAACCCCCACCCCTGCATGTCCAAACAAAATGTGTGACCGCCCCCTTAAAATCTTCATCACCCCCTAGCCATAACTTATGAACGGTCCCTTACATCATCGTGTGTTTGCATCATGTGGGAGAAAAGCCAATAGATTTTTATCCACAGTTCTTGGACACTTACCACCTAAGTGAAACCCACAGGTATGGTGCTGACAAGCCTTGAAACATAATCATGGAACTGAACCCACAATGATAGGTTTTCTGTCAAGTTAAAGGCACTATGGAAGTGGTGTCTAAACCCTCATTAAAAGATGAGGTAGACAATCTGCGTTCTACAATTATGCATTACCTTCTTTGAGTCCCCGGACACGATGGCCTGTGGCACAACACGGATCACCTTTGGCATGCTTTGATACCTGTTTGAAATGTGAGCATAAACTTCAATACTCCTCCACATCACATCTTGCTGGAATGAACACTGGATAACACAGCAGTGGTGATGACTTAACAACTAACATCAGTCAATATTATTAATATCAAAACCTAAATAATACTGATTCTTATGAAAGAAAACTATGGAAATTTTTACCATGGTTATATGGAGGCCACATAAATAACAAGTCCACCCCTGGGTGAGACAGAGTTGTGACAACTATCACAGTTTGTCAGTAAAGTACAGATTCTAGAATTTCTGGTGGGTTGAGATCCATTCAGGATTCAAACCCATAGTTGAAGAATACACCATGGCATCTAGAAAGTGGTCAAATGTAATACTTTACTAAGATCCTAAGAAAGTGTAATCCATAATAAACATTGGTTGCAATTTACCACTCCCTAAATGGCATAGTGTCACAGCAGTCAAAGGTTGGAAGAACACAAGAATGTGAATACTTTTGATAATGGTTCAGGCTACTTCTTGCCTTTTCACTCCCATCTGTAGCATTTATGTAAGGAATTTTAATTTTGCTTACTAACAGGATATACAATAATGCAACTCTGCTGTGATCTTCCACTGTAACAACACCTTAACACAATGGAGCAATTACCATCCAAAGACGTCAACTCCAATCAGTGAGAAGAGTCTGTGTAGTGGTGGCAGGATCTGCTTGGTGATGTAGTAAGTGCCGTTGATGCGCAGTGTTGGGTCACGCAGAACCTCGCTGGGGTGTCTGACCAGCTGGATGAGTGGTAGCCCTGGACTTCCATACACAATAACATAGGGTATCCTCTCGCCAACACGAGGCTCTGCACGGCGGTCTTGTCGCATTAGCTTTCTGTAATCAGACAATGGATCACATCTACTTTCAACTGATGTCAAAGCATGAGTCATCATAGATGAGATTAATTACAAAATGCATCGAAATATTGTTGAACAAGGTCAATTTATACAAGAAATATCAGTTCTGTATTCAAAGTTAATAAAGTTCAAGTGTTTGGGTTATGTTCCCAGCGTCTGTGCCTATTCCATTACAACAGTAGCACAGATGACTGTTCTGCTTAACTGATCTGTATGTTATTTGATTCATTGATAATGATGTAGCAAAACGATGTTGCTTGCACTCACTTGGCAATCTCCAGTCCTGGCACACATGCACCTGGCTTGTATCCCATCATGCCTCTGAACTCCTTGGCAAAGATGCAATCCTGAATGCTGACCTTACCCTCCATGAGTTTCTGACATTGGCGCTCAACAAAGGCCTTGACCTGTGACACATCTCTGGTTGTGAACAGCAGCTTGATACAGCGTTCCAGCACCTGGTCAAAATAATGTAATTTTCTGAATAAAATTGATATTTTATACTAATCCTGACTCATGCTCTATTCTATTCATATTCATATTCATATTCTATAACATTTTACCATTGTACCATCCTATCACAGTACCACTTTCCCAAAGTACTATTTTACTTCAGTCCTATTCTACCACAATACAATTCTACTAGTGTACCATTTTAAAACTGTATCTCTCTACAACAAGGGGCTGTGAAGTAGCCAAGTGGTTGATGCATTCGCTCATAACACAAAAGACCAAGGTTTCGATTCCCCACATGGGTACAACTGTGAAGCCCATTTCTAGTGTCCCCATTTCGGGTGATATTGCTGGAATATTGCTACAAGTGGCTTTAAAACCATACTTACTCACTCACTTACTCACTCTACAACAATCCCATTTTTACAGCTCTATCTGTCTACCAGTCTACAACTCTATCATTTCATTCTATGCCCAACCTTATCTCCTGAGCATAACTGACTGTCTTCTGGTTTCACAGTTTGTCTGTTTACTCTCTTAGTGACAGTCAGATTCACTTGATCACCACAGTTTGTAAATTACCTAGTTGTGGACAGACAATCCATTGGTTGAGAGAATAAGCAGCATCTAACACCATTGGGGTACGATGATATGCAATTAATTATGTTGAAGACTCCACAGTTCTAGGTTCCTATTAGGATTGTGGCAACCAAGAACTCAGTATTGAGCCATATGGAGAGGAGAATTAAACCCACAGGAGCTGCAGGTTGAGCAACAGCACTCCTCACTTGGCCACCAGTAGCACCCATTACTCCACACAGTCCACAAGGGAAGAATCACTACAATAAACTTGGTCATCGCCTTGCATTCACCGCTGACAGATGTTCACACTCCTTGGGACGGTTTAGGTGTATTGCAGTGGCTGTGCTCTGCTCACCTTGGAAACTGCAGCACAGTTGTCTCGTCTGACTGTTTCAATACCCTTGGCATCATACACTGGCTCCTTCTGGTCCACAGTCTCATAGCTGAAGCCCACGTACCTCTTCTTGCTCTGCAGGACACATGGCATGTATACCTGGAGAGATACAGGGAGAGAGAGTCAAACAATAGTCCTATATGCAGTGTATGAAATAAGGCCCGGTCGACCGCCCGAGACGGTCTAGATTTCTGACGGACGGTCTAAATGTCTGGCTGGATTTTTGGCTTATTTCATACACTGCTATATGCCCTCCTCAGCAGTATCACAGCTTTCTAAAGCAGTTTCAGGGTAATCTTGTCTTCCCTGATAAAAAACAACACCAGATGCTCATCTTGTGACAACTCTTCACATCTTTGTAGGTTTTCAAGATAAGCATTGACACTTAAGAATTATTTTCTGCCTCAGCTTGGAACTAAGTGTTGGAAGAAGATATCTATTACACTCATTCAACTTTGTAAAACAATTAAGCAACATGAAGCCTCTCACAAGTGATCCTGTTCAAAGTCACAAGATAAGAATAGCAGCTGTACCTTTTCAAACTTCAGTTTGATTGGCTTTGGGAACATGGCTGTGACAGCATCTGCAATTTCTTGGCCGATCTGAAATGCTTCATCTTTATTTCGACCTTCTAGATGGATAAACATGCTGCAAGATCAAGGCAAAAACTAGTATTAGCTACTCTACACATTACCAAAACACCATATTCCAAAGATTTACTCATTCTTCCTACATTTACTTCATCAATATCACAAGGATGACATCACATACTGACATGAGAATGACACAAGGTTTTTTCCTGTTTGTTTGTTGTTTTATGTCATAGTTAGCAATCTTCCAGTTGTATTGCAGTTACCTCTACAGATTCTGAGTAGGAGTACAATCCACAGGATCAGTAAATGATGATGTACAATGAACCAATTCACAATGTCTGACCATCCTGTCACCTTAGGCACCTTTCACAACCAGCCTATGTTGCCGGGATCCAGTTGACTGACTGAGTTTGGTTTTACGCCGCTTTTAGCAATATTCCAGCAACATCACGGCAGGGGACACCAGAAATGGGCTTCACACATTGTGCCCATGTGGGGATTCGAACCCAGGTCTTCGGCGTGACGAGCCAACGCTTTAACCATTAGGCTACCCCACCGCCCCCCGGGATCCAGTTGAGAGGTGTTGACAGCATCACCAACAATTCACACAATACACACAAGGTAACCACTCAGTCTTCATTATGACAAGGTAGGAAAAGCTGTATGTATGTTTCAGGTGCTGGAAATGTAATTTGCCCAAAATCCACATGATGTTATGTGCCTACACAAGTCACCGTGTTGAAGTGGGGATCAGTCTGTTTGTACATACCTGTCTGTGTCACCATAGACGACCCTTGCCCTCCACTGGGGTGTGTCCTCCACGAGTTTGATAGATCTCTCCAGGGTCTCCCTTGCCTTCCGCACTATACTGTCACCAACCTGGGAGGACAGAGATACACATGCATCATTGTTCTGTTTACACATTATCTTTTCTTTTCATTTATCTCTCAGCTGTTGGCAATTAAGAATAACAAAACAAGGATACATAGAACATTGCATTCCTCCATACAAATGGCCTTATTCAAAATTTGAAAAAATAATTCAAAATCAATAATATAGTCAAATGACAATCTAAAATATTAACTGGTCCTCACATCATGTAACATAAGCCTGTAAGATGTGTTGCCATGGTGAATCACTCACCTCTATACATGGCATCCTCCCAGAGAAGCTGGCTCCTGTGTAGCCATACGTGACATTGGCAATCAGCTTCAGGCCCAGTTGTCGGGCATTCAACAGGCGGTATAGAGTCTGAAAGCACAAACACCATGGTTCATATCTGAACTAACTCTATCAAGTAAAAAGATTCAAGAGTACTGCTTCTCCGGGTCAAGCTGCTGCTTCTACCACACAATGAAGACCAACAAATGGGGTAGACAGACAAACAGACACTATCTTCTTTCAGTGGCATGTTAAAAGTTGGGAAGTACAATTCTTTTATGGATAACAACTTGTATTATTTTGTGAGTGTGACATTTCAGCATTTGACAACATTACCAGAACCTGTGTCAACACTCCCATTCACAAAATACAACAAGTCTTACAGTCTCCCCTAAATGTAATGTGTTAGTGACTTGTGATCAATGAATAAAGTTTTCTTCCAAATCAGGTGATTACCAGTGTGCCAGAATACAGCTTACCTTGTCATGTTTATAGCCTTTCATTGCCTTCTTCACCATGAGCCGGGTCTTGAGAATCTCACCCACCATCCTAATGAAAGACAAAATGCTTCCATATTACAAACCACTTTCTATAAACATACTAATATATATTCAGTTAGAACCTTAAACTACTGTTTACCACAATTATTTCAGTTAAGACAAAGTTAGGCTGTCAATAGATAGCCAGTTGTGCAAGTCAGCAGAAACCAGAATATGTAATGCCTTACCTGGGCAGGATACCCTGTCTGACATGGTCCTTCAGGAACACAACACCATTAGGGGATATTGTCACATCCTTCTCCAGTTTCTAAACATAACAATAAAGGATCATGAGAATAAGGATGTCACAAAGTTAACAGCTGCATTATATGTTGTTTGGGTTGGCATTTTTCCAACAGTGTTGAGCAATATATGCCTGAGTATAGGGTGGCAACAGTCTTGGCTCAGTGACTAAATGCCAATCAGAGTTGAACAATATTCCAGCAATATCATGATTGCCTGTAAATACCATAATCACCATACCACAGGTAAACCAGGATCATGTCATCAGGTCACGGCGACACAGAGTCAGAGAGGTCGCAGTGACATACAGATACAAGGTCACACATAATAAGCACTCAGTAATTATTGTAGTCTGTTTTTATGACAAGAATATTTGGGGTTTATTCTGACCTGGATACACACAAGGTGCTACATTTTTCACAAATAATACATGGCATAGAAGAGTAAAATAATGTTTTGTTTCCTCTTACCTTTAGCTGTGATGGTGATATTTTCAGTGATGTACATCCAAACTCAAAAGGGCCCTCACTGAAAGACAATTTTGAATGTGGAGGTCACAAAAGGATTGTTTTCTTATTTGATTGACAGAGTTTATGGAGTTCATTCTCTTCTAGTTTACACAATATAAATCCTAATATGCATATGATAAATGATAAAACCCATGCACAGTGGAATATGGCACCTTAAACAACAGTTCCACATATATCCCAAAAGAATAAACCTGGTGCAGAGTGCCTTAACTAACATGGCTTTAGCAAGACCATGGACACAGCTGAGGGAGAACTAACAGACACAACACGCATTAATTATCACACATGAGCCAGCTGTATCATCGCCATTTCGGCAGCAATGCAGAAAGGAGATCTATGTCCTATTTCACAAGGAGGTCTCAGCATTAAAACAACTGCATCTTCCATACTTTTACCATAATCTAGAGTCAACTACAGTGTTAGAATCATTTTGTGCTGAGGGCTCCTGGTGTAGAGTGTCTCGACTTACTGGGCTTTAGCAAGACCCTGGATCCTGCCGAGACAGGTGGAGAAGCAGTAGTTGTAGGCGATCATGATGGAGGGGTAGAGGGACTGGAAGTCAAGTACCACAACTGGGTGGGTGTAGAAGCGAGACTCCGGCTCCAGGTTGAGCGGGATGCATTCCGGGGCTTTCTGACGTGCACGCTGCTCCACACCTGGGGATGCTGGAAGGAAGTTCATGGGCTTGGCCAGTCTCAGCATCATGGATTCCACACGGTACTGGAACAACAGGAATATAGGTCAGGACAGTCATAGACTCCACACAGTACTGGAACAACAGGAATATAGATCAAGATAGTCATAGACTCCACACAGTACTGGAACAACAGGAATATAGGTCAAGATAGTCAAAGACTCCACACAGTACTGGAACAACAGGAATATAGGTCAAGATAGTCATAGACTCCATACAGTACTGGAACAACAGGAATATAGGTCAAGACAGTCATAGACTCTATACAGCACTGGAACAACAGGAATATAGGTCAAGACAGTCATAGGTCAACAACAGGAATATAGGTCAAGAGTCATAGTCATAGACTATATACAGTACTGGAACAACAGGAATATACAGGAATATAGGTCAAGATAGTCATCATAGACTCTATACAGCACTGGAACAACAGGAATATAGGTCAAGGATAGTCATAGACTCTCCATACAGTACTGGAACAACAGGAATATAGGTCAAGATAGTCATAGACTCTATACAGCACTGGAACAACAGGAATATAGGTCAAGACAGTCATAGACTATACATACTGGAACAACAGGAATATAGGTCAAGATAGTCATAGACTCCATACAGTACTGGAACAACAGGAATATAGGTCAAGATAGTCATAGACTCTATACAGTACTGGAACAACAGGAATATAGGTCAAGATAGTCATAGACTCTATACAGTACTGGAACAACAGGAATATAGGTCAAGATAGTCATAGACTCATACAGTACTGGAACAACAGGAATATAGGTCAAGATAGTCATAGACTATACAGTACTGGAACAACAGGAATATATAGTCATAGACTCCATACAGTCAAGATAGTCTCAAGATAGGAGTCATAGACTCTATACAGTACTGGAACAACAGGAATATAGGTCAAGATAGTCATAGACTCTATACAGCACTGGAACAACAGGAATATAGGTCAAGATAGTCATAGACTCCACACAGTACTGGAACAACAGGAATATAGGTCAAGATAGTCATGGCCTCCATAAGGTACTTGAACACAAGGAACATAGGTCAAGATGCCGGTCTAATCTATTCCATAAACAAAATGGGCTTGTGCACATTATGAACTGACAATAAACCTCAGCCATCCACTCACCTGTGATCCCCTTGAGAGAACATGGTAGAACTCAATGCCAAATACACGGGCAAACTCGATCGTCTTCCCAACAAGATCCAATTGGTCCATCATCTGTAGAACACCCTTGACCTTTGTCACATAGTATTCCACCACACGCCACCTAGGGGTAAAAAGTTACCATTACAACCCAACACAATGTCAGTTTTCTTGATAATACTGCCATTTCTCTCTCTTATGTCCACATTCTACCCAGTATGTGAATGGATGAAAATTGTTAAACACTTCAGTCATCAATATTTAAGTTATATGCCCCATGGCTGAAGATATACAATCTGAACTGAGTGAATGAGCACATTGCCAAGTGACAGAGGGACCATCCAGGCCTTATTTCAGTCATTATTATTAAGTCCTTTCTGACATAGAATCCCCACAGTAAGTCAAGCATAAGGTAGAGAGCATGTGATGCTTATGTTAAAGCAACAGCTGTAGCTTCTCCGGAGCCAGTTACCTGTAGTGGTGGGCCCTATGGTTGAACCACAGGCTGAGTGTGCGGGTCGTGTACAGGGGCACACGTCGATGTAAGATATGGAATGCAGTGTTTTCAAAAGTGTAGATGTTCAAGGTCACCTGAAATACATTAAAAACATGACTGTACACAATAAGAATGACCAGATATTTATCATTTTCCACAAAGCAAATGTACCAAAGTTAATAAAGGATTAAGTTTTTCTGAAACATTTAATCTGATTTAAGAAATCTTATTATCAGTAAATACCAATCACCTCTATAACAAGATATTGTGACCAGGAAGTTGTCTGGCTGAAAACTGCTTGTTTAAAACATTTGAAATTGTAAGCACTTAATCAAAACTTGTTCTGATTTTTCTAATCAGGAGCAACAAGATATGACTGGCTGAAAGAGTTCTTATTTTACAAAGATCCAATCAACATGCAAGCATCTAGGTCAATATTGCTTACCTCGTGTCGAAGCAGACGCCACAGGTTGAGGACAATCCGTCCAGTGATGTTGATCTCTGATGTGTAGTCTGCACCCCACTCATTCCCGCCTGCCTTGGCACGATTCCCTGCCTTAGAATCTTAACACAAGAAGTGACTTCATCAATACATACAGATATACACAAATAAACAATAAAACAAGGGCATATACTTTAGTACTGAAAATCAAACAAACAATATTGCAAAAACTCTTAATTTCTTAAACTGGTATCAACAACATATGATTTATTGTCAAACATTCCAATAGTCAGAAAGTAAGATACTTTATGGATGACAAAGTATCTTACTTTCATATTACTCACCAACTTCTCAAATGCCAATCAAACAGATCATTCCAATAGTCAAAATGAATTTCAGGATTATATGTCCAAAAGTTGGTGAGGTATACATTATTCCCCTGTTACAAATACCTGGTGTGCGGGATATCCTGGTGCAAAGGTCGGTGCCAAGGTGAGTTGCCCGCTGCAGGACGAAGCCCCAGGACAACATCTGTATCGTAGCCCACCACAATGTCAGGGTCATATCTACAGACAGACAATACCAGCTGCTAAAATCGTTATCCAGTATTACCAGTTCATCTTACAAGGCTGTAGTGGAAGGAAACACTTCTATGTTTAACACTGATCATTGTTTTGGAAAAACAAACAATAACGAATGAGAACACAAAGATTAGGAAGACATAGCTTTCTGATTCTGTATCCTTAACATACATTATAATGAATAAGTAGGAAATGTTCTGTTGCTATTTAAGTTCACTTGTCTTGAGAACCGTTTAAAGGAAACACTACAAGAGCAGATGGTCTCATTACCTTGTTATGCAATGTGTATTAACCAGGTTACAATAATGTTTATTACTCCCTAACTTCATCATAATATACAAGTCTCACTTGAATATAGTGGATCTCAGATTTCATGATCAGTTCCTTGGTTGGAAACTGTAACTAACTGGTCATCTATGAAATCAATTAACTGGAACAATGCTACTGGATCGAGAGTATGTTTACATGACACAGACCTTTAACTTTTGCCGTATAAACACAAGCACCTCTGTTACATCATGTTAACGTTATCAAAACAAAGACATCAGTTTTGACACTCACTTCTGAATTAGTCTCACAAAGCTCTCAACAAGTTCTGTTTCATTTGTAACATATTCAGTGTCGATATCCTCTACTCCCGACTTCTTCAAAATGGAAGCTGTCTGCCTGCGGGTTTTATCCACTGATGCATCAGCTTCATCACTGGACCTGGAAGTTCCTGGTTTCGGTTCAGATCCAGCCCTGGATGTTGAAGGCTGAGGTTCAGGTTGAGCCTTTGGTGTTGATGGCTTTGGAGAGACAGGTCGCTGTTTGGGTATATGAGCAGCCCGAGCAGACGCCACATCTACCATGATAGCTCCTGTGATGTGGCGTTCTCCTTTAGAAGGAGGAACATCATCAAAGATAGAATAGAAGATGGCCTGCATAGTATCAACTTCTGGGTCAGGTCGCAGATCACCGCGTGTCTCAACGTGAACTTCCATACTCATGACAGTCAAGAACTGATGCTGAAATCAGAGCAAGGCCATCTCAAACTCAAAGTCAAAATCAGTGAAAGCCTATCCGTCTTAGCTTCAACAAATCTTTCTTGATAAAAGCAATATAATCATATAATAATCTCACCTCATGTAAAGCTTTAGCATCTTGGTAGTTTTGTTGTGTAAGTTTAAATCCATAGGTGTTCTTGGGAGTGGGGCCATCTATTTGGGATGTGCTACGCTTGGGTGTTGGAGTTGCCAGCTGGCTCTGAAAGGAAACACACAAACATGTCTCACAAGAATGAATCCGAAGTTTGTCTTAATAATTTACCATCCATTCATGTGAGCCAAAGAAAGTGATGCAGTAAGACAATTATTCAGAGACAGTAATTAATTTTTACTTCTTTATCAAACTGAGAAAGATTTGTCTTCATCAAATGTTAACATATTGTTAGAAATGCTAACTAAAATTTATTAAGGGCTAGGCTGACAAAATATTTCATGCATAATTTAAACAAAATTTAAATAAATATTACTACACAACTAAACAAAATTGAAAAACAATTTTCAAATTTGCATTTTGGCTAGCTGGTAAGGCTGGGGTTTTTTCAGTAAACAGTGGGAACAGGTCTCTGTGTTAGCAGGCTATGAGAGGTGGAAATAATAACGTTATTGATGTGATGTTATCATGTATTTAAGGTACAGGTGACATAAGAACAGTTTAGTTGATGCCTACACATCTAATAATACCAGCATTATTCAGATGCATCTCAGATGCCCTTTTGTTTCACTCAGGCCTATATGAACTGTATAGGGCATTTAGACACAGTTTTGCAGGACTTGTGCTTTACAAGTTCTCCATCATAGCCCTGAGTGACTGCTTACAATTCATAGTCTAATTTAGGTGGTGATATCTCTATTAGGTCATTGTTTTGTTTATCTTTGATTACAATAATACATGTTCACATACTATGACTACTGGGACCTTCAATTTAAAAGATGGTCTGAGTGTGCGGACATTAACAGTGAGATCTACCACCAGGAGTTGAAAATGTGGATCGCAGAACCTTCCATTGATCAGACATTTGTGCATCTACTTCAGGTTTATTTACCCAAACTGGATCAATGATTCAAGTAAATATGCTCTGTTGATAATTCCACATCAATATGTTTACAATTTCTAGAATTCCATCAGAAGTACAACCAGGCCAACTATTACTGGCACTCATTGAAGAGAATAAATATACAAAGCAAAAGAGGCTTAATTCCCAAACAACTAATACAACTAAAAGAACCTGTACATATCACAAAATATTTGATGGCCAAATTAGAGACATTATACAGATTGAATATAGGCAGGGAAAATATGATGGGTTGTAGAGACTGCAGAGGTGCGGGTGCGCCAGGTGCCCCTCAGACACTGCAGTAGGTGCAGATATAATATCAAGCAGGTACCCCTTCAGGACAAAGGAAATAGGGGATAAACGAAAGTAAGGATGTAAGTAAGTGAATGTTGTTTTACACCACTGTAAGTCACATCATAATGGCCTGTACTTAACCGAGTGAATACCCATGAAGATCCTGGTTAAAATTGATCTTCAGTAACCCATGCTTGTCATAAGAGGCGACTAACGGGATCGGGTGGTTAACACATGTCATCGTATCCCATCTGTGTAGATCAATGTGCATGCTGTTCATCATGGGATTGTCAGGTACAGACTCGATTATTTACAGACCGCCGTCATATAGCTGGAATATTGGAGTGCTGCTTTTAAACAACCAACCAACCATCCAACCGAGTGAGTCTGACATGACAAGCAATGAGGCATGACAGTGGGGCTGCTTACACATAATGATATAGGCTCCATGTTCCCAATCCTCTATAGTCTGATCTGGCATTCAGCATGGTATTAACATCACTGGGGTCCTTTGTCATTGTGTTGAAAATGTAGGCACAAATGGCCAAAAGCCATGGCAACCTTCATCAACAATAAGACAGTAGAATGCATTATTGATGCATTCATCAGAATTTCATAAGATCAAACAGTTCTGTGAAAAACGCTCAAACAAACTATGATTGATTATCAATCATTTGTTTCACAGTGATTAGAGATTTCCACACCCAGATCCTTCAAATGTCTACCACAACAATTACACTAAAGAACCTGTGCTTGTCTTTGCAATGTACTCCCCACAACCAAGATCAATGTTCCGATTGAAATGTGATAAATTAATGCATTATTGAAATATATCCTTCACCCTGGTGCCTGTCCTTATGGTATGTCCAGTCTGGCAAACATTTTGGAAAGTACTGCAAAATCCCATTAATCTGATTGACACCATTCCTAGTGAACAGCTACCTACATGGTCTAGTGGATAGCGCAAATGGTCAGAGAGCAGAGGCTCAGTGGCTAAATTCGTCAATAGTCGGGCTTTCAAAAGACATTAAAAGCTGGTACTTGAGGTTTCCCTTCCTGGCACTCAGCAGTGGAGGGATAAAAGTTTTCGCTTGTCATGCAAAGACCTAGGTTTGATTCCCCACATTGGTATGATGTGTGAAGCCCATTTCTGATGTTGCCCACGTACGTGATATTGCTGGAATATTTCTAGTGGCTTAAAACTGCACTCACTCACTTGCTCACTCACTCAGGATGGCCCTGGTGGGAGTACTGTCTGAGTGTAGTCCCATGTTAAACTGTGGTATCTCCATGGGCTTATACTCTTTAAGTAGTCTTCATAACAACACACCCACGCACGCACGCACGCACGGACGCACGCACGCACTCACACGCACACACAAACGCATGCACACACACAAATACAGACTCATATATCAATAATTTTTAAGGATTGACAAATCAGGGGAACATTGTTGCAACTGTTTTTTGTTCAGCAGGCAAAGTTTCCAGATGAACAGATTCCAGACCAACAGCTTGGTGTTTCATGAAAAGCTATACCTTGAGCCATGGATGATGAAACATGGGTGCTGGCTATTCCACGTGGCCAATGGTGATTTCAAACACCAGTGTTTCTGCATGGTCTAATCAAATTATATTGAGTATCTGTTCACTAAAGAAAAAAGAAACTTTGATAGAATAAGCACTTGCTTTCCAGGTCACAACCTATGTTCTATAGGTGAAGATAGATTCTGAACTGATGAGTCCAATGTTTCCATTCAGTAAGCTCAAATCATACAGTGTTCTCTTGATGTTCGGCATAAGGATGTTGTGTGATTATATAAGGTTACATAACGATGACCATTCCCAAACTATAGGCCACTTATTGAAGCTACAAAAGCAATGGAATACATGCATGTCATGCTATTGGTCGAAGCAACAACTCAATAAATATGGAACAAATATTAACTGAATAACTGGTGGCGCTTGCATGCAGAACTGGCTTGTTAGTATGAGCTCTCATTAAGGTGTTTCCATACGGAATATGTGTTATTACACAAAACAGGTCAAATTAAAGAATATTCAATACTAGTCTTAAAAGTTACAAAAAAATATATACATATTATTTAAATATATATTTAAGTAATGACGATGAAAACCTATGTCAAACTGACCTACTACTCCATAGAAATAGAAAACACTCAATGCTTTCATATTACTACAGTTAATCTCTTGTGCTTTGACAGACTATAGTAACTTGAAAGATTATTTGGGTGCTCTTTAACTTCTGTTGAGTCTTGTACACACTTTGTATGATACATGCCCTCCAAAACACTTTGTATGATACATGCCCTCCAAAACACTTTGTATGATACATGCCCTCCAAAACACTTTGTATGATACATGCCCTCCAAAACACTTTCACAGAACAGACTCCTTAACCCAAACTTAGTTTTGAACCTCAACCATATGGAAACACCTAAATGTAGCCACTAAAGCATGGCATAACTTGATGCCAAGCAGGTAAATTAGAGTTACACAATTTGATGACAAAAGCCTCAGCATCGGATTAGTACTGAATACTGTGACCTACTCTACTGGGGAACACGCTCTACCAACCTTTAATTGCGAGGCAAGAATTGACCTGCGTAAGGATCTTTCAGTATTGGAAGAGAGTCGGCGTATAGGGCCTGGTTTCCTGGGGGTCACAAAGGGACTACTGTCATGACTCCTGCCGGCAACTGCTTTATCACGATTGGTCGAGATTGGAGTACATAATGGGTCTGACCAATCAATGGATGTGCGCCGTACTGGGGTGCTATGGACAGGGGGCTGGGACGACTCACCGGATCAGTGTTCGAAGGTTTGGACGGAGTTGGATTACTTTCCTTCTGATCCCAACGTGATTTCAGCTTATCACTTCGCTTATGAGTCAGTGGACTAACTAATTCTTTAACACTCGAGTCAGTTTTAACCACATCCCCATCGGACACGGTCTTCTTCAAATGAACAATCTGTACTGGAGGTGAAGAATCATGTTCAGATCTGTCCACGTTTTTTTCCCCTACACTAGAGATTTCCTCCACAAACTGCTGGCTGCTGGCCCCGCCTTCAGGACAAACAGTCCTGTTTTGATCACATCTGGCTGAATCTTTTCCAAAACTGAAATCTTCTTCAACCACAACTTTCACATATTCAGTAGATTCCTCATCTTTCCTAACATCCCTGCTATCATAAGTATTTGCATATTTGCGATGTCTAGGATTAGGTAAGTCTGCATGTGCTCCCGAGTCCTCATCCGGAACATTCAGATCCACCTCTGTGTCAGCATCATATGCACTCATCCCTGACTGAGGTCTGCTCATACATGCCAAGTCATCTTCACCAGCTTCAGAATCACTCACATAACTAATCTGAGCAGGATCTTTTCCTGTAACAATGTCTTCAACACAAGTGCCTAATTCACTTGCATTACCAAAGCTACCAGTGTTGCCAGTGTCTCTATCACCAATGTCTCCAGTGTCTCTCCCCACCAACACCACTCGGAGGTCTAACCTGCATATCTGTACCACCATCAGTACCCCCTGATGGGTCACTTTCACTGGAAACATTCCTGGTACCAACAAGTGTTGACTCATCATCAGTTCGAGACTCCTCCACAGTAATCTCTGCTGCCAGTTCACTAAAATGTACATACTCCTCCATCTCCTTTTCCTCAGATCTATTACCATGATCTGTGCCTGTGACTGTGATCGTCTCTGTCTTAGCGTCAGTTTTGATCCGAGATGCCTTAGCTTCATACCAGCGTTTTACATCAGCACCCCGAGGTGGCAGACTGCAAGGTGTGATGGTGACATATCTATCTTCACTTAACATAAACTTAAATTCAGGGTCCTTATCCAATTTCTCCCACAAAGGTTCAATAGACTGAGAGGAAAACAAATTATTGTCAGCTGCAAATACTGATCTCCAATTTTTAAGTCCTTCTGTACCAGCAGACGTCTCAAACTCCTCCAAGTTCCTCACCTACAAACACAAGACGAGCAGTCTCAATAAAACTGTTGAGGAACAAAATACATCTGTCTGAAAATATTTCTCAAAGAATACAGAAAAAACTCCACATTAATTAGAAACAATAATCAGCAAACATTAATTAGACAGAAACACATCAATGACGTTATCTGTTTTGACATTTATCTAACTGAATTATTCAGTATTTAATTTGGAAACATATGTTTTTCATTCTGTTAGAGATTACATCCAAGGAAACAGCTTGTAAAACACGTTACATTGACAATACGATAAAAAGGATTATTATATTACATCTGTACATTACATCATTACTTCTGTATGTTCACATGCACAATAATGTTAATGCCGTTTGCTGTTACCTGTTTTTCCTGTGTATTTTGTTGTACCATACGAAAAAAATAGACACTAAAGAAATCGTAAGAAACACTTATACTGCATGTATAAGGCAATTGACTACATCACACAGAGGGTATTATATGTTTGAATAAATGCTTATTGAGAGATAGTTTTCAAAACGATTCAAGAAATGTCATCTGCGTCGCTGATTGCTATAAAGGATGTAAAAGCCATCACCATGAACACTACACAACAAAAGGACAGACCATATGTTATCTATGGTGCTAATTATATCTGTCATGCCGGGTCTTAAAGAGAAGAAGCAAGTATCCTGTGTAAAATTCAGTTGGATATTCAACGGAGTGTCTTCTTTACAGCAAAAGAAATTATTTAAATTTAAATTCACCACTGAAACATTGATTATTCATAAACAAGAAAACTGTTCACAAAATAAAATTAATTTAATTTTAGCATTAACTCAAGTCTTGTTTAAAGGGGGCTCGTCCCAATATTTCGGCTGGCATCAATATTCTGCTAGCTAATAACAGTTCCAAATATGTCGCAGTCTAACACTTTAACATCTTGGCTTCCCTACTCCACGCACAAGGCATGTGATATTATGACCTATTTTGAGAGACTAAAACTAATCTAAAGCTGAAATAAGCAGTATGAAGCAGCAACAATGAGGTAATATCTTAGCCGGAGACCTGCAAGGAAGGTGTCTGTAAAGTATGATCAAGTCTGGTGCATGCAAGATCCACAAGAACACCTCTACAGTCAGGTGAACCCTTCACCAGACAGCCATTGTATACAATTAAAGACAATTCAAAACAGATGGGAGATATATGCATGCCTTTAAAATACAAGGCATAGCCGCATTTGTTCAGAAGGACGAGTCCCCTTTACTTATACAAAATTCAGTTCATATATGTACATCATTATTATACCACCTTTCCTTAAGAACATAAAAAGTGAAAAAATAAGAAAGAAACTAAAACTGAGACATCTAACAAAGGGACTAGCAAGGAAACTAGAGGAAGAACAGGAGGGAGGGAGGGAGGAAGGTGCAAACAAACAAAATATATCTCACCCTGTTTGACTCAAGCTTCAACAGTGTCCCACCCAGTTCCCTACAACACAATCAAACATGCCCTACTGAACAACAGGCAGCACCACAGGGACACAACACGCAACACAAGCTAACCAAACCCACCTCGTCAGCCCAGCTAGCTCTAACCTTGTCCACTGTGCTACTTATTCATTGTTACTGTCTTCCTGTTAACCCTTAGGCTGCTGAATACTTTAACATATATTTTATGGATCAGTTTTGTAATGAATGAAATTTTAAATGCTTCTGCCTATGCAGGTATAATACTATTTTCTCCCCAAATCGATTTAGGATACAAGTTTGAATTATGTTGCCAGCCGAAGGGTTAATAAGAGTGTAGTAACAATGATAATACTAAATTTGTAGTGAAACTGCATAACATGATTCAGGACCAGTGATAATCGTGTCATACTTGTTTAACTTGAAAATCAATTTCCTGAGTGTCACATGCTTTTGTGTGGATGTGTTTCTTGATGTTTCCAGAAATACCATTATTAATCATGAAGCACAGTGTACATATGAAGTACATCCCTGGGAAGTATAGCCTGGGAAGCCTGTTCTAAGTTCATGTACAACTAGATCGAACAACCCTCATCAGGGTACTCAGGGAGACTGAAGTGTGGGGGACGATGCAGACAAAAACGTCTTCCATGTCACCTGATCATTCATTCCACTTATAACCTTGGAATATTTATTCATACTGAATTCCTAAAAGCATATCTTTGTGGATTGATTAATGAAATGAACTGAAATACCAAAAATTAGGCAAAACAAACTGGCAACACATTTAAAAAATGTGGCATATAATGAAGGGCAGAATGGACAGCCGACAGAATAACAAAACTAAAACCTACAATTTATCAGCATCTGAAGTCAACCTCTCCAGGTGATATCTACTTGTATGTTTCAAAGTAGTACAAACAAAGGAAGGAACTGGTGGCCCACTTGTCTGAGATGCAGAAATTAATTGTGCAGAGTTGCATTCCTTTGGCATGCTTCAAACCTGGGTTCAAATCCCATGATGCCCCAATTATGTTTCCTAGCTTATCAGCACCAAATCAGAGCTCTGGGTTTTACCAAGGTGGTAAGATCTACATTACTTCAGACGTTCATCCAACATCAAACTGACATGCCATCATCCAACAGGAATATCGTTGTTCAAAACAGCATTAAACCCCACGCATTCAAACTCCAAAACTACACAATTCTTTTCTCCAACAAAGTAGGCTCTTCTAACCGAAGTCTTACAACTTAATGACATGTTAGAGAAAATACATCAAAGATGCTAAAGCTAAATGATGGAACAAAATATGCTCATCAATTCATGAACCAAAACACATAAGGACTCATGCAGGGGCAACTCATGACAGATAATACATGAAAACTACAGCCAGGTCATGGAGCATGCCTTGTGTGGAAAGATGGTCCCAGAAATAAGAGGAGATAGTCCCGTTATTTTTGTTCAAACGATATATGGACACATACTGATGAGTGTTACTTGATCATGTAATTATTTCCCATGTGGTGCCTTGTTAAAACACAGTTCAAAGGAATAATGACATATTCTCAGGTTCTTTCACATCAATGACACACTACTGTTGAAAATTTACAAATATTCTTCAGTGTGATTGTCATATAATCACTGTGTTACATCACTGTTAACAAATTATAAATACTTTATCATGTGACTGTCATCATAAACAGTAATTTATGGCTATGATGTTACAATAGTTGATCTTTCATTAGAATAATGCTTTACACAGAACAAAATTAACATAAGAGGCACCTGTTTTGCCAGCCACAAATTCGGAACATTATAACTGGAGAGTCAGTTTGTTCTATCTCTATAATGCTTTTTGTAATTAAAGCCTTACAATCTGAAGATATCAGGATACTGTTTACAAACAAAATTTCATTTGTAGTCCTTAATAAAAATATCTCATACATAATGTTTTTATTATCGTATGTCTCTCACACACTGAACAATATCTCACCTGGGCTTATCTGGTAAGTCATCAGGGTTGCTGCAGTATGCGCTCTGGGCAGTGTGGCTGTACAGCCCATACATGGGAGCTGACACTGACACAAGATCCCTGGTAGGAGGGTATGTCTCCGGTCTAAGCACCACAGAGCCAAAGTATACATCCGGGTTGGGCAGACTTCCTCCACTGCCCCCACCACTGGAACCCTGGGAATATCCGTCAGAGTCTCTTCCAGAGTACCCTCCCCTGCCACCATTCTTGTTCTTCTTGGGTTTGTCCTCTGGTGGGTCAGAATGACATGCTTGCTTCCTGGGTCTCTTCCTTGTAGCATCCATGGGTTCATCATCTTCATCCGATGATATGTCTTCGTACTGTGATGTCTTTATAACCACAGGACAATCCATGTCATAATGTTCCGGCAGGGTACTTGCATTTATGGCATTCTCTCTTGGAGTCAGTAAGTTTCTGACACTCAACTTCAGTTCACTATACTTTGGATTTGAAGCACCTTTATCTGCGATTTTAGCCTTGGAACCATTTGTCATTGACCAGTTTTCTTTCTTTGAATCAGTCGAAATATTTGTGTCTGAATTTCGCGACTGGTTTGAGGATGAATCATGGGAGAGGCTTGCAAGCTCATTTAAGCAAGCTTGTGTATTGGCCGGACTATTTGTCACAGAACTGTAAGGCCGAAATGAGACAGAGCTCTCACATTTGGATTTATTAACACTTTTGAAAGACACTTTATCAGATGAAACTGAAGTTTGGCCACTGAGTCTACCAGGAACACTGGAATCTCGACTTTTGTCTGACCTCCAAGAATGTTGGGAGTCAGCAAAACAATCACTAAGGGTACAGTCAGATACCCGGGGAGAACGGTGAGGGGTGAGGCAGGGGGGAGGTGTCCTTCCACTGTCATGGAAAATACTCGCTTCTGAGCTGGATCCCGACAGCCTCCGGTACCGGGCATTACAGACTGGAGAACCCAGGTTTGGAGGTGAGGAGCAGCTATACTTCTTCTGCTTCAGTTCCCTAGTCAACCTGTCGATATCTGATACTGACAGAGGTTTCACTAGAACCACAGCTGTCTTTAATTTCTGTGAACATGTGACTTGGTTTGAGACTACTTCACCTTCTGAACTTGCTGCATCTGATGTTCTGGTCTCACTGAAGTCAGCCATTTTGGCATCATCTAGATCTGGCTGTTGGTCATTTACCAAAGTGGAAGCTTTGATATCAACCACATCGGAGGTCTCAACTACGACTGGCATCTTGGTCTCAATCAAATCAGGCAATGAGTCTGATTCAGTTCCTACAGAGACCGATGCTTCTGGGGACCTGGTCTCTTTATTGTTCTCAACACTTGACAAGGGGGTTTCATAAATGGAGTCCATGGACACATGAGCAGAGGCTCCTGAGGTAGATGGAATGGCTGACGTGGATGGAACAGATAGACCAGTAGGAGGGTGTTTCTCCATCTGGCTGTTGTTATCAGAAGTAGACTTTGGTTTGTCATGGACTTTGAGTAGCATATCTTTATCCCCATCTTCAGGTGAGAGCGGGATGGGAGGAGATGTCTCTCCTTTATCTGACTGAGGTGGCGACACTAGAGCCAGCTTATACATCACATCTTCATACTTTGTCTTATAATCATCTGTGCCATCAGCATAGGAGATGGTATCTGTCAGGTTGGCCAGAGTAGCTTGGTGTAATACTGACAGACTGTTCATCAACTTGCAACTGCCACCATTAGACTTTTTCCTCCTGTGCCTTGTAGAGAGAAATGCAACACCAAGACGCTGATTAGGTGTTAAACTCTTTCTCTTTCCTTTCTTGTCTTGTACAAATGACACCTTTGATGAACGGTAAGGTGATTTTGCCTTTTGCTTCTTGTGGTGAGGTTTAACAATCACTTGATGATTAGGCCGAAAAAGAGCCTCGCCACAGGAATCACTTGAGCTACTGTCATGCACTGCCTGTCGTGGAAGAGAATGAGTGTATGGTTGCCCTGAGCTGTAACCTGGCAAGTACTGAGCACTGATCTGGTTTTTGTGATAACTATCAACAATGTTAGAATCTAGATAGCTTGGCTTCGGAGTTCGATACACAGCTTCTGTTGGGAACGCTTGATGCTGAACATGATATACTGTGTGCTCTGTGGTAATATCTTTCACAGGAAAATATTTGTCAGGATAGGTCTCCATAATAGCTGAATCTAATTTGCTTGATGTGTCCTGTTTGGTAGGAAAGGACTGTTGAACAAGACTTTCTTTCTGAGTGTTCTTGTCAGATGTTAGAGGTGTGCCACCACTTTCTGATGGCAAAGCAGTGGATGTAGCACAGTCACTGACGATCTTCTCAATACACACATGTACAGTTTGTTTTTCAGATGCACACTGTTTTGGACATTCCTCAGTTTTTGATGATTCATCATGAGACAGTGATGTGGATTCTTCAATCCATGTTTCTAAGGGTTTGTTCAAGTTAGGATAGTCACTTAAACATATTTCTGTGCAGTTATCACTGTCAGTTTTTTTTCTGATTCGACCGAAACTTTCCAGTCCTTTCATCCAGCACAAAGGCAGGTGTTGAAGCCCTTGAGGACGGGTACTCGAGAGGTATATCTGACAGCTCACTTTCTGAGGACTTACAGTTAATGATCCTGCTTTCCATCAAGTACTCAGATATCGTGGAAGTCGACTCTGCTGAAGATGGTCTTGTGAGCTGACGATGAACAGCTCTATCAAACAGACGTTTCTCTTCCAAATGAAAGGCAAAATAATCATGAACGTTTATTGATGGGCCATTTATTTTGGGACGTCTTAGTTTCACCTGCATAGATTTGGAACCTTTAAATCTTCCCACTACAATATAATGGACACCAAGGATCATATTCTTGAAAGCATCATCATGTTTATGTCTTCTTTGAGCTTTTCTGCTTTTTCTGTTATCATCACCTTCATCAAACATATGTTTGAAAGCCTGTGGAGAGTAGTTGACCGATGGTCGCTTGCTCCTGTATCCAGAACTACTGGAATCATTTCCATCTGAATGCTTCCTCTTCTTCAGTTTTTTCGATCGACCAACAGCACCATCACTGCTGTCTGAGGATTCCTTCCTGGAGCTGGCTCGAGAAGAAGCTCTGGAGTGAGGTATGGAGAAGATTGACTCAGCCTCACTGGAGTGGTCCTTGTCACTGTAGAAGCCATAGCCCATCGTTGTCTTGGCAACTGCACTACATTCTGGAAGAGATGCTGGTATATCTGGCATCACCCTCCTGACAACAGCATCAGGCTTCCTGTGTTTGTCGACTCTTGCTTGTCCTTTGTCCTCCTGATCAGACTCCAGTAACATCAAAGGTGGAGTGTGGAGAGGCCGTTGTTGGTCAGGCATGTCCACCGGCACAGACTTCACAGACGACTGGACAACCAGTGGGTCTTCTAATGAGGAGAAATCCACAGGAAAGTGCCTTGTATTGTCCAAGTCAGATGAGTTGTGAACAGGCCGCTTACTTATTATCTGCCTTTCCTCTGCTGAATCGGTCTCCATGTAAACTTTCCTTCCTGTGTTTCCTTCTTTGGCAAATCTTTTATCTTCAGTTTCACACATATTCAACAAACGGTCCTTTTTCTCAGATTCTTTTACAGCCACTTTGCTAATAACACTTTCTGACAATCCTACTGACACTTTTTCAGCACTGACAGTATCAGAATCAGATATATTTTCCTTCACAGCCTTCTTTACAAAAGAATCAGATTTTACTTCCTTTTCTTTCACATCTTCTACCTTGTTCTTACCAACACAGACAATATCCTTTTGAACCTCTTCATCATAATGTCCATCACACTTTCCTTTGTTTAACACACCAACTTCTAAATCTTCCAAATCTTTTGCAGGTTCCACACATGGGAGTGAATCTTGGGAAAAACTGACTCTGTGACTTTTGGTTGTAAGTTTACAAATAGGAATATCTGCAGATTCTGATTTCATATCCGTGTTGCTAAGTGTTCTGTCCTGCTTCTGCCCTGAGGTTGCGCTTTGCTCCGGGACATTATCACACACCACATTGTCAGAGTTCTGCTCTAAGATAGTCTCTTGTTCAGGGACATCTTTACTCATGTCACTTGATGTCCTGTGCTGCTTCTGCCCCAAGAGACTATCTAGCTCCACAACATTTTCATTGTTAACATTTGGTTTGTCCAGGCTCTCAGCTGAAAGGCTCTCCTTCTCAAGGCTAGTTCCATTTACTTCGGCTGGGGAGGAATTACTATTCTGACCTGAGGGTGTCTCTTTTTCCAGGACAACTGGTGTTCCATTCTGGCTCTCCACTGAAAGAGACTCTCTCTCCAGACCATTCTCATTCATCTCTGCTTGATTGTCACAATTCTGCACTGAAAGTATTTCTCTCTCCAGAACATTTTCAAGTTTACTGGGCTGCTGGACTATTTCTAAATTTGGTTTAAATTGACACAGCTTTTCTTTTAAAAGTTTCCTCATTTTCATACTGTCATCACAGCTCCTAAGAGATGGTATTTCAGGCAGCTGTCTGGCAAATGACTCCATTGAGGAAAACTCTTGTTTGTCCCTATTCTTCCCTTCAGAAGGACTCTTGTCAAAGATGTCCCCAAACTGACTCAGAACAGGTACCCTTTCTTCAGGTTTCTTGGAGTACACAAGGTGAACTGGCTTCACAGCCAGCAGGGTCGGTAATACTTTTGTTGGTACATGGTCAGCTGAACAGCCATTGGATTTCCAAGAAAACCCATCAGACACTGGTGGACATAAAGGACGTTTTGACATCTTCTCAATGTCTTTTGCTGTTAATTTTGGGATCCGAACAACTTCCCTACCAATTTTAAGCAAACTGTATCTTCTGGCATCCATTGGGTGCATTCTGACTATTTTCACATCACTACTACGAGATAAGGATGTGTGCCTGATTTTCAGTCTCTTGAACACAGGCGTTGGGACATGGAAAGCATAGGTATAAGCTGCATTTGGTGTCAACACTTCTTGCCTTTCTGAAGTAACCAACAGTTTCTTCTTGGGAGGTCGTCCTCGTTTCCTAGCACCAGTAGCACTTTGAACAATACCTGTGTTAACTCTGAGATGCGGAATTATATTACCATTTTGACCCCAAGGGTAATATGACGGTGCAACACCTATTGATTTCTTCACATTACTGTTGTAGTAATGATCCTGACCCCAACTATATCCTTCCCGCGAATTAGTCACACGGGTGTCAGAATTGGTTCTCTTCAAGGACAACTTGGATCTTGAGCGGAAATTTGTAAAATTAGTGTCTGAGACACTTGACACCAAATTGATCAATCCTGTGAGAGATGACGGGCAACTCTCTCGCCTACTATCTCTTCTCACAGGAGCAGGCAAATCTAGATTTGTAAGGTACGGGATTCCAGACATTTCCTGACCTGTCACTGAGTTCTGAGAACCATCTCCACCTGAGTCGTACCCACCAGGCATGAAGTCATCACAGCCAGTCATGTCAATCATCGACTCATTGGCAGACTCATTGCTTTCATCCACAGACAAGGAAGGGGTAGAACCACCCAACATGGTATGAGGAGACTCCCCAAACAGATCATCTCGACTATTGTCTCTGGAGGGTTGTCTTTGAACAGATGTTGAGCAATCACTTGAGGTAAGTTCTACTGATGTCATGTTGGGCAAGGCAGTGATGTTGGATGACGTCTTTTCTACCAACTTTTCAAAACTACTTCCATCTAATCTATGGTCACTAGCTGAGCTGAGATGTGTGAGAGAAAGCTCACTTTCACTGCTGTTGGATGCGAGGGAAGCAGATGAGTGAATTGAGGATCTGCTCAAGCTTCTGTTCATGTTGGAGTCCTGAGTTGATGGAGCAGGTGAATTCAGCATCTGCTGGAAAGATGTTGTTGCCTCTCGTGAAATAGTTGGAAAAACAGGCTGGTTTGAGGTAATGGACTCAGTATTAAATGTATGACCAGCCATTGATGTGAGTTGCATGGTTTGTGGCAATATGTGTGGCGGCATAAGAGGCGATGTGTGTTGACCTGTGAGTTGTGTGGGTGAGGCATGTTGAGATGAGGATGTCAGCCGATTAGACTGTTGAGTTGAACGAGGCAAGGAGCGCTGAGACAACTGTGCTGATGAATGTTGAGCATGTGGCAAACCTGATGAGATATTTGGTACATAGTTTGGTGAGAGCTGCTCAGCATGGCCCATGAAGTTTGTGGGTGATTGTGTTGAGAAGGATGACTGTTCATTGAAGCTGTCCTGGCTGCCATAGTGTTGTTGGTATTGGTTGAAGTTGTAGCTGCCTCTGTAGTTCTGTTCTGATGACTGAGCAGGCCCCCTATACCCAAGGTTAATGTCATCCATGTGTGGTGGGTAGCCCTGATATGATTGATGGCCTTGAGACATCATCCGTTGCTGCTGTTGGTGCTGCTGTTGGTGCTGCTGTTGCTGCCATACTGTATGTTCCCAGTTCCGTTTTGAAATTCCATCCAACTCTCCGATCCTGTAGCTTGAATCCCAAGGGCGAGCATATTCTGGATTCAGTTGAGAATATCGTTCTGCCCCCGAAGAAAATGGAGGTTGTTGTCCCATGCTGTTCTCACTGTAGCTGGCAGGTGGATTGTATACACTGCTGTCATAGCTGCCTCGGCCATCATCTCTGTACTGTTGGTAACCTTGGTTACTCTGCATGGTCATTGGCAAGTGTGGCATGACCTGACCCCTCATACCCAGTCTTTTCCTCTGGGCCACTGGCACGTCTGGAAGTGAACGATTCAGCAATAAGCTACTGACAGAAACCAATGCTTTCAATTACATCATCCATGGCTAATCAAAGCCATGAAGGCTATGAAGGTCATCCATGTAATGTCATAGACTTGTATGCAATCATAGACAGCTGTGTGGATTCAAGGATGTGTGCAATTTAATATATTTTGTGGGAAATCAAAGAATTATGTGTAATCAATACATAAGCATCTGATCAGATTTCTTCGTACAATCAGTAATTATGTGTGCACCAGTGGTTAACTGCATGCTCAACAATCCATTTCATCAGGCATAATGCCATCTGATGATTATTTTATGCAGCTTTTATGACAAGTGTTTGGTGCACTCCTGGCAAGAATTTAAGTAAAGTTGATCAGCAAACACAAAGTCATTACCTGATTTTTCATCAGAAGCACCATCAAACTGTGGTATATGGTCCTCCTTTTCCTCCTCCTCGTCCATCATCTCACTGGGAAGGAACTGGGAGTCTGTCCATGTGTCATCCATACCTTTCAAGTTATGCTCTTCAGACTCGCTAAAATGAAAATGACTCATAACGTTTGTCGTCAGAGCAAGTTCCAGGATATCTTATTGTATAATCTATTGTCATACTAACATTGCAAACATCTTACATGCAAGTATTGGAAAAAATACACACAAAAGGAAAGAACTAAAAAGACCAACAGCTGAGCAAGACAATTTTTATCTCAATTATCATAAAGAGACATAATTCAGAACTACAGAAAAAACATCATGAACTAATGTTTCTGTTTATGATTCCTGTATTAATAGGACTAGACTAAAATATTAGGAATATTTCAATATACTTGATTAGATCCTTGTTTCATCAAGATAGACATTCTGAGTACTATTGCCTCACCCATGCTCATCTTCCTCATGCAAGACCTCTTCTGGCTCTGCCCCATCCCAGACTCTCTGCGACATCTCCAATGTCTCCTCCTCCTCATCCTTCAACACCTCCACATCTACGATGCCAGTGTTGTGGGTGATGATGCTGTCATTGTCCTCCAAGGCCGACACCTGGGAGGCACTCAGCTGTGAGGAGACTGGGGAGGAGTCATCAGCCAGAGCTGCAAGCACATCCGCCAGAGACGTGTCTGGTCCATCTGTCAACAAACACAGCCATAATGTACATGGCTTACCAGTAAATACAGCCATCTTACACACATGCTTACACAGAGCAGTTTACCCAATTCCAGTGTTGACAAACAATGCAGTCTACCCTATTCCAGTGTGGACCAGCAATACAGTCTACCCTACTCCAGTGTGGACCAGCAATACAGTCTACCCTACTCCAGTGTGGACCAGCAATACAGTCTACCCTACTCCAGTGTGGACCAGCAATACAGTCGACCCTACTCCAGTGTGGACCAGCAATACAGTCTACCCTACTCCAGTGTGGACCAGCAATACAGTCTACCCTACTCCAGTGTGGACCAGCAATAGTGTGGACCAGTACAGTCTACCCTACTCCAGTGTGGACCAGCAATAGTCTCCAGTGTGGACCTACTCCAGTGTGGACCAGCAATACAGTCTACCCTACTCCAGTGTGGACCAGCAATATAGTCTACCCTACTCCAGTGTGGACCAGCAATACAGTCTACCCTACTCCAGTGTGGACCAGCAATACAGTCGACCCTATTCCAGTGTGGACCAGCAATACAGTCGACCCTATTCCAGTGTGGACCAGCAATACAGTCTACCCTACTCCAGTGTGGACCAGCAATACAGTCTACCCTACGTTTAACCAACAGTGCAGTCAACCTACTCCAGTGTTAACCAACAGTGCAGTCAACCTACTCCAGTGTTAACCAACAGTGCAGTCAACCTACTCCAGTGTTAACCAACAGTGCAGTCAACCTACTCCAGTGTTAACCAACAGTGCAGTCTACCATACTCCAGTGATAACCAACAGTGCAGTCAACCTACTCCAGTGTTAACCAACAGTGCAGTCAGCCTACTCTAGTGTTAACCAACAGTGCAGTCAACCTACTCTAGTGTTAACCAACAGTGCAGTCAACCTACTCCAGTGTTAACCAACAGTGCAGTCAACCTACTCCAGTGTTAACCAACAGTGCAGTAACCAACAGTGCAGTCAACCTACTCTAGTGTTAACCAACAGTGCAGTCAACCTACTCCAGTGTTAACCAACAGTGCAGTCAACCTACTCTAGTGTTAACCAACAGTGCAGTCAACCTACTCCAGTGTTAACCAACAGTGCAGTCAACCTACTCTAGTGTTAACCAACAGTGCAGTCAACCTACTCTAGTGTTAACCAACAGTGCAGTCAACCTACTCCAGTGTTAACCAACAGTGCAGTCAACCTACTCCAGTGTTAACCAACAGTGCAGTCAACCTACTCCAGTGTTAACCAACAGTGCAGTCAACTAACCAAGTGTTAACCAACAGTGCAGTCAACCTACTAACTACTCCAGTGTTAACCAACAGTGCAGTCAACCTACTCTAGTGTTGTGCAGTAACCAACAGTGCAGTCAACCTACTCCAGTGTTAACCAACAGTACAGTCAACCTACTCCAACCTACTCCAGTGTTAACCAACCGTGCAGTCAACCTACTCCAGTGTTAACCAACAGTGCAGTCAACCTACTCTAGTGTTAACCAACAGTGCAGTCAACCTACTCCAGTGTTAACCAACAGTGCAGTCAACCTACTCCAGTGTTAACCAACAGTGCAGTCAACCTACTCCAGTGACAGGGAGCTCCCAATGGTACCTGAGTTTTGAGAAGCCTGTGAGAAGCTCTGACTGAAGGACAGGACTTTCTGTATGGATTCCAAGCTGATGATGGGCTCCTCCTTCCCATCCTCCTGTTCCTTCTCTCCACCAACATCATCCAGTATTACTGTTTCCTGGGAGGACTCTAACTGGTCTGAATCTGAACACAAAAGAATTGTTCTGTGAATGTTGTAGTCCTGCTTGAATACTTTTTATCATCACTACATCACTTTCTGAATCATCCTGAAAGAGACCACTTTATGTTTAACTGGTTAGTTCGTCAGTGCTTATTAATCCAGTTTGAAAGGGTTCAAAGTGCTAAGCCCTTGAAGTTCGTCTGGATAGACCTACCTTGGGAGACATGGAAGGCAACTTGTGACGCAGGTGTTGCAGAGAAATCGTCCTCAGAACCCTGGGACATGTCAGATTCTTCATCTGACTGGCTTTCACTGAAATAAACAAGCAATAACAAAATACGCTGTCACAAAAATTGTGCTACATTTACTGCCCTTCATCACTAGGCAGGTTTAACATATAATGATTTGTTCTTGTGTGTAGATAACAGTATTCTGGGTTCTAAATTAATTGGACAATAGTCCAAAGTAACAACAGGGTTAAGTACAAGAATACTTCCCCAGGACTTTATCTTCTTGAATCAAGTTGAGTGTATTGTAATATGGTACACCTATTACAACAGGCTAGTCCTGGTGTTTCCCCTACAATGCCCTATTTCCCACTCTCCACTTCATCACAGAGAATGTGCTTGTAACAGTATTTCAGTCAGCTTACAGAGGGATGAAAGACAACTGTGAGGCAGGTCTCTGACTTCTACAACTTTGGTGAAACCCATGAGCATGGGTATTGTGATATATAATTGCGGTGAACAGTGATTTGAACCAGTTTCGAACCAGCATTCAATGGGTTCTGCAGAGCCCAAGGGATGTAACTCTGCAAAGCAAACAGCAGTACCCCAGACAACTGTGCCACCAGTGTCCATTCCCTTCCATCAGACCATAATCAAACACGTGTTTTTGACACTAATATGGCATGTCCCCCGCCTCTAACCAGAAATGAAATATTTATAACATATTTACTACTTTTTATTTTTGGGTCACATACAAGAAATGACTGGTGTCTGCAAAATCACCCAATGTAGGCTGTTGACATAATTGAAGACATTGGGTGCAATGTTTTATGAGATATCGCTGAATGTAAGTTTGAAAAGTGGTCAAAGTGTCATGGTGACCTTGAACATAAGGTCAAGGTCAACCAAACCAACTGGTGTCTGAGTAATCCCCCAATGTAGGCTGTCGCCTTATTTGAAGACATTGGGTACAAAAGTTCATAAGATATCGCATGAACAAGAATCAGGACGGACGGACGTATTGATGGACTCTGGTGAATACATAGTCCCCCGTTCTGTCTTGAGGCGGGGGACAATAATTAAACACAAACAGTATAAACTGAGATACTGCTTTTCTAAACTTACAGAAAGGGTTTCTGTTGTTCAATGATTTCCTGAAGCCTCTGCCTGAGATTACATTCGCTCTCTGCTACATCCACATCAGCTCGATCTAAAAAAGGAAAGGTTTGCATCTGAACAGACATTCTGGTTTTAGGATGAAGGAGTTAAAGTGTTTCTGACAGAATTCGGGAAATCAGATAACAATTATTTTATAAAAGCTTGCAATAACAGCCCCAGGTGTACTACTTGGGGTCGTCCCACTTGTCCGGTCAGGTAATCCAATGTAATCTGGATTAAGTGTTGCGCTTGAGTTGCTGGCCCGTCATAGTCAGTTTTTGTGAGCTCAGTCACTTGCCCATTGAGTGATGACTGTTCTACTGATAAGGTGACATGTTATTTATTTTAAGTGAATGAATTCAGTAAATGGGGTATAAGTAAGAGATGAATTTGCTTTCTGTCATTGCAGTCATGGCAAATGCACAAGTTCATCGTTTCGTTCCTAACGGTCGTGGAGGTCAATATTTAGTCTACTTTGGTTACAAACTTTGTATCAAGTCTAGAAACGGCGACAAAGTCCACTGGAAATGATGTCAGAAGACTTGTCGTTGCACCATCAACACACTGAACAACATCGTGACAACGTACAATAATTCCCACAACCATCCAGCTGACAACGACAGGATCCAGGTCGATGAATTCATCTTTCATCTGAAGAATCTTGGTCAGAAGTTGTTCAACCAATTTTGTTACAATTTCTTATCCTTTTAACCCTTATAAAGACATAACCTTATATTACTCCTACTTGTACGGCATTCAACTTTCCAATACAGACTATAGTCGGTACATCAAAGTACATCCCCCGTCCGGGATTATCTGCCAGCACATCAAACAAACCGGACAGGTGGGACTAACCCGTACTAATCAACTACCCAGACTTCTCACAGTCACACCTTCACTGTCCACTCAACAAACTGTATTTGTTAGTTGTCCAGTTCACTTGACTTGACTTGAAAAAGCCTATACAATCAGATAAATATGAGCAATGACATGGTTAATTAAATTTGTACTTTAAAATTATCACAAAATGTCACGAGTATTTGCATTTGCAAACTGATCTGATGTATTTGTCTCCACATGCAGATATTGACTGAATCCCCAGAGATGGCTAGGAATGAGGTCACTGTGACATGTAAGGATAAACTGTCATACACCTCACTGTTGTCTTTGTAGCATTCGTATTTTGCTTAATCGTTGTGCAAAACAATTGGAAAACACTTCCATTTTCGCTGACTACTCAGATTTCACGTAAAGAATTAAAGTCTGGTCATATGATCGGCTTTTGGAAGAGGTGTACTGCTAAGCCATCACTCTACTGAAGTGTATAGATATAATACAAGCTGACAGAAAGTAATACAAGCTCACCCTGCGATTGTGGGGTCAAGATCTGCGATGTTTCCCCCAGGTTCCTCCGGCGCTGTTTCTCATCTTCCCATATTGCTGCTAGACCAGGGTTAGCTCCGATATTAGCTGACATAAATACACGACTCAAGATAAGTATTTATCTACTAGTATTTCAGTTCAGTTAAATAATATAAAAAAATATCATAAGTGACAAAAGAAACAATCAAATTTAATAGCTTTTAAAATATGTAATTTTTTAAGTAAAATTGATATTTTTATACTTATCCTGACTCATGATCTTTTCCTTATCTCCCTTTTCCTTGCAAATGGTAGTGGAACACTTGAATCTCTTGAAGTTCTTACTTCCATCTCAGACAAGTTGAATCATCTTGATTCATGTGGCTTCAGATAAACTAGTATCTTCTTATTACTAGATATCTTATAACAACCCATAGATTATGATAAGATCTTAATCATAATGAGTTGCAACCCCTTCATGTACAGGTAAGATCTTACAGGATCTTTAATCGGTCATGCTAGCCTGTCTTAGACTTTCAAACTAATACTTTTCTTTAGTAAAAGTAACCAACAAGTCAACATGACAACAGTGTTCACGAATGGTGTTTCAAAGTCACAGGACATTGGGTCCTGTAAGTTTCAGATGTCTGTCTGACCCATTAAAAATGCACAGGACCCATGGAATAAAATTAAACACACATTTCAGATTTAATATTTCTTATAATTGACATTGAAATTATTAACAAACATAAGATTTATAAACAGCAAACAAGTGTCACATGTCACATAAAACAACTTCAGTCAAAGTCATTGTGAAATATACAGTCAGACACTGGGGCCGGCGGGTTGTAGACATCTGTCTGACCGTTGGCGAATCTGCCGGATTTGTCAGAGGGTCAGACGCTATTCGTGAACACTGTGACAAGGGGTGAGATTTTCCAACTCAGCGCCTTTGTGGAGCCGTTAGTAGCTGTGCTACAACGAGAGGCCCAAATTGGTGAATGCCTGAGACGTCTTCAGTGGCTATGTCTCGGAGGTAGTGGTTGGCAAACACCGTGTCTGACTTCCAAAAGCAGCCCTCCATAATTGCTGATACAGAGCAATTTCCATGCAGATCTAGTGTTGACGCCAATGCTCTGACTTCATCTGGGTTGGAAGCTCTTGGAGGTTCTAGTCCTGCTGCTTTATAGGCTTTCAATATAACGGCTCTCATCCAGAACGATATCGTCGTTCTTGAGACTTCTGCTGATGTCTCTTTGAATAATGGGATGAATAGGCGCTTGAATATTTTCGTCTCCTTGTCTTAGTCTTTGAAGATATATCTTCAGGGCTCTGACCGGACACGGATAGGTCCTCTATATCCTCTGGTCCGAGGATTGTAGATAGCGCTGGTACATAGAACTGTCTATCTGGCTAACCAGGTAGTTGGTTCTTGGCAATGAAGTCCCATCTAAGTCCTAGATGAACTGCAGCATGTTGCCCCGTGTCGAATCTGGTTCGACCAAAGTCCAGCGTATGTATCTCTGATATTCAAGCTGCCGTGGCTAGCGCAAGCAGGAACAGAGTCTTCTGTGTCAGCAGCTCGAGTGTAGTCTGGTCTAGAGGTTCGTAGGCATCACTGGTAAGATGACATAGAATTACATTCAGATCCTAGACCGGAGCTCTGAACTTCTTTTGCTGGTCCTCCAGTTTAAAAGATCTCAGCAGAGCAAGTAATTCTGGTACTCTCGTCAACTTGAAGCCTATTTTCATGGTAATCACTGTACTGATGGCCGCGAGGTATGTAGATAATGTCGAACCTTTCAGATGTCTGGTCTGTCTAAGATGACACAGGTATTCCGCCACTTGAGGATGAGTAACTTTCATCGTAATGAAGTCTTTCCGCCTTGCATAAGTCTCAAACTTCAGCCATTTGTCATCATACATGTTACGAGTAGATCTGCGTAACGCTAGCGTTACTGCCTTAGGTGCCCTGGCGGAGTATCCTCTTTTCTTCAAACATGTTTTGATACGGTCCACACGTATAGCTGGAACAGTGTTGGGTTCCCGTGGATTTGCTTGGTGTGAGAATGTATGAGTAGGTTCGGCTAATCTGGTAACTTGATTGTTGGACTTCCGAGATCTTCTATTAGGTCTAGAAACCATACTCTCGCTGGCCAGTATAGAGCGACCAAGGTCAGTTGTAGCACCCATGTCTGTTTGATCTTCAACAGTACTTTCGGTAGTAATACCAGTGGTGGAAACGCATAAGCGTTTAGTCCTTCCCATGATATGTTCAGTGCATCTGTTGCCCAGGCTTGAGGATCTGGAACTGGTGAGACAAATGTCTGTAGTTGTTTGTTGAACCTCGTGGCAAACAGGTCTATGCATGGTGATCCTATTTCCCTTATGATGAGCCGAAATGCTTCTGGATGGAGTATCCATTCTGTAGGTGGCGGGTGACACGCCCTTTATCCAGATGTTTGCCTCCTCAATGATGTCAAACAACTGGAATGTGAGCTGTAGTAGGCTTGGTGATATTGTAGATCCTTGCCGATTTATGGAGAATGCCACTGTAGAGTTGTCCGTGTGGACCATCAGCATTCTGTTGATCAGCGAGCTCGACCATAGTTGTACAGCAGATAGATGTGAAAATGCTGCTGTTTGGACCACTTCCTTGATGCAACTTGATTGTTGAGATGTGCACCCCAACCTTGTATCGATGCGTCTACGTAGAGATGTGTGTCGAAGGCCGGCTCTTGTAAATAGGTCCCTCCGCAGACGTTCGACCTGTGGGTCCACCAAAGTAGGTACCTCTTAAGATTGTCTGGCAGCAAGATAGGGTCGACGCTGTCCAGATGTTTTGTCAGGAACCGTTGCAGCGGCCTTAGTTGTAACCTTCCTGTGCGAGTCAAGAGGTTAGTAGACCGAGTAGACATTGCCATGTTCATAGTGTTAACAGAGAGATGACTGCTTGTGGAATCATGGCTTGTATCTTGACCCAATGATCTTCTGGGACCACAATTCGATTCTGTGTTGTGATAATCCTTATTCCCAGCAATTGAAGATCTTGTTTGATTCTAACTCCAACTTCATCAGGTTTACTAGCCATCCTAGTTGCGTGAGCAACTTAATTGTGAAGTTCAGCTGCTGTCTGAGTTGATTGGCACTTTGAAGAACCTGTTTGCCGTCCTCCAGATAACCGGCACTGCATAGACCTCGATGCTGCAGATAGGTGCCGATAGGCTTGGTTATTCGTATGAATAATCATAGAGCCGACGATATTCCAAACGGTAGGACGTTCCATTGGAAGTGGTAACCTCTGATTGCAGTGATGATACATCATTCCTCCCCTTATATACGCAGACGATCTGTGTTGACATCGAAGCGTTGTCTATTTATAGCAAGGCAAGGCAAGGCTGGCTCCAGTGTAGCATGACAGGGGACAGGTACTCATACCGACAACTTCCAAAATAAACATTGTTTATCCTGCTGTCGAGGCTAGACATCTATTAGATTCCCATGATGATAACAGGCTGTAGTTGTATACTGTTTCCAAGGCTGCCAATGAAGTATTCCCCCGTACCACAGGTTTGTTTACAAATCAGAAAACATGCTGAGCCCGCTCTGTCAGTGGGAGGCGTTGTCTGACGTGGACCAATCAGCTTCAAGCATGACGTCACCGGTGTTGTAGCAAGTTGGCCTCCATAAAATCTGATGCAATTAGTTGGTTGAGTAAAGCCCGCGTAATTCTACGCCGCTCATATAAACCTCTTGAATAAGGGTTGCTCCAAGAGTAAAATCTTGTTCAGTGATATAAATCACGTATACCAATTGTGGATAATATTTGCCAGCGTGACGAAGGAGGCTGTCAAGACGTATGTCTGTATGGATCTTGAAGAAATACCAATGTTGAATCTAGTTGATAGGATATAAAATCCTAATCCCCACAATGAGTGACGAGTGTTAATAATATCATCTGTACGTCCGTTCAAAGATACTTGAAGGTGATGTTAACCTTAAGCCCTTTACAAAGGTCACATTGAGGTTCTCCAGTACTTGAGATATCGGCTTCATAGGTGATATCATATTGGAGTCGAAGTCATCAGCGTATATACAGTACATCTCTGTTGGGTTGGAATGAGTGAGTGAATGACAATATCCGCAGGCCATCTGCTACCCGGTATAAGACCTCAGCATCCGTATAGATGAAGTGATTCCTTTCATCAAGTAGGTTGTCGTCCGAAACTGAACCTATACAGGTATAAGGTTTGTGCAGGTTGTAGAGTTGTGCAGGCTGTAAACTGTAGAGATCGCACATGTTATAGATCTTTTTCTTGAGTTTTAAACTCTGACAAAACCATCTGTTTCCATCATTGCTTCATTTTATTCAGCCGTATGGTAATTGAGTCGACGTCAACATCCTGCCTGTTGATGTTAGGGTTTGTTAACCCTAGGGTTCGCGAACCCTGTAGATATCTGCATTGCTGTTATCTGCCTGTAGATCTGAGAGTTCTCAAACCTTGTAGATGTCTGTTGCTTTCTCAAAGCTGTGCGTAAGTTAGAAGGTACCTTGGATATAGGAAAGTACAATAAGTTTTATGCACGAAAGGCATTGGGGTTGAGGATCAGCCACGGATAACCTGTGCCTGCAAACACTGCAAGATTTCATGAAATGTAAACAAAGTTACATAACGATGAAATTATGACACAAATACAAATAATTTTTACAATTTTATATATAATACATAGTAGTTATTGCCAAATCCATACACAGCGTAATATTGAAGAATAGGACCTAAATAAAAAGGATATAATGCTGTATACGGGACTCCAGTGCTCGCCCAACCATTCACTTGGGCGAAAAGGGAGAGAGTGACAAGTAAGGCTGGTCACATGACTGTTTACGCGGGAAAAGGGAGGTAACTCGTGGGTGAGTGTATTTTTACGTCCGCTTCGGGAACTTCAAGGGATTCAAGTGTTCCATTACCATTCACAAGGAAAAGGGAGATAAGCAAAAGATCATGAGTCAGGATAAGTACAAATAATAAGTAATAATATTTAATATGAACCAAAGTGGGTAATATTTCATAAGGTAACCAATGATTCAATATACAACACATCAATGTTAGTTACATGAAGTAATCAGCTATTTATCTTAATCACTATCCTGTGCTGAAATGTTTCTAACTATACAACACAGGAGGTGGGTTTGGTGGGGTCCATACAACCATGCAAGAGACATACCATCGACTTCCTGTCTGTTGAGGATGTCTGCTGCAACTACATCCACCTCCAGCTGGCACGTCGTCTGCCGGGACACTTCAGCATCCAACATCAGCTCACTGCCACAAATGGAACAACACCTGACTCACAGTGGTAGGACTTCAACTATTCTCTATTGATCTATTGTTTGTTAAGGAACAAACTCATTTTAAGTTTGTTCCATGAAGTATGACGTTAAACTATGAGTCTGGACAGACATCATAAACAAGTGGCTATCGATGACCTGCATCAACCAAGTCGATGAGTCTGACGATCTGATACTGTTAATCATCTCTTGCAACAAACATCAATTGCTTTTGACCAATTCAAACCAGATCTTCATAAAGGTATCCTTATCTTGAAGTCAAATGACATGTAATTATTAACACTAATGGGGAATTATGTAAGTAATGAAAGAAAAAATTAAAAACAAAACGCTTATTTTTACGCATAATAGCGTAAAACATGACTACAGATATAACTGACATGCTATTTCAGGAGTTTATTGCATTTGGTAAATTTGAACATAAAGCATCTGTGAGTGATTTAGTGAGTGAGGTTGGCTTAACGCCACTGTTAGCAATTTCCCAGCAATATCACGACGGGGGACACCAGAAATGGGCTCCAGACAATGTACCCATCTGGGGAATCGAACCCGGGTCTTCTGCGTGACGAGCGCACACTGTAACCACTAGACTACCCCACCTCCTTGAGTGAGTAAGTGAAAAAATGAAAGAGTGAGTGAAAGAGTGATCGCGTATTCAAACTGAGTTGCATACCTAGGTATGTGGGGCACGTCCCATACTCTTCTGCTTGGGGTGTTGATCCCAGAGTTATCTGGGGACTCCCTTGATCCAAGGACAGGTGTCTGAGGGGTGGAGTCCGAGTCGTCCAGGGGAGAGGACCGCTGCTCTAATTGATTCCTCTGGGGGTCATTCTCTAAAGAGACAGTACGAAATAGTTGAGGACACTTAAGCTGGACAGACAAAACCCCACAGACTGAAGCTTGTCTTTAAAAGATTTCGACTACTTTTTTTGTGTATTGGATTGGTGACTGAAGAAATATATGGCTTGTTATTGGGTCCTATTAGAAGTAATTTGAAGGAGTGTTCTGTCACCAGTCCTGGAAGAGTTACAGTTAGCAACTTTCCTGACATTGATGACAAATACCAGCAACCAACATGGATACAAGATGATATATTGTCTGGCTGGTAGTCTTGGAAACAAACTATTTTCCTCTCCATCCAGCCCTGACTGTATTGATATTCAGGGTCTGTTCTATGGGTTTTGATCGTACAGTTTGCAGCATTATGCAATAATTCATATTACCCATACATCTGTGTCCCTTGTCAAATGGAATGTCATGTTGCAATAAATCACACATTTATTTTTTGCAAATTCATCTATCCTGTGGATTTCCGCTGGTGCAAAATAATAAAACACCATAATTTGACATTATGCATAATGCGTTTCTCACAACTCACACTGATGATTCCTGTTACTTGCCACACATTTAATCACACATGTTTATTGAGACAGTTGACTGATAGTCATATCAAATAGATTTACAAATACAAATAGTTCCATATATTCTGTGCCCTCAAACAAAACGCAGACAATATATACTGTTCACACTTTGCTAAGGATCAAATCATGGATTCAACAGAAAACTATTATGTGGGGTCAACTTTGATTTAAATACCTGAGCTTATTGGAAGCATGGATCCTAGGTTTCAGTATGTCAATTGCATCTTGTGGATCCCATACCTGCCATTGACATGTGTTGTTTATTTGTCAATGACTCGTTCCATGATTTGCAAAATGGTTGATTGGTGCCATGAAAACCATTTTTTATGGCTACTCGTGTATCAAGTGCATAAGGTTAGCTTAAAATGACTTTTTGCCTAATGAGGGATTACCATATTATTATTTATCCAGTTTTAAATGGATACAAATTTAAATTATAAATCTAAATTTAAGTAAAGAATTTTTGTGAGTGTTAGCAAAGTGTGAGAAGTATATTAATTGCAGAAATTTAACTTTCCTGCACTAACAAATGTTTCAAAGGAGGTCCACTTAAAATAAAAAACCAACCAAACAAAAAAATACTAGACAGATGCAAATAATTCATTTAGGAAACATTATTCATTTCTAAACCTAAAGGTTTCAATGTGACCTACACCATGTCTGCTGAACTCACCCTCTTCACGACCTCTGCGAAACTTAACAGCAGACGTGTTGATGAGATTCATCCCATACAGGTTGTAGTCAATAAACAACTGGAACAAACAAGAATAATTTCACTTTGATGACATCTTCATGCTAAAGGTAAACACATAAAGCGGTTCAACATTCTACTTGGCACAAAACTCCCTGGAAAGAAATACACGTTCATCACAGGTACTCCTGCCCACACCCACTGTGCTCCATATCAGTAGGCACTTCCATACATATGGCACCAAGAAGATCCATATTAGAATTGGTCTTCAGCAACCCATGCATGTCATAAGGCGCAACCATGGGATCAGGTTGTCAGACTCCCAGACTTTGTTGATGCATGTCATAAGGCTCAACCATGGGATCAGGTGGTCAGACTCCCAGACTTTGTTGATGCATGTCATAAGGCGCAACCATGGGATCAGGTGGTCAGAATCCCAGACTTTGTTGATGCATGTCATAAGGCGCAACCATGGGCAGAACCATGGGATCAGGTGGATCCCAGACTTTGTTGATGCATGTCATACTGCGCAACCATGGGATCAGGTGGTCAGAATCCCAGACTTTGTTGATGCATGTCATACGGCGCAACCATGGGATCAGGTGGTCAGAATCCCAGACTTTGTTGATGCATGTCATCTGGCGGCGCAACCATGGGATGTCAACAGCGCAACCATGGGATCAGGTGGTCAGAATCCCAGACTTTGTTGATGCATGTCATACGGCGCAACCATGGGATCAGGTGGTCAGAATCCCAGACTTTGTTGATGCATGTCATACGGAGCAACCATGGGATCAGGTGGTCAGACTCCCAGACTTTGTTGATGCATGTCATTGTAGCTCAATTGAGCAGACTGATGATTTCAATTTCTGGACTACCTGGTCCAGACTTTATTACTCACTTGCTGCCATCATAGAGCAGGAATATTGCTGAGTGAGGCATTATAACTAAGAAAGCAAAACAAAACATACAAAATTTACCTCTGAAATGATTCGCCAAACAATATTTTACCCAAAATTTATTAGTTTCAGTCAAAGAGCATGTCCAGTAAACAATTTATTTGATTGATTGCTTACAAAATTTCCAAGGCACAAACAAATTTCAAATGGATGGCCCTTACCAACTCCAAAGGGAAACGACTGGCTCAGTAATGGCCTGTAGATCAAACCTGACACAACAACAACAGACTGCATATCAGAACAGAAATCATTATTCTGGGCAGTACCCATTAATCTGGATGATGCCAGTTCCAGCAAAACTGTCCAGATGAACATTGGACAGAGACTCCTCACAAACATGTGCGACATTAATGAATCATGAGTGATTTCCATGTATAAAACCAACATATGATTGCCAGGATAAAACCAACTACTCACAACATGTGTGACATGTTTCTCTCTCTTATATACAGATTCTCTGAGGTCTTGGAGGCAAGATGTCTTGCTGACTATTTATTGAGCGTGTCCGTGTGTGCCCATTTGGAATTCACATTTAATTCAAGCTCAAATCTAAAACTCAGATTTAATTCCTGGGACAAATACCAGACAATACATAATTGCATTATTTTCATCTTTTAATCCCTGATCCTCAGAATCATCAGGAATATATGAATACAGTCATGACATGTCTTTCTTGACTAGAACATCTCAGGTATGTTAACAGTATCCTGATAGAACCTTCAAAAACATTTCCATATAATCATGAACAAATCTCCACTACAAGCAGAGTCTAATGTACAACACATAAGAATGGATTCACGAAAACATGTCAAATAGTGATAACAAAAAGACAAACATATCAGGCCCTGATCCCTGCACTCATCACAAACAAGCAGAAACTGACCGATGAGTATTGATGAGTAAGTGGGAACACTGTGAAGGTGAAAGGAAACAGTTTGGAGCTGTATCTCACGGCCAGCATCACTAGTCTTACTCACAGTCCTAAAAGCATATTATTTTCCCTTCCACCATGCCATGACTGTAACACTATTGTTTTGAACAAGCATTGTCACTAAGGTGACATAATCCCCTGGCGCAAGTTATCAAATCAAATTTAAAAAGTAATGAAAGTGAAGGTCGTAATTTAATATGAAGTTAAATGTTAACAAAAACATGACCAGTCAACCTCTCTTGATATCTTGCTCTGTAGTTGTTCAAACGCACAAATATTTTCAAGACTCACTTTGACCTTGACATGAATGTCTTAGTGTATGAAATATGCAAAAACAGTAATAAAGAAACTGCTTATTGAAAAACATTCAAGGAAGTCTTGAAAGTCTATGAAGAAAATGTTCTGTTGATGAACTGTTGTTGAGATATCTTACATGCAGGTTAACATGCTGAAATCTTTAAAGTGTCGCCGTGACCTTGAAAATTAAGGGAAGGTCACCAAAATCGACTGGGCCCTGCGCCTTCCCTCGATGAAGCTTAATGTCGAATATGAAGAAAATTCAGTGAACAGTTCTTGAGTTATCTGGCTGACAAGCTTAACATGCAGCTTAACATGCTGAAATCTTCAGAGTGTCGCCATGACCTTGAAAATTAGGTGAATGTCACCAGTCAACGGTTCTTGAGATATCTCGCTGACAAAGGTAGAACGTTAAAGTCCCCTTGTGACCTTGAAATGAAGGTCAAGGTCACCAAACTTGACTGGGACCTTTCTTTTACTGTGATGAACCTAGGTACCAAATATGAAAAGAATCCAGTCAACGGTTCTTAAGATATTCCAATTCGTACAGACGGACGGAGCATAATACTAAATCCCCCGCCGCGTGTTGTTGAATATGAAGGAAATCCAGTGAACGGTTCTTGAGATATCTCACTGACAAGGGTAAAACGTTAAAGTCCCCTTGTGACCTTGAAATGAAGGTCAAGGTCACCAAACCTGACTGGGACCTTTCTTTTACTGTGATGAACCTAGGTACCAAATATGAAAAGAATCCAGTCATCGGTTCTTAAGATATTCCAATTCGTACGTACGGATGGACGGAGCCTAATACCATATCCCCGCCTTGCTGCTAAACGCTAAATTCTGTAGAAATTACACATTTTTTAGAGGTTAAGTGTTTGTATACCAGTATCACAAAAGGCTGAAGTAGTGCACAGGAATAATGCAGAGAAGCATGAGAAATATAGATTTCATCAGTAAGAGCCTACCAGTAAAAAATAGGAAATACAATTGAGCTCACAAATATTGAACTGTAAGTCTTGTAACATCCTCAATGACGTGATCTCTGAGATCTGAAAGTCTTCTTTTGTCAGTAACATAGCTACTAAGTATGCACACTTGAGGAATGTTCAATAAAGCAATCTACATGCAAAAACTGCCATTAGTCTTTGCTAAAGTATGGGAGTTACAATCATCTTACTGCTAAGATCACTCTGTAGAACCCTGGTTACATGTGTACTCCAAATCTAACTGTCAAGCAAGGGCCGCCATATAAGAACCTGGACTATGTTACCTAAAGCAATCACAACACTACAACTCTCTCAAGTCTATGATTAAGTGGGAGTTACCGTTGTCTTAGATACTAAGATCCTCTTGTGAAATGAATCTCTGTGACACAAAACTATAATAAAAGTTACAATATTTAGAGCCCTTTGCAAATAGGGGATGATGGTGTATGGAGATCGGAGAGTATGACGACATGTGACAGCATGTGCCGGTTATTTTTGGGAGGTAAATAACCGTGACCAATAAGTATTATCTGTTTCCATATTTGTCCAAACACAAACATCAGTGGATGCAATCCAACATCACTGGGGCTCCTTTTCATTTTACATTCAGTTGCTGGTTTCTATAGAAAAGACACATTTTTTAGAAGCTAAGTGTATTCCACCCAGGAATTAGTACTCCCCTTTTCTCACCAGAACACCAGCTGCATCTCCACTGATAGACAGGCTGACAAAACACTCTTGAACAAATTCCTTGACGCAACACCTTGCCCTTCTCAAAAGCCGTCTGTGATGGTTTGTTTGTTTGTTTGTTATTTAACCCTGACGCATTCAGCGATATTCTAACCATATGACGGCAGTCTGTAAATAATCACGTCTGGACCTGACAATCCAGCAACTGACATCATGACTGTTGATCTACAAAACTGTGATACAATGATGTGGAACAGAATGAAATGTTTGGAATATATTCTTGAAAACATTGATTCAAACAGTGTGGGAACAGTGTGGCCACTCTGCCACTCTAGCAAACAATACATTTAGCTGGGTTCACTAAATGGACTAAATGGATTGGTTGGTCGAGCTCAGTAGCTTGGTCCATTGCATGACTTTGCATCCTATTTGTGTTGACTGATGCTCATGACGTCAATCACTGGATTATTTTCACATCACCATCATAAAGCTGAAGTGTTACTGACAGTGGGGTTTAACACAAAACATACTCATTAGTCATAACTTACTGGTAGTTTTTGTCTATTGACTTGTCAGCTGATTATTTATGTCGAAGATTTTTTTCATAGAAAACTTAACTGAGTTGTGTGAATATTCAAGTCACACAGTTATGCTATTCATTCAAACCAAATCATACATGCTCTGATATATGTCCTAGAAACCGAATATGTAAATATATGTTTTAATCCCCAATAAATCAGTATCAATCCCAAGATACCCTATTGTTCATCTGTGGACAGTCACAGCTGGTGACACATGGCAATGTGCCCCACATATCTGCACTATATCGCCATGTAAACAATAGCAGATCAATACTACCAGATCTGTACTGTGTGTCTGCTTCTAGTCTCATGGCACCCATGGCTGGCTGAGTGCAGGCAGGACTGATGCAACACATTAACAGCTACTGCCTCAGCCACAACATGTTCCTTCACATTCAGGAAAATTGCTGACATTTGCATTGCAGTCCCTCCAATGCTGAGCATTTTAAGGGTATGGGAGCAAACCCTGAATGATCCCACAAAATCAATTCATATCTTGAGATATATATGTTAACTGAGGCAAAACATTCAATAACCATTATATATTCTATTTTAAAAAAAGGAAAAATATATTTCAAGTACTTTAAATAATGATACTGTGTGGGAAATGATGA